TTGATTGGAGTTTAAAAGCCAAAATCTGAGAAATCAATGTGTAACGTTGGATAAGCATCGCTGCGTGATCACTGGGTCACTGCATACATAAATCGCACTGCATGAGCCAAAGTATGCAGCATTATGGAGCACGGCTGGCAATCCATCGATAGGAACGTCAACGTCAGTGCCAATAATTTTTTCATGGAATTTATAAATTTTCTCCGGTTCGACTATTGCGATCAGTATTTATTTATTCAGTCCTTATTTATTTATTCAGTCGAATATAAGATTGGTTTTCGCAGGTACCGAATATAATTAAACATGTATGTTTATGAATAGTTAAATAGAGGCATGAGCTAAACCAAATAATACTAAACATGCTGAATCACTAGATATACCTAGGTATTATTTTTCACTTACAATGCGATGACGCCAGCGGTCTCGCTCCGATTTTGACGAAACCGCGATAATTATACATGTAGCCTTAGGTAAATAATCGAACACATTTTTCGGGATTTTTCATAATGCTCAGTTTAAACAAAGTTATGATGGTATAAGTGGCCGAAAATTCGCATTTTTCTCGTGAAGTTTTTCTTTTTTGTTTTTGACGAAGAAAAATGCGAATTTTCGGCCACTTATACCATCATAACTTTGTTTAAACTGAGCATTATGAAAAATACCGAAACATGTGTTCAATTATTTACCTAAGGCTACATCATTATCGATGTTTCACTAAAATCGGAGCGAGACCGCTGGCGTCATCGCATTGTCAGTTATTTAATAAGATCTCGACAGGTCTGGTTTACCCACACTAGCGAAACTAGGGGTAGGCAGGGTAGGCATGGCCTAGGGGCCCCCACGAATTGGGGACCCCGAAGCTGCCCCGAATTTTTTAAAAATTTGTGCATGTCGACCGGTGGCGATGCTAGGGGCAAGCGTTGCAGAAAGTCATTAAAAAATCTAAACTAGTTCAAATTATGTTAAGAAATTCTGCCAAATTTAATTTTGTAATTTTCAGTTTAAAAATGCTGAGATGGGAGTCACCACTACGACATTAGCTAATTATTTTTCTACAGATTTTGCGCGCATGTCCGAAGTTTATCAATAGTTTTAAATATTTTAAATAGAGCAATTTGAACCCGATAAGACGAGGAAATGACACACATCTTATCAGGATGATCTTGGCGTTGAGTATAGTTGGTTTAAAAATGATAAATTTACTTTGGTCATTTAACTCAATTAGTCGTAAAGCAACTGCAAAAACTGAAACTCAATGCAATGACGCCAGGGGCCTCGCTCCGATTTTGAAGAAACAATGATAATTAGATAACCTTAGATTCTCTAAGTTAGATAAATAATTAAACACGTGTTTAAGGATTTTCTTAGTGCTCAGTTTAAAAGAAATTATGACAGAATGTATGCGTGAGAATTTCCATGTTTGCCGTGATATTTTTCTCTCTCGCGAGAAAAATACAGATTCTCGCTTATGAAATCCATCATAATTTCACTTAAACTTAAAATGCATGATGTTTTTTCCTGTAACCTAACATGAAGTGTTGCTTTTTTTGACAAGTCAAATTTCAAATTGTTTACACAAGAAAATACGCCGTATTTTTCCATTTTCCTCAAGGGACGCATTTTCACCATATTTTCACGTGGCGGAATTTTTGAAAAAATTTTCATCAAAAATAATGAATTTTCAAAATGTTGTGAATTTCCTAATTTTTATCCGATTTTAAAAATGGAGGAACGTTTTTTGCACAGAATTATATTAATTTATGCTAAATCTGTACTTACCAAAAGTTTTAATTTTTCAAAATTTCTTGTTTGTTCCTTTAAAAGTTTTTAGAAAAGTATTTCTACACTTTTATGGATGTAATTTTGAGTTCTTGGAGGCATCATGGAAGTTTTAAGGAATCATTTTCATGTTCTTTCGCGTTTGAAATAGCATCAAAACTGCAAAGTTTATAACAGTATGAGAAATCCTAATTTTGACTAAAAAATGTATTAAACATTCAGTAAACACGCGCCTTTATGAAAAGGCTAAAGAACGCTAGTTTCAGTGGGCGAGCAAATTTAAAATCGGAAATAACGATTCATGTCCACTTATTTATGATGGACTCTGTAAGCGAGAATCTGTATCTTTGTCCCTCCCAAAAAAATTTGGGATAAAAACGGAAATTCTCGCTCATGGATTCCGTCAATTGAGCATTATGAAAAATCCTGAAACACGTGTTTAATTATTTACCCAGGTTCCCTAATTAGCAAGGTTTCGTCAAAATTGGATCGCTTGAATCTTCTCATTGTGAGTGTAATCTGCCAGTTCTACATTCAATTGTTGAAACGATATTTTAAGTGAGCCCTTGTTGTTTAACCAGACATCACACAATTACCTCGCACTGAATCAAATTTATTGTTGCCAAAAAACCACAAAATTCTCCTATTTTCATAAGTCTCGTCAAATCTATCAGGGACAGGGGCCCCCAGCAAACCTGTGCCTACCGGCCCCAAATTTATAGTTTCGCTAGTGTTTACCCACCTTTTAAAAATATCAATTATTTAAGTATGCATATATGCATTTAGCCTTAAAATGCATGCATTTGTTGGAGTATAAAACACTTATCACAGTTCAATTATTCAGATGCAGTAAACTTAGAAAACCAAATAAAAATGATAGGACTCAGTTCCAGAAATTTTTAAATGCCCATATTTCAACTTTTTAAAGGCTAGTTTATTTTGCAGGGTTACATATAGATGTAACCCTGTGTATGCACTTTTCCTAAATCAACCATACTGCTCAAAATTACTTGGTCAAATTGCTTATTCCAAAGTACAGCAAGTAAATCGATAAAGTTATAGTCGCACTAGCGAAGATGTTCGCTATTTTGGTTTCTTTAGATACTAAGGAAAAAGTGTTTTTTTTTATTTTGATGCAAATTACTTAAATTGGAATTTGAAATTCTCACAATTTTGTCGATTGTTTCAAATTTTCCTATTTTTAAATTTCATTCCTTTTAGAAATTTCAATTCCCCTGGTAAAATATACATTCTCAGATTTTTTAAATACTGAAAGTTAAAGTTGAAAGTTAAAAAATATTCACAACATTTATCCAGAACTTAATTATTTAATTTGGCACACTCATATCAACCTTCACGTACATATTTCGCATATCTCGCGAACTGAGCATACAGATATAACTTGCGAAGCTTTGTGAGATGTCGTAAAACATTTGATGGAAAAGTATAAGATTACTTCACAAACTCATCTTCACCATCATCAGGAAGGGAAATTACAGAAATCTATGTAAACAGTATCAAAATATGTTTTTTTAAAAGTAGAGAACTCATATTTTGCACAAAATGCGTTTTTAGAGTTTCACTTTATCAAAAATTTACGAGCATACATATTAAATATGTTTTTTTAAAATTGAAGATATCATATCGGTGAGCAAGAGAAATTATGAGTGTCGTTAAAACGATAAATTTTAACCGAAAGAGGAAAAAATAAAAAGTTTTGTTGTAAACAATTTTAGAACTTTAAAAAGCGTTGAAAATTCTCCCATCAGACGGAAAATTCATACTTAATAAAAGTTTATATAGCACATTATTCAGCAGGTAAACTTGTATTAAGACGGAGAACATTTCAGAGTTGCAATTATTTTGCATATGTACATAAATTTCTGCATACACATGAGATCTGTAATTACGCAGTTATCAAATCCAGACTGTAATAAATACATTTGTATACAAATTTATATCTGAGTGTATTTATGTACAGATATATGTACATACAGATAAATAAATATGCTAATGAATTACCCTGTTTACTTGTCCTCCATTTCCATATACGCAGTATTCCATTCAACTAAAAGTGAATTTATTTCTGATTGAAATGTTTTAAAAAACGAAATAAAAGTATGAGTTACGCGTATATCTACTCTAATAAAGTGTTAGTATGATCCCTGGGTCCCTGGGTCCGTCTTCGCAATGCAAATTGCCCCATACAGTAGACAAAGAAGGAAGCGGAGCAACCACTGCATGCATGCACTGCACTGCATGAATAAATGAATACATGAACATGTACACCCCACATACATACATCACTCATCAATAGTGGTTATCATGATAAGTGATCGTGATAAACACTATTAATTAATTATTTTAGTTTGAGAAACTCTACCCACAGCGAGTGGCATGTCAATTCGAATGTATTTTTGACGCTGAATCCAACGCCGTCAATGGTTTTGACCTGCGAGGCCCCCGTGACCTCGCCGTGACCGTGGTGTCCAAATCTGGCTTATTCGTGATGTCGCATATCAATTCGAATGTATTTTTGACGCTGAATCCGAATCCGTCAATAGCTTGGCGTTAATTGTAGAAGTTAACGGGGTTTATGGAACTTAACGGGAGCGTGAAGCGTGGGAATTTAAATAGTTAGCTATGCAGTTACTCCCACGCGACGGGAATTTAAGTAATTAGCTATTCAACTACTTCCACAGGGGGAATCAAATTTTACTGTGACCAGGTTAATTAAAATGCAGTATGACTTGGGCAAACCCTCAGTCTGATGTATGTATGTAGTATGACAAAGTCTCCACTGGGAATTATTTAAAATATAGTATGACGGATTTTTCGCTTTGGGCACACCCCCCACTGGAACTCTAGAACCCGGCCTTGGCCGGGCTATACGCTAGTTTAGTTTATAAATTGAAAAATAAGTACCTAAGGTACATATGTGTGTATGTACCCTATTTTTATTTAATGCGATTAATTAGATCTGTCCATGCAAACAAGGATGCAAGTAAAGTTTTAAAAGTTTATAATTTTTCAAAATTAAGTTGTTACGTTTTCATGCAAGTTTTTATATTCCAATTACGTAACATTAGTGGAAACGAAATAACGCTGTACTTGTGGATGCGCATGAATGTTATTAAATAATTCGCAAGTCAAAATTACCAGTGTCCTTTCGAAATATGAATGTATTTGTTTGTGCAATAAAATTTGAAAATACTCAATAATTCACTCTTTAGATACCTACATTATTTATGTAAATTTATTACGCAGAAAAGATCAAAGTCATGATATGAAATAGTGCTACATATCAACACCGTCTCATTTCAGTCTTATCGTGGTAAAAAATAAATACTCGTACTTCTACATAAGTACATCATTTGTAACATGAAATTATTTCTAACAAGTATTTAAATAATTTCTTTCTCCTCGTTCAAAAACATGTAAACAATTTCAAAAAATTATTGCGTGGATTCTTAAACATATTGCAAAAAAGTTCGTAAGTTCTTATACATATTAAGTTCCGTAAAGCGGTGGTGGTTGCGATATTTTGTGGGTCTTTTTATCAGGTGGATTATTGACTTTTTAAAAAAATTGTGATGTCGCTGTGATGTAATTACAAAATCCCAAAGCCATGATTTGTACTCGTGTTGTGTTTAATTTGGTGTGATTTGCTCGGGCTGAAGGACTGGCTTGGTTTGGACATCAATGTCTTACTGGGGGTCAGGGGCACCCGCGTGTGTCCAGCTTCCGTCATGGATTCGAAGGCGGAGGCAAAAACACTGGTGTAGGAATTGCTGGACTTCTCGCTTCCCATGAATGCTCGGGCGATTTGAGTCTTAAAAGACATGGTGATGATCTGTAAAGTGTCAAAATTAGACGGGATTAGCATGATGCAATTTTTGGCAAAAATTGGCAAGATGTATACATATGTACTTTCAAAAATTGATAAGATGCACGTGTATGTGCAAAAATTTACAAGATATGTATGTATTTGAAAAAATTGACAAGATGCATACTTATCTGCAAAAATTGAATATTTGCAAAGAACGGAAACAAGTTCTGAATAAAATTGCGAAAAAAAACTTAAAATTTACCTTATGAAATGTGATCGTGTACTACGGAAACGCTGGAAACTTGAGATTTTGCGGAGATCTCTGCAAAAACGGAGTGATCGAGACGGCAGAAAGTGGGAGAGTGAGTAAGGAAAGCGTCGTGTAGTAGGGTTTTAGTTGCTACCTCCAAAACTGGGACAAATGAAGGATTCGCGAATTCGCTGGTCACACTGTAACCTCATGCACAAAGACTTACTCGCTGTAATACAAGTACACTGCATGTTGGATGCTCGTGCTGTTCACGTGCAAATTTAGCATATGTTTCGCCTTAACGTGGAGCCAGTGCGGTGTAGGAGAGAGAATGCAAAAGTTTGGTTTACTCCGGTTTTGCACGTTTCCTCTGCATGCCAAGTTCAAGCGGATTGGCTGATTTCGTGGGATTGGCATGTAGCGAAAGAGTGGGGTGATGCCGATGGTGTGTGGTAGGTTAGGTGAGTGAACTTTCAGTTTCAAGGGTAATTGTATCGTAAAAAATGGGCTATAAAACGGGATGGGAAAGTGAACGGGGGGTATGTATATCTATAAATGTCCAGGCTGGAGGGTATGTATGTACATATGTGCGAATTATACGTGTATGTGCTGTTTACGTAGGTATGTACATATATCCAGAATCGAGTATAATTACTGGATAAACTTGCGATAATCTGCAAAATGAGTGGAACCAGTTACATAATGTATGAGATGATTAGTGGGTATGTAACGACTGCATGAAAAATTATTGCAAATATTTACTTACGTATGTACGATACATTTACATATGTACTACAGAAATTTATTAGAGAAAATAATTATGCATGTATGTATGTATGATAATACTGAAATGAAGTTGAGCTTGGACGACGATTAGAATTATGAAATTACGAAATGGAAGTCCGAGATGTATAAAAATTTAAATATGCCTCCTGCAAAATTTATTTGGCATCGCAATAATTTTCATTCTCTTTCGGTTTAATGAGTCATCATTTTAGTTAGATTATTAAAAGAATCCCCTCGTTAAGAAGAAACTTGTCTACACTCTAAAAAAAGTTGTACTAAATTTGCCCAACCTTGAGTAAAAAAGAGGATGACACAACAGTCGAGGTAAAATTTGTCCAACATTGAGTAAAATTATGATGATGATGCACCTTGTTCGCACAACGTTGGGCAAATTTTACTCAATTTTGGACAAATTTTACCTCGACTGTTGTGTCATCCTCTTTTTTACTCAATTTTGTTTAGAGTGTACTTTCCTGTTCGAACTTATATTTACATACCCGTAGAGCTTAACAAATCTTGACAGAAGACATGCAAGATCAAATATACTAGAGATGCATACAAACATATGTACATATGCACATACGTTTGTAACATGCATTGCATAAAAAGCAGCATAAGCTTATATATATACGTATCATAAAACTGCTTTTGCCAACTAATGATTTTATGAGGAAAACACCGGTAAAAACGCTCAACATTGGGAATTACTATTACACTGTTAAAAATCTCAAAAATGTACATATGTAATCTATATTATTAGCTGGAAATGTTTGTCTGCAACGGAACTGAAAGTAATTTTCCGAAACGGAAGAGAAAGTTAAGTTTCTAATGGCACTTAACAAACATTTCCGGCTAATAATATATGTACAATAAAAAATTAATTCAGAACAATTCCACTCAATTTTCGTCATAATCAAATAAGCTCTCGCCCGGCGGAAGATGGGCTTATACGCTAGTCTTGGATATTCTCGTATGAAAGTAAGCATTGGGTATGTACATACATGTATATCTGTAAAATGTAAGCTATACATGCTCTGCGAATACAGTGTAAACGTATGTACGTACATATGTACATAGGTATGTATGTATGTACCATGTATATGTACATATATCGAAAATCGAGTAGAATTACTGGATCAAATTGTCATAATCTGCCAAATGAGTGGAAACAGTTATAATAATAATTCGAGCATATGTAACGAATGCATGCAAAAGGAAGTAAATTTTCGCGTCTCCTAAATATTCGTAAAATGTCTCATAAATAATATACAAGTTGCCTACATGTGAAACGTCTCTTAAATGAAAAAAAATGTCTCATAAATATTTACATTTATCTCATAATATGATTAGCTATGTAAAAGCAATTCTTATCATTTTCTGCTTATGTTTCCCACATCAAGTCCATCGCACAGCATCCGAAATACTCTCAGCTTGTTTGTTAAAGGTTTTATTTGTTTTCAGCTTTTTAAATTAAAGTCCCAAGTGCTCCAGTTTGGTGACGCTGAATCTGGTGACGCTGAACGCGATTCGAACTCTGAACATGTCATTAGCCCACGGAAGAAAAGGAAAGTCGGTGAGTGTGAGGTGCTCCAGGAGTAAATTTGAAGGCAAGAATTACTTGGAGGAGCTAAAAGAGTGGAGATATCTGAATCAATATCTTCTTCAGAAAGAGAACAAATTTTGAAATATGTGTGTCGAGTGGAAAAAATATGTAGCTCGAAATCAAGGATTCGGCTAGTATTATCTAGTATTCAATGATATACAAAAGGCGATCAGAGATGGTTTTCATAAATTCATACCTGAATTACCAGACGGTTTTTGGGTGGAGAGATTTCTAATGCTTTTTATATCTCAAACCATATGTGAACATATGCATCTGGCTTCCAGTTTTGTGCACTCTGGCAAATGTTATAGGGTCAAATTGGAAAGGTGTCATTTTTTAATTTTCCGAACCAGTGTTCTTATAAAAAAATGGAGTCTAACAAAATGATTTTTTCGGAGGCCCTAGTGCAGAAATCTCCTTTTCGAATTTTACCAAGGGATTTAGCATGCTTTTCACTATATAAAACCACTTTTGTCTCACGCTTATCTTTTAATTCCGTTTTGTAGTCTAATTCCATACTTGTCCTAATGGAAGGCGATCGTGCACACAACTTATCCACTTTTAAGGCCCCACATTTAACGTCTTTGACGTTAAAAATACCAAACGTTGTTTTTGTCGAAGGTACAAATAGTATATTGCACTTTTAGAAAGAAAAAGAAATCAAACAAGGTTTGGTTAAATTACTAAATCTGATAATTATATGAAATAAAGTGAGTTTTTTATAAAACAATTTAGGAGTTACTTATGGATTTATATGAGACTGCAAAAATAATATTAGGAGACGTTTTGCATGTAGGCAGCTTGTATATTACTTATGAGACATTTTACCATTTTTTAGGAGACGCGTTAATTGCATACCCATGCAAAATCATTGCTAATATTTACTAACTTGCGATACGCATACTATTTACATATTAACCAAAAAACAGAATCGTGTATCCTTCGGGGCGATAATGAAATGAAGTTGAAATTAGATGACAAACTTAATTACGTACGAGATGTATAAAAATGTAGGTGTGCATTCTGTCCAAATTATTTACATATTTAGCGTGGTGCACAATAATTAATAATTTCATGCAAATCGATGATTCATCATCTAGTAAGAAGAGTACTGGAAACCATTCGTTAAGAAAAAACTTGTCTATCTACTTTCCTGTTCCAACTTATACATACATGCACGCATACCCAAGGACCTTAACAAATCTTGAGATGGGACATGCAAGATTGGATTTAGGGATAAAAACCAGAATATATACGTAAGTACGTACATATATATGTATGCCGCTTTTTGATGTGCATGTGTAACATTAATCTGTTTTTCAACAAATGATGCGATTTTCTGAGGAAAAAACATGTAAAACCACCCAAAATTGGGAATTATTACACTGTTAGAAATCTTCCAGAGATACATATATACTCCGTACTGGTATTGATTTGGTAATAATTTCCTACCAGATTGGTATTAATTTGTTTGTGAGTGGTAAATTTTTCACTACCACAACATTACTAAACGGCGTCAGTTAATGCCTCTTATCACCAGTACCGGTAGAGTCACACATGTACTCCGGTCACCAGTGATTCAATACCAGTTTTCTAAGAGTGCCCACGTGCAGCACATTTTAGACGACTGGAACATGTGAGTGACAACTTGGCAAATTTTTAGATTAATAAAATACAGCGTCCACTTTCTCAAGGTAGTTTACTTTAGTTTAGTTTTAGTCGTGAAGAGTACTCGTTGCCCTGTATTTTCTGCTCCTAAAAAGCTGAAATGTTTTGTGGATTACTTTGGTACGGGGTATTTGCGGGGGTCGCATATGGATTGTATCTTTACCTCCAGAAATTTTGGATGCAGCAGAAATTGTAAGAATCAAAAATTTCAAAATCAAATTTACAGTCAAAATTTCTGATTTGCCACACTCGATTTCTGTTCAGGGATCGTTTTTCCAAGGATAAATGTCCCAAGGACAAAGTGATTCTGCACGGAACGCCACGCAGCGTCGGGGTCCCCACCGCGTCACCGTTCGTGCTAAAGTTGGAGACTTTTTTGCGAATGACCAAAATTGATTATGAGTACGACGGTGACCCCAAAAACACTTTCGGCGAGAACGGAAAAACCCCCTGGATCAGTCTGAACGGCGAACATATCGCAGACTCCCAGGTTTGCATCCAGTTTTTGACAAAGTATGTAACTACTTTTTTGCATGTTAATAATTCGAAATTATATTTATGTATGTAATTCTGAAATTTGTAACTTGTTTAACAGGAAATTCAACAAACAGATAAAAAACAATTACAGCGAGAAAGAGAAAGCCGTCGCAAGTCTGGTAAAATCGACTGTGGAAGATCGATGCTTCTGGCAATTTTTTTGTCATTGAAATTTAATCTGTTAGACCTCTCTGGTGCATCTGGTAGCTATTGATTTCTCGGTATTAAAGTTGTTCCAATATTTCCCCGTATTAAGTTACACAGGTCTCCGTTAAAATTTGCTACGGATATGGTAAAACTTTAGTACCGGGCTGTGTATGTATGTATCACTGCACCGTATTATTTATCAATACCGCTTTGGTAGAGTCATACATACATATGTGAGTACCGCTTGGTATTATTTTGACCTCACTGTGACCATAATTAAAAATAATAATCTGATACATCTGGTGACAAATAATTTAATTTTCATGATTTCCTATAAAAGACAAATATGATTCAACGAGTTTCCAATTAGTTGTTTTACGAAAAACTTAAACAATCTATTTTTTAGTATTCGTCGATATAGGGAAAATCCAAAAATTTGAGACCAAAAAATATGTAAAAACAAATTTTTTACCGTAAAGTTTCTCACAAAATACCAAAGATACATACATATATGTATTCTTATATTTAAAAAAAATTGAAAAGTGTATGCACGAAACATATCTATCTTTTTTAATACATGATATCGATGACCTATTTTGTGTCTAAGGGACACGTTTCGAAACACGTGTTTCGCCAAAATGAGGATCTAAGAGTATATGTATGCACAATCTTTATTCCTACCAATTTTAAATAGGGAAATCTTCATGTGGGCATTTATCTGGGGCGGAGAGCGTCACGCAGCTGTAGGAAGGACGCTAGCAATACCTTGGTATGCCGTGAAATTTTTAGGATTTCAATACCGAAACGTGGTCTGGGCTCAAGGGATAGGCAGACATACGAGGGAAAATATTGCAGCTTGGACTTACAGTGATATAAAATCCGTTGCCACCGTTTTGGGGAACAATAAGTTTCTCCTTGGTGACGAACCCTGCCTCGAAGACTGCACTCTTTTTGGGTAACAGTTTACTTCAACATGATTAAAATTTTGTAAGAAATTAATCTATCTTAATTCTTATTTACAGATTTTGTGGACAATTATTTTGGGGATTTCCAGCCTCATCTCCTTACTCGAAATTTGCCAAAGGTAAATTTGTGATTTACTGCACAATTATTTATTGCCTTAAAATTCAATCTTAAGTACAGTGTTCCCTTTTAAAAAGTAAATGCACTCTGAACTTCAACTTTGACATTCTGAATACACTCTTAGAAAACGGGTATTAAATCATTACTGACAGGAGAACTTCTTTGTGAGGACTTTATCGTCACATTTACTTTTTAAATGGAGGACATTATTTTTTAGAGTGAACGTAATGCAGTATGGTTCTGATTTATTTAATAATTACAGAAGAATATCCCAACCTCTATGCGTACGCTAATCGAATGAAAGATCGCTACTTTCCCGACTGGGATCAACTTATTGCAAAAGAAAAAAGTGCCTAGAGCTCTATCAGTATTACTTACATAAAGCTAATCATTAATTATGCTAATTTCGGGGAATTTGCCGCACAGATTTTATTTCGTCGCTAATTTCAGAAGTCATAATCACTAACGCATCGAAAGCTTTAAAAAATGTTTCTTGAAAATGTATATTTTTTGGGTAATAAATAAATTTTATTGATTTCTCAACACGGGGGCACAAATTTGCATAATTACACACAAAACGTCTTTATGTACATTACATATACTGTGCTCTTATATGCATATCTGGACTTGTCACCTCATTTACATTAATCTCACTACGCTAATTTTTAGCGATATTGGCTTTCCATGCTGAACAAAATCTTGTGTCTCTCGCGAATTCGTCAAGATATGCAAATTAGGTGACCAGCACAAATAATTCCACTATAACTACAATTCTTAATCGCCCATCCTCATTTCTTCCTCTTAAGCGCCAACAATGCTCGAAACACACCACGGATGATCCCCTGCATAAATTTCATGACTGATTTATGCGTCACAACTAAAAACCCGTCCCACCCAAAGAACAATGGTTTGCAACTTTTCCTAAATTTTGACATGTATTTCCTATCCGCTCCCGAACCCCAGTGGCCGCCGCCATGTACCCTCCAAGAAGTCAAACACTTCTTCGCAGACTTTTGAATCTTTGCCGCACACGTCATAAGGACCACCCAGGTCAGCACGGCGAAAGGAACACAGACCAAAATGGTCATCTTCGTGGCTACGTCGATCTTCCCGCCTTCCGCAATTAGCATGTATCCCGCAGAAACGGTCAGTTGTCCAAAAAAGGTTTGCAAAATTGGTAAGTACCGCCCAAAAACGAGCCTAACTTCCTTCATGGCCAATTGTAAGGAGCGATACACAAAGACGAGATGTTCCGGGGATGTTCCAAGTTCTGGGGAACATTTGAATTTCCTTCTTTCACGGGCTTTGTTGCTAGTTAATGCGAGTTCTTGTAAGACCGGAAGGATAAGCAAAATAAGGCCGGAGAACGCTTGGAATAATGTTTTCGCGCAGGATTCAACGAAAAACAATGAGTACATCAGGGCTGGTGCGTAGAGGAAGTAGGCCAAATAGAATAAAGCGGGGTAATTCGAAAATATGGTGGGAATGTGCATCGAATGCAGGGGTGAGATGAAAATCTGACACCAGAGAGCGAGCGGAACGAGATTTAGTAGTACGTTGGAGGGGCGCGTGATTAGGAGCCAGTTTCGGTTGAACGCGGCAACTGCAGTTGATCCAGGATAGTTCCAGTATGTGTCTGTAAATACAATGGAATAATGCAAAAATACGCTGAAACGTGAAAAGTGTGTGACACAATTAGTTATTCTCTTTAAGTATGACACGCTTGCATTTGTTTGCACTTTTTGAAATTCAAAAACGATACGTGCGTATTTTATTTTTTATCGGAAAATCCTCGATCACTAGAGACCGCTTATCCCTGACAATGGAACCATTTTTCAAGCTACACCGAGATCTACTAGCGAGTTATGTCAAAAAATCAAGCCAAAAATTATTAATCACGTGAGACATATCTTTCCGTTGAATGGCCTCTTTGAAGAAAAATATTGGCGGTTATGTTCGATTTTTGAGCAAATTTTCTCTTGCTTTTCCTCAACGGGGCGAAAACCGGGGAGGGGTGGGAACTTTGACCCGCAAAATATTTCTTCACAGGGGCAATTCAACGGAAAGATGAGTGTCACGTTACTCCTAATTTTTGGCTTGATTTTTTGACATAACTCATTAGTCGATCCCCATGTAGCTTGAAAAAAGGTTCCATTGTGAGTGTATTTTACCCAACGTATGAATATATGAGTGCATATTACATTACCCATATAATTATTTTTCTTTATGTTACCCGTTATGTACTTAAACTATGTATAAATATATTTACATATGTGCATACCATAGAATTTATCGCCGAATAAAAACAGTCCATTCCAATTTCGTGCCACTTCTTTGGGCTGATATGCAAATATATATGCTCCCACAGACATTGCCATCGCGGCGTAGGTAATGACGACAAGTAGATTGAAGTCGGGCGAATTTTTGATAAATTTATGCATCACGGTTTGCCCAAGCAAGTAAAAAGTGTACAAAAATACATATTCCGAAATGAATTTAGCTCTAGAATGAAATTTTTGAGAGAATTGTAACGTTCTCGTCTTTTTGTTCCAAATTAATGGAAAGCCGAATTTATTTGCGGTTTTTATCGTTTTCGAAAACTCTTGGGTGAATAGGTCACTAAACATTTTGAAAGTTTGGGTGTGGACGAAATATTGATTTGTAATGAGAGAAAAAGGTTTTGCCAGTGAGCTTACATATTTGCATACATAAATCGACATTTAAACTAGTCAGGTATTCATGGAATAATTTAATTTTAAGTATTTCATGGGGTAAATTAGGTTAAGCGACAGGAAGCCAAAACAGAAGGGAATATACTATTGCCTTCTGTGTTGAATTATTAAGTTAGTGAAATCCGCTTTATGGAAGCGTTGGTCCGTCCGTCCGTTGGTCTCTCCCACCGCGCTATATATATAAGTTCCTACATAAACGATATTTTTCAATTCTATTTCATGCAATCGACAAAACACATGTTAAAAAGCATGTTAAGTATTCGACACGAGAGGTCACGCCTTTCACGGTAAAAGGTCACAAGTAAAAAAACGTCCTACGATAATGGAACACATCATTTGAAAGATATGTTCAATACCTTTTGTAATATATACGACACTTGCGAACTGTGACACTTAAAACACTTTAAAATATATCATAAACTAAAAATAATATATCCAAAATGAGGAAAAATTAGATTTTTTTGCAATATCTAGTTCACCTCGTGGTCGTTTCTAAACCAGTCATAAATAATATCAAGGCAGTTTTACTTTACCCAAAATTTGGCTCCCGCATTCGTATACGAATACATATACATATGTGTACGTTGGAAGGGTGGATGCTAAAATCGAGAATTTTTTATGACATAATATATGAATGGGATTTCTGCAGGATTTTATGTAAGTCCATTTTTAATGGTTTATTTGTTCCCCCCAGTCATAGGAAGGGTAGTTGAAATATAAGGTTTAAAAAATAATAAATTAGACAAGTAAATATGTATATACATAGGTCCATAAATTTATTAAACCTCGACTTACGTGGCCTCTGCCTATACAATTCTACATACATGCATAAGTATGTATTTATGTATCTACAAAATTTCATAGACCTACATATTTATACAAAATTATTTAAACATACACAAATTTATATCTCGATGCTGATTTATGTAGCCTGGTAACACAGTTTTCTGTGACATAAATAAAAACAAGTAAATACACAATCCTCTTCATTTATATGTATCTGTGACACACCTTCATCTTATTCATTTCTTCTTCTTGAGCGCCAACAATGTCCGAAACACGCCGCGGATAATACCCTGCATGAACTTCATAACGGATTTATGCGTCAACACTAAAAACCCGTCTAACCCAAAGAACATTGGTTTGCAACTTTTCCTAAATTTCGACATATATTTCCTATCCGCTCTCGACTCCCAGTGGCCGCCGCCATGCACCCTCCAAGAAGTGAGACAGTCTTTCGCAGACTTTTGAATTTTTGCCGCGCACGTCATAAGTGCGACCCAGGACAGCACGGCGAACGGAACACAGATCGAAAAGGTCAACCTCGTGACTAAATCGATCTTCCCGCCCTCCGCGATTAAAACGTATCCCGTAGAAATACCAAGTTGCCCCAGAAAGGTTTGTATAATTGGTAAGTATCGGCCAAAAACAAGCCTAATTTCCTTCATGCCCAATTGTAAGGAGCGATACACAAAGACGAGATGTTCCGGGGATGTTCCAAGGTCTGGGGAACATTTGAATTTCCTTACTTTGCGGGCTTTTTTACTAGTTAACGCAAGTTCTTCTTGTAGGATCGGAAGGATAAAGAAAATCAGGCTGGAGAACGTTTGGAACAGTGTTTTTATATAGGATGCGACAAAGCAGAAGGAGTACATCATTGCTGGCCCGTAGATGCAGTAAGAAAAATAGAATAGAGCGGGGTAATTTGAAAATATGGTCGGAATATGCATCGGATGTAGGGGTGAGATGGGAATCTGACACCAAGCAACGAACGGGAAGAGATTAAGTAGAAAATTGGAAAGGCGCGTAATTAGAAGCCAGTTTCGGTTAAAGGCGGCAACTGCAGTTGATCCAGGAAAATTCCAGTATGTGTCTAAACAATATAAGAATTAAAACAAATAAGTTAAGACATTGTGAAAAGTGTTTCATACAATTATTTGTTCTACTACTATTACTAGTATTAAAATAATACCAAGCGGTCGTCACATATGAGTACGAAAGTGGCATTGATATGTAAGTAATACGTTGCGTGCATGTATGTAGTAATAGCTCACACTCAGAGCAAAAAGTAAGCAAATTTGCTACCGGGCGGTGTCTATATATGACCTCACCGGTTTGGTAGCGATTTGCTACGAAATTGTAGTAAATTTGCTCCCACATTTTGTCTCACCGTAACAGCGCGGTAGGGAAATACTAGAACATAGTAACATATTTACTACAACTCTGTAGCAAATCGCTACCAAACCGGTGAGGTCATATATAGACACCGCGTTTAGCGATTTTGCTCTGAGTGCAGTATTAAAGTTCTACACTATCGGTAGCAAAGTTTCCTGACCCGGTAAAATTTTATTACCAAGCGGTAGCAATCGAGAAATCACTATCTGCCTGACTATATCAGATTTCTCACAGTTGACAGTGCACATATCTATGTACTTTCCGCTGTTACCGGAACATTAGGTACATACATATATAAATTTCGGTCTAGGAAGAATGGGTACTGACCAATTTGGGTACGTGACGTACCCCACGTCATACATACATTTGCAAATCTAACCAAATTTTTGCACTCACATAGTAAATATGTGAGTCCGAAATTTCCAGGAAATCTGGAAGGCACACAGACATTATCTTGCGTGTTTATTTACATATTTATGAATGGAAACTTTCAGAAGGAAGGATGCAGATAAACTATTTATAAACATACCATAAAATTTAACGCTGTATGAAAACATTTCATTCCAATTTCGTGCCACTTCTTTCGGCTGATATGCAAATATATATGCTCCCACAGACATTGCCGTCATGGCGTAGGAAACGACGAGGAGTAAGTTGAAATCCGGCGAATTTTTGATAAATTTGTGCCTTGCGGTTTGCCCAAGAACGAATAAAGTATACAAAAATATGTATTTCGAAACTAGTTTAGTTCTAAAATGAAATTTCGGAGAGAATTGTAACCTTCTCGTCTTTCTGACCCAAATTAACGGGTAGCCGAATTTGTTTATCGTTTTTATCGTTTTTGAAAACTCTTGGCAGAATAAGTTAGTAAACATTTTGAAAGTCTGGAGTATTGATTTGCAATGAGAGAAGAAAGTTTTGGCAGTGGGCTAAGCCTACTAACAAGGGAACCTCAACTACTGTCCCATCTCGATTTCCTTCGGAATAGCCTTAATCGACAGATAATTTAATGACACTAAAACTTTGTCATAGAACATGCGGTGCAAAATCGCGTTTTCGCGAATTATTTAGCAAGAGCTGCACCAAAACCTGCAATTTTCTCAATGCTTTTAACATAGCCCCCAGCTTTTCGAATGATGAAATGAACTTTATAGAATATTGACAAATTATTTATGTACCGGTCCGCGTAATTTCAGCCCGATCACGAATATGCGAAAAGTGATGCAGACATTTGCCAAGTTGATAAGCTTAATTTAATAAAATTACTCAAAATAATAAACCCCATAAAAAATGGGAATCACTCGAGTCATTAATCACACTTTGATGCTATAGTTATTTGAATATTTTTTACTCTGCAGTCATAACAAGACGACAACTGCATTATGCCAGTACAAGTGAATGTGCATAGACACATACGATTTAATACCTTCTAGGCCACTAAACCAGGTATTTGTTAAACATTTATAATTATGTTTATAAAAACAAAATGCAAAATGCACCACATTTCTTGTAAATAACCTTCAACTGCAACTTCTACTTCCTATATTAATACCTCCTAAACATCAATCTAGTCTTGTACTACTCCCATCATTTGTACAAAACACAATGCGATTTTTAACCCTACTTTTCGCAACAATTGGTATGTAACTCATCCAGGTTAGAATTAATAAACTTAAATAACTAACCTAAAACCATTCACATTTAGCGACCGTCTCCATCAATTCAAACGCAATGCCGGCACGTCGTGAACAACTCGAACTTGAGGACGAATCCTTACCCGAAAACATGGAAAAACGCTGTAAGTTTGCAAAACTACGACTTCCAGAAATCCAGTATTAAGCTAATGCCAAAAGGTATTCGTACATATACGGCACTACCAATTAATAAACAATAGTAGCAATAATACATATTCACTTCCGTATTAGAGTTTTACTATATCGGTAGGAAATTTTTACGCATCATTTGAATACCAAGTGGTATCAACTTTAATACCGAGAAATCAATACCTGCCTGGCCATACCAGTTTTATAACAGTGTAAATAGTATTTACTAAATACTCACTATATTTATTAACTATCGCTTAGATAACAGCAAAATTTATTTGGAAAATAGAAATACACAAATACAAAATTTTTAATTTGTCAACATTTTAAATTTGTCAAAATTTTTGGCTAGACTTACGCGTATCTTTTTATCCAGACTACTATACCAGATTTTTCAGTGTAATTTTAAAATGCAGTTTACAAAAAATGTTCCCGATTTTCTAAATACAGATTCCCACCACCATTACGATTACTACTCCGACGAGGACCACTATTATTCTGGGGAGGCGTCTTACTCTTATGAGCGACACGATTACGGAAGAGCGCTAAAAAAAATCGGGGAAATTTTTGCTTGAAAAAGTCGGAGGTCATGCTGGCGCAAATAATTCCACCTATTACACTGGGTCCAATGGGGGATTATTTGTTGGAGTGGGTGGTTGGGGTGGTAACATAAAGTAAAATAATTTTTAGTGGTAATCAACCGTAAAGATAATGCAAACATAACAATGTAACCACAACAATAGGAAAACAGAATCGTAGGAATGTTATAATCATTAACTTGATTACCAATCTATTTTCAACTTATTTGCAAAATTCGCTTTAAAAATTTAGATGCTCTTATCAGCGCACTTGAGTTTTACATATGTTGTTATGCTTAGAAGAATAAAATAATTAAATGCAACTATATGCCAAATAAGCCCTGGAAATGCTCCCTTTTACAATTATATACTTGCACAATTATATTTATTGTATTTGGAATATCCTTAATTCAAATTGAAGCAATTTTTAATTGTATTTACACAAAATGAAGTTTAACATGATTCCTGCATATTATGTAATTTATTAATTCGCCCCTAAAATTTTGACTTGTTCAGCTGGCTCATCGACGACGACCTTAGCGACGGGACCGAAACATGAAAAATAAAGGCACGCGCAGTCAGTGCCACATTGAAACGAGAACCAACACGCTCCCCCACAAGACTGCAAAAAATATTATAACATGATACATTTTATAAAGAATGGTTATATTCCTAGAAATCCGGTATTAAGATAACACCAAGCGGTATTCATAAGTAATATGCACATTGTAAATAGTACATAATACATTAGCACATAGCTAATGTATGCGATTTAGTTACATTAGCACATAGCATATAACACATAGCTCGGTATTAAAGTTTAATCATACCAACAAAAATTAAGGGCGGGTATAATTTTAATACTATATGGTAGCACATTAATACCGAGAAATCAATATACCAGAATTCTAATAGTGCATAAATTTCTAACACAATCAGGAACTTATTTACGATTAATTACTCACATTTGGTTCTGCAACACGCAAAGACAACTCGTTTTGTGAAGGTGCACTGGTCACCGTTTGAATAGCAACCATGCAAACGGTCAGAATGACGAGGGCAGCCACAGACTTCATAGTTATGGAAGATGAAAAAGTATAAAGTGTGTAGTTTTAAAGTTTGTATCTGATTAATGACTAAACGTAGTGTGCTGTCTGTTTTTATACGAGCTTTAAGTGAGGTTAACGATAAGAACGAATTCGTAATTGGTAATTTCGCCACTTCAGTTTAAAAAAAAACCATGTTATAATTAATGCCCAAGTTCAATTGGTTATTTTATCCCAATTCAGAAGTAATTGATTGTATTAATATGTTCATATGTACGAATATGAAATGGTCCCATATTTGGTAAGTATTTTGTTTGTTCGTCTGAATATGTATTGTAATAATTACTGTGATTGAAATATCAAGTATATATTATACATACGTCACTTTATTCAATTAATTGTAATTTCTTGTCGAACTTTGGGTTCGACAGGTTCGGTAAGTCCGACGACGGACTTATCAAACTGAGTGATAAAAATATCACACCGCGTGTCAGTGATTTAGTATTATAAATAAATATGTAGCATTCATACATAAACATCATTGGATTATTGGATAAAGCAGAGAAATGCTTACATTTTTTTGCCTAATAAACCAGGTTATAAAAAAATGTGGTAATTTTTAGTTTCATGAACCATTTTTTATTACAAATAAAGTTGGAAATTGATTTCACTGCTGTCAACCGCATATTTAATTATGTATATTTAGTTTGATGAAATTGTTATCAATGTATGTATCAAATACTTTTGTATATAAGCAGTACTAAATTTTAAAGATCTGAATGAATGAATTTATTAATCCATTTTTGGGGCCAATCGGGCCCATAAAGGAGTGTATAATTGTGGACAGGTATAATAATAATAATGTTAAATTTTTTGGCCTTTCGGCTAACAAGGGAAGGTCCCCGACTGCTTATCGTGTTCAGGGTACCCACTATGTTTTTTAGAATCTACCAGGACTTCAGATGAAGGATTCATTCATATTTCCGTGTAAAACTCATATTTGGCGCCATGGTGTGGCGCCAAATTTAAAAATTTGCATTTTCGACCAATTTCAAACCCCCATAACTTTTGCAGTTTATGTCTGATTTTCAAAATTTTATGCTTAAAATGATCACAAAAGTCGAAATTTTAGGCAAAAAAATAAAAATAAAGAAATTATAATTTTGGAGATATTTTTAGCATTTTTTCGAGGAACATTTTTCCTAAGAAAATTACGAAATTTTACGAAAAGTTAAAAGTGATAATTTTTCGAAAAATGTCATGGGATACGAAAGTTGAAGTCCTTATCTTGATTTTTGCCAAAATTTTTGAAAATCCGTCCAGGATTTCAAAAGTTATGGCGGTTCCAAAAATAAAAACATTCAAATTTGGCGAATTTGGCGCCACGGCACGACCCCAAATATGAGTTTTACACGGAAATATGAATGAATCCTTAATCTGGGGTCCTAGTAGATTCTAAAAAACATAGTGGGTACCCTGGACACGATAAGCAGTCGGGGACCTTCCCTTGTAAGATCAAAGTGTAGCATCCGTTCTTATCAACTTAATTTTAAATATCTGGGACATTGCATGTGAATGACTTAGATATTTATCCTATGACTTAAAATTTACATATATTGATACCTTTATCAATTAATTGTAAAATTTATATATTAATAAACTCTTGTGTCGGCATTAAGGCATTACTTATGTACATATGTTCAGAAATTGATGCCATATGCATCAAGTTCGTTAAAAAAATTGCTAGTCCCATGATATTATTAATGACTTATTGCTTACTTACTTATGTATAAGTACATAGATACAGAGTAATTTTTTCAGATTTTACAGCGGTTTATTATAGTATTCTTCCGTCCGGACGAGAGCTTAATGAGACATTTTAACTCTGAATTAGCTTAAGGTTTTTTTTTAAATTTCAGATGGTGGCAATTTTGTACCGCGCTGGTCGTGTAGATTTTTAAATGTAAAATGTAATTATGCCCTGCGAATACACCATATAGACTCCTGATGAATAAGATCACTAATATTTATTCTAAGTATTAGCTTCACTTCGTGCTGAAATCCGTACATCCATCACATTCACAAAAATCTGCCCCAGTTCCATACCATCCCGATGGTGAGCAACAATGAGCATCTGCACTGTCCGCGTTGCATTCCGCTATTCCTCCATCATCCAACAATGGAGCGGACGGCCCACACCGGCCACTCTTGTCAGGACCATCTTCCCAGTCCCACCATTTCTTTGGGGGGTATACATAGTCCGGATTATCGAGGAAATTGCCGCACCCGTCACACTCACAAAATTCCTGGCCCGTCCCACAATACCCAGACGAGGAACAGCAGTGTGTATTTGCATCGTCGGGATTACATATGGGTATGTTGCCATTTAAAGGTGGCGCTGGTCGGCCGCATCGGCCCCACTTTCCTTCCCCGTCAGACATTGTGTACCACGCGATTGATAAACGAGTCGGCTTCACCGGTTCTTCAAGCATAAGGGACGGATCGTTACCATAATTCTTGCATGTTGGACAGTCACAAAAGTCTGGACCAGAACCGCAATAACCGTACGCCCCACAGCACGAGTAACCTGGGTCTTCTGGATCGCAAACTGGGTAATATTCGTTTATCAAGGGGGCACTCTTGCCACACATTCCCTCATAACCGTTGCCATCCTCGGGTGTCCACCATCTCTTCTCATCGGTTGGGAGACATCTATGTGTTACCTTTTTTATAATTAAATTATATCAACGTATAAAGCTTGATAATTATAGCACTCTCGTGATTTTACTAACACACCTCAAATGGATCAAAATGTCCACACAAGTTCCCATTAGAAAGAACGCTTAGCATAGTGTCGGCGTCGTCATCCTGGTCTAACGCCCAGATCATCATTCCGCCCAAATTGTATCCCTTGGCGTATGAAACTTTAGCCGCGAGACTAACTGGATCTTCAAACCCTAAGAATTTCCTTTCAACAGCATTATATGCATACGGGGTTTTTGTTTTTTCATGCATTTTGACTACATATCCAGAGTTACTAAGGATGTCATGTTTTATAGATTTCCATGGCAGGAATGATCCCGTGAAGCCACCTCGACTCGCCACATGTCATCTTCACCGTCGATAGACTCGTCGGGGACATTATTCCACAACCGCCTGTAGAAAGGTACCCCCATATTTATTTACGATGGAGAATTAGCTTTACACGTGTAGTACTTTGTTGTCCAGTGGGCGTTCATTTTACCTGAAAATCCTTTCGGAGTCCCGTAATAAAGCGGAGACGGTGGCCCTATGTAAGCTCCCCACTTACTGGCCCAAGGTCCATAGTAGTCATAAGTCATGACGTTAGCCCAATATGATATTATGCTTGTAACGTGATCCATGTAATTCTGAAAAATAATTGTGTTAATAGCGAAAAGAATTGATAAAATCTCATATTTATTTTAATAACTGAAGTCCTACGTAGTACTATATACTATATGCACTGTACATATGTATGTACTACATACTATGTAGTATGATATTACCAGGACTTCAAACAAATGTCCTATTTGCCCCATTCCATACTAAAGTAACCAAATTTTAGCGAAGTCGGGAAAGTTTATGCCCGTCGGATGGGTTATCTAAGACAACTGAATACAGTCAGACGATTGTCTGTCCTCATGTGCCCTCAGCGCGGAGGGCCCATGAGGGCGCATATTGTAAAAGCCCAGCAATGTCAAAACCTGGATCTAACGTCCATTGACCGGCGGCACCCGCAAATGAAATTGGGTACGGTTCTGATCTTCCAACTCGGGATGAATAGTCGTTCAATGCCTCTCGCAGTTCAGTCATGAGCTCGACATAATTCTCCTCGTCGGATGGGTTTCCCTCCACGGCGCCTCCTGTCACGGGAAATTCCCAATCTACGTCTACGCCATCTAGATCGAAATCCTCTAAGATCTGGAGAACTGAGGAAATAAAGTTTTCTCGTAAGACCGAGCTGGCCGCGATTTAACTAAAGCTCTCCGAGTTTTCCCACCCACCCACGGCAAACATTCCCTTTAGGTGCGAAAAGTTGTGAAGGACTTTTAGAAATTGACCAAATCTTAGTTTTGATATGGCAATCTTCATCAGGATTTGGGGAATTGTTCGGATCCGCTGAGCCAAGACGGATTGTTCCATCGGGTAGGGTTTGGAAAAAGGCAAACACGACGTGGGATAGCTTTGCTGCTTGGGTGTCTCGCAAGGTCGTATTTCCCCAGGATGGAAAGTACCCAATTAATCGTTTCCCGCAAGATGCCGATTTGTACTCTGGAGACGAAAAGCTTGGCCTCGATAGGGTGTCATTGTTTCCCTCCCCTATCATAAACTCTTCCTTCCTGCCCCCAATATTTCTCGGGTTTAGCATATCGTTAACAAAATTTATTCTAGAGGAAGATATCCTGTATATGAACGAACTAGGGCGAGTACTTCGGGCATTATCGTAGGTAAAAATAACCGAGAATTCTACTTGGCCATCAGCTTCTACCACGTCACGAACCATGCTCTCGGCCTCTCTCCAAGCCCCTCGGTTAATATTTGAATTCTGTGGAAATATATTTTCTTCCATGGTTCCACTTCCGCCTAAACCTTGCGCTATGATATGTCCAGCATCGTCATTACGCTCACCCATGGACCTTGCGTATACTCGAATACGGTCATTCGTAGATGTACCTTGTCCCAAGTGTTCTCTTCGAATAAAAGCATGTACACCTTCTACTCTCCCGTTAGAACTCCGATGGACGTGAAAGGCCAGTCTGGAAGGTGCGTCCATGATTCTGTTTTGATATTGATCACTCTGAAGGGCAGCAATGCCTAGGAAAAATAGATCAGGCATCCACCGTATGCACTGTGGTGGACCCGGCCTGTTGGATGCTGCTGCTGCTCCAAGTGCAACGGTGCCCGCAATAATTGCTGGTAAGAGCCAAGGTAAAAATTTTGGGGAACGGTTTACAAGTGTTGTAGTGTTTGTATAGTAGGACGAGGATATTAATGGTTTAGAGGATTTTGTGGATCTTCGACGTCTCAATTTGTCATGAACATGCGTGCGAGATTCCCTGTACTCCATTTCGTGCTCGTAACAAGGGCCGATCGCTTCAGCAAGATCGTTGAAATCAACGTCTTTCATATTACTGTGTCCACTACTGCCGGGATAGATTCGGGTCGATGTGCCTGAACAGTTTCGATGTTCGTAGAGTCGAATACAGTTGCCCTTCGTGTTCACGGACGAAGCTTCCTTTGCTAAAGTTACAGAAAGTGGAATGCAGTACATGGTGGGAGGACCAGTGTCGTAGGAAGGTCCTGAATTGTGAAAAGTACATTAATAGAATTGTAGAAACTTATTTTTTAACCATATATTACGATTTAACCTTTGAAATTCTTGTCTTTGTACAATATTACATGAAATTCCTTAGGCCTTTGCGACACGGCATAATGCAATTCTATTAATATTATCAACGGGAAGACTGGTAAAATCATATCGATTTTATGAGAATTTAACACACGTAATTAATTAAGGTGATTTTCGGATGTCCATATACTGGCGTATGCACATATGTGTGCTGACAGCTATATTCTTATATAGGTAGGGAAAACCTTACATACATTTATTGACAAAAATTAATGTTTATTCAGATGCCGAAATTTGTTAGAATTTATTTTTTTTAATTGATTGTTATCCGTGAAGATTTATCGATTCTTCTTTATTTAAATATGAAGCTCGGCATTGAAACTTTCAAGCCGAAAGCAATACCGAAATTGACACAGGTGATGCTCAATTAATAAGGTAAATAACGTCGAACACGATTCATTAAACAGAATGACATGTCCTATTGTTAGATAAATGCAAATATTTCTTGCTCAAGCCAGCTTGCCAGGCTTATTGAAGTTTTGACCTTCAATTTTAATTGTATCACAATTATTGTTCTTCGTTGGAAAATTGGGTAGACATAATCATCATCTGTTCAAACTCATCGAACCACAAATGTACGTATTTCGTAAAATAACTAATCGTAATTGTTAAACCATGGGAACGGTTACACCATACAATGGATATGGAGGTGGTCTTCCCGCGTATACTCACAGATTTTGACCAAACTAATATCAAATTGACACTATCTATAACTTAAAGTGTAAAAGTGATGATTCCATCGGTATTAATAAAAGCAATGAATATTAATCAATTTCAATTACGCTAGTAACAATTTTTTAAGGATTGTATGAGTATGCAATTCATCTATCTAGCATACATTGAGCATACATGCATGTACATACATATGTGAGATAGATTATATAGATATACGGATTATACAGAAATATCTGTATATCTGTATGTAAGATATGTATGTATATTACATATATGTGTAAGAAATGATATGACTGTAAACTGCACTGCTAGAAGTATAATCTACAAAATGACGCTACAAATATTGCGATTAAAGTTGCTACCGTTCTGTATTAAAATTATACCGGTACGTAAAAATTTGCTATCGATGTGGTAAAATTTTAGTGGCGAGCTACATATTACTACACGATATTAATGCTGATCAATACCACCTTGGTAGAGTATATAAATATTTACATACATTAGTACCGCTTTGTATTATTTTAATCCTGGATTTCTAATAGTATAGTATAAATAATTGTAAACGCAATTTTCGTTTTCTGTGCACGTATGTATGTATTTAATATTTATTTACAAATTTCCATCTCTGCTTGGTTGGCACTACTGATTACTAAATTTGATGAATATAGTCCGCATTGTTTTTTAATCAGTTATAATTCGTACACACGGTCCATTTTAATTTCAATCCAGTTTGAGACCTCCCCTTAAAATGAAAGTATCTAATTGAGTTAATTTCATCCCCCTTAATTTAGAATTACGCACAAAATACTAATAGAATTTGCTCACAATTTCCTGTAAACAAGTCCACTGCGATGCAGCCCTATTTAAAATAATATACCATATCTATGTTATAATCATTCCGTTAAAAACGTATTTCTTCGTCTTAAAGTAGTTCATTTGAAACTTATTCCAAATTTGAAAATAAATATTTATTCATTATTCATTCGTCCCATTTTATCGCAAATTCCCGTTATTCGATGAGTTTCTCAACATGTATTAAGCATTATTCATTCGTCCCATTTTATCGCAAATTCCCGTTATTCGATGAGTTTCTCAACATGTATTAAGCATCACAAGCTATGATTGTATGTTCTTGAGGTTGAGCAAGAATATTTTATGGGAGGATTGTAATTCTCATTAATTTCCGGCGGCAGATTTGAAATTCCTGCAAGTTGAGTATATGAGTACAATACAATGCTGCCTGGAGACGGAGATTTGTAATCCTGAGTTTGACTAATTTTGATTTTCCCTCTGTGTTTACAATCGCAAAATACAATCATGTACTCTTGCTCAACCTGTCTAATATTTGTCCAATTCATTCTAAAATTTGGAAAAATATATTCTCTCATTATTCATAAATTTAATGAATAACGAATGAATAATTCTTTCATTCTTTCACAAGCATGTAAACTAATTTCTTAAATAAAATATGAGTTGTCCCCATATTGAAAGTGTCAAGGTTCCCCCTATTTTTTCACCCACCTAAAAATTAATTTTGGACATGTAAAGCACATAAAAATTGACAAATTTGATGAGCTTTCTAGAACTGAAAACAGAATTTGATTATATCCTTTCGTTAGAAAATGACAGCACAAAATGTAGTGGAAGTGGAAAATTAGTTTGCCACTCGTGCGAAAAAGTGATTTTCTCGGATCGGAAAAAGGCTCTTGACCACCTCATTCTTCAAGGGATGCACAGGACAAAATTAACCATACCCTATACGGGTATAGGGATCGTGAAAATGCAAAGTATAAAATTTGGCCGTGTCAACCTGTGCGCCAGCAGACCGATATACTGACGCGAAACGTGAAAAATCATTTGGAGGCAACTTCAACATATCCGTGAGGGTTGCACCCAAACAACTAAAAATTTCAAAAACATATCTTCGCACGATCAAAGCCAATAAGATGGGCTTCAAAACTTACAACACTAAAACCGCGCCAAAGTACAATCAAGATAAAAAAACCGGAGCTAAAACAAATTGTCGAAAACTTGAGGAGAAAATTTTGAAATCGACTTCCAGAAGTTTGTCGTCTTGGATTATGAAAACTACTGTCCCGTTGACCTCGAAGCGTCAATCGTGTAAAGTTCTGCTCATGTAGAAGTAAAAATGACGTTCGTTCGAAATTTAAATTCAAAACCAAGCAAAATTTCGGATGAAATACATAAAATGGCTGCCGATAGACAAAAATGGGAGCGTCTCAAATCCATTCGCCTCCACCAAGATTTTGAACTTTTGGATTTATTTCAGAGAGTGTATCATCAGGAGATTGACCCCCTCTATCAACAACGAGCACGTTCTATTTTTCCTGACATAGGTACGTACCAAGATGCCAAAATAGTGACCGGGTACCTCGGAGGGAAAAAAGTTGATTTTGTCGATAAAATAGACAAGGCTCCAAAAGTACCTCAGTGTCGACCCATTAAAAGACTTTATGCATTACTTAAGAAATAATACACTCATAAGAAAATTATATCACAAAATTTGTAAGAATTTCATCGGGTTATGGAGAAAACCATCATAGAAGTTGATGAAACGAGTGGCGAAGCGCTCATGAGAGGTATGCGACAAAATCTTCTCTCCACTGGTACGGAAGGGGTATATGCACAACTGAAGGATTAAAAAACTTCGGTATGCTCATCGTTAGTATTCCACAAAAGTTTCGTTAGATTTGATTCATGCATGCATTTTCTGCAGATCAAAATAGACTGACACTTTCAATAAGGGGACAGTTCATATCTGGCTTACATTAACATTTCGATCCAAAGTATGCTTATACCAGTCATCGACGTATGGTCGATCCGCATGCCCTTTGTCAAATATTGCGCCACAGACTCCCATTGTTCGGGTACAAGCTCATAGTAGTCGTACAGATTGAAATTGTCAAAGTTCAAATTAACCGAGGTAAAGTTTAAGTTTCCCGCGTAGGAGAGAACGTTAACGTTGCCAACGATTGGTAGTCTCACGACGATAGCGATTTCTACAAGGGGTGCTTCCAACTCGAAAAAACCAGCCGCCTACACCGCTAGATGGCAGGGTTTCAATCGTTCTGCATTCAGAGCCATGGAAACCCACGACAATTTCGGTTTTATGGTTTAGTTCGTAATTTCCCGATATGCGAAGTTTACCGGGGGAAGACGCGCTATATGTGATTCTAGCGATCTTAGCAAATGGGTCGAATTCCACATTAAAATTTCAAGTTCTGAAAAACCATGCACAAGGATGTCCTTTGCGGCAAAATGACCGTGAAAGCGTCGTCGTTGCACCGGGGCAGGTGTTTGGGTTGTAGTCGAGGGACAGGTTCAGCGCGGGAAATGGTATAGGGTCGACTGACCTAAGGGAGTTTAGGTTTTCTTGAAGTTCCGGATGTTTCAATTATTCGAGAAGTTTGGGAAGGATGATGCCTTGGAAGATGGTGGAGGCGATTTCATCGTGATCTGGGTGGATTGCAAGACACTTAAAAATCCAGTACTAAACTAATGCCAAGTGGTATTCATATAAATATGTATGTATGAGTCGACCAAAGGGGTATTGATAAGTAATTCAGTGGAGTAATACTATGTATATCGGTATTAAAGTTTTACCATATTAGGGGAACAAGTTTGACATAGCGGTATAATTTTTATACCAAGCGGTACGAACTTCAATACCGAGAATCAGTACATACCTGCCTGACTATACCAGATTTCTAACAGTGTACATATTTGGTAGAATTTGAAAAACGTTAATTTATTTTGACTCACCAAGCAAATTCTCGTCAATAGGCTCGATTATTTTGGCCGGAATGGAATAAGCCAACCCTGCATAAACCAGAAACAATGCTCCCTCAACTTTGGAGTTCTTCTCAAGCTAGTGAATATTTTGCAATGAGAGCAAATTTATTTTGACCGTCATCGTCATTATTTAGTATTCTGAATAAGTTTAACCCTGTGTGCGGTGAATTTTTATACTGGAGAGGAAGAGGACCGATCCGAACCATTTTGTAAAGCAGACACGCCACCCAAGTCCAAATTACAAAGTTATCACTGCGTACTCCATTATGCACGCTGTTCAAATTGGTTTCTCATCAAGACAGGGTGTGCTACGCAAAAATATTGCATCACCTAGAATTTGGACTCTTGTCTGATGATCAAAAAACAAACCTTTTCACTTTCAGTTTTCAACTCTAAAAAGGGTTGCTGGCAGAGTATTGGAATCACGTAGCAAGAAGGCCAAGAAAATTCGACCACCAACAACTTCGTCCTCTGAAGACGACGACTCGGTTGCCGAGGTTGACGATGACTTGGATTTAGCCGGTTTTAGCGGAAATATATTTTCCCAGGATGGTAACCGCAATAATCCTTGTCTCTTTTACAAATTATCCTTCGTGTCTTTATTTCTAAAAAGTTTTACTTGGTTGCAGATGTAGATGCAGTGCAGACCCGCCCAAATTTTGCACCAACCTCTTCTTCGAGCAATTATTCCTCTTCACTCGTATTAGTGCCGGATGATCAGAATACGCCGACGATTTCTAATCTTCAAAACTCAACTTATGGATCATCACAACATATAAATGAACCCTTGCCTACCTCAGCACTAAGGAATTCTACACCTCGGACACAAAAAGCTGGCCGTCAATTGTTTTCGGAGGTCAACCCAAGACGAAAAGGTGATACATAATTGTTATGATTTTTCCAATTAAACACTTTGATAACATTTGTACTTATTTATTCGCATTATTCATGCTGTACAGGAGGATTTGAGGAGGTGGTGATAAATTTGCTGACAGAGTTGAAGACGGACGTTGCCGAACTTTTGAGACGGTCAAAGGTGAATAACCCAGCCAGGAAAATTGTAAGCATCCCGTTTAAACTTCCGTTGAGTTTAAAAAGTGACCTAGACAAGCTGGAAGCCTGGATTATGGCCGACCAGAAAAACTCTTCAGATTTGGTACGAATAATTACTGCTTATTACTTATACTTACTGTATTTTATATCCCTGATTAGAAATTACATCGCTTTATAAATTCCAGGTGGAGCATTTGTCACAGTGGGGAGGTGAAACACCAGAGAAAGTCACTCGTAGAATTTTATGGGAAATTTTTGGACCGGTTCTCGCTCGACAATTTAATTATACGGGAGGTGGTAAATTGGAGAAACACTCATTTTCTGCATTAGAACTTCACAATATAGTTGTCGGTATGAAATGAAGAGATTTACAAACATTTCTAAATTGTTTAACTTATTTGTCTTCCCACATATTTAAGTTTTTGCTTCGTTTGAATTTTTAGCTGCTGCACGGGAGTGCGACGCCGCAAAAAACACCGAGATTTCAAAAATTGAGAGAGTAATTCTCAATTATTTTAGAGATACGCGGGATAAGAAAGGGCCAGGCGCCCGAGTTCGCCTTCGACATGTATTAAAGAAGACGACGATTGATACGGCAGGAGGTTCGACGCCTTCTATCGCTGGTGGAAATCCGTGAACAGGAAATGGAAGAAACAAATCCTGAAGAAAATAGTTACAGTGGTTCTACTAATCTTAATATAAATAGTGTAAATCTTAGTAATCAATCAGAGGGCGCTTTTGTTACTTCTCAAGGTAGCGATATAGGTGAACCTAGTTTAGTAAGTAAATTAGCTGGATGGGCGGTACAACATAATATTACACATACTGCTACTTCAGATTTGCTTAAAATTTTAGATCCATATGTAGATTCTAAACTTCCTAGATCTTCCAAGACTCGCCTTTCAACTCCTAGGCGTATCTTAGTTAATTCCTTGGGGGACGGAAAGTTTGTTTATTTTGGTATCATAAATTTTCTAAAGCAAGAAATTACTAATGGCTTGGTCGAGTCCCAGCTTCCTTTAGTAGCTAACTGGGCGACCAATTTTAATACTGATCAGAAAAAGCTTCTTACAATAAGTATCTCCAGTGATGGTATTCCAATTGCAAAAAGTAGTGGTCGGCAAATGTGGCCAATTTTAGTTAGGTTAGACCAAGCAAAAATTGGTAGCGCTTTACAGTGGAAGGACTAAGCCGTCTGATATACAGGAGTTTTTTAGCAAATTTGTAGAAGAGGTTAAAATGTTACAAAATGATGGATTTGTAATAAATGGTATTAAATATTTCGTAAGAATTAGTTGTGTCATTGCTGATGCCCCAGCCCGTAGTATGATAAAAGTTATCAAAGGTCACACGGGATATCATGGGTGTGAGCGTTGTGAGGAAGAAGGTGACCACCATCGAAATAGGCTAGTTTTGTAAACTCTAATTCTAGATTAAGAAATGATACCGGGTTTCGATCAAAATGCGATCCTGATCACCATCTTGGTAATTCTCCTGTTTTAGCCTTAGATGTAGGTTTGGTATCTAATGTGGTGCTTGACTACATGCACCTAATTTGTTTAGGGGTAATGCGTAAATTACTTTACACTTGGGAATCTGGCGATCTTGCTACTCGACTTCCGAATAGGTTGTTCAAAAATATTTCGTGTTTCTTAGTAAGTATCTCTGAATTTGTCCCGTCTGAGTTTTCGCGTAAGCCGAGGTCGTTTGATGATTTGCATCGTTTTAAAGCTACAGAATTCCGTCAATTTCTTCTGTATCTCGGAACTGTAGCTTTGAAAAATATTTTACCAGCCAATTTGTACAGACATTTTCTTATGCTACACACCGCGACATTTATTTTATTGTCTGACAAGGCTCATATTGCGGAGTTGCATAATGTTGCTAAAATAATATTAAGGAAATTTGTTGATAAAAGTAATGATTTGTATGGCAGTACATTTATGAGCTACAATGTGCACTCGCTACTCCATGTAGCAGATGACAGTATTTATTACGGAAATTTAGATAACGTAAGTGCATTTCCATTTGAGAATTTTTTAGGTGACATGAAACGTATGATTCGTGGAAAAAGGTGTGAGATTGAGCAAGTTGCTAAACGTGTGGTAGAAAAAGAAAGTTGTACAGTTTATCCTACTGTTGTTTCTAATCCTACGCACAAAAAAGTAATTGCCAAAATATTTACTAAAGATAATATAAAAGTATCGCCCTCCAGACGCGATTGCTAATTGTTACTTAATACAGGAGAAATAATTCAAGTGGTTCGAATTTTAGCCCACGACTCATTTAGTTGTAGAATTTTAAGTTGTAAAAAGGTGGTGAAATATTATCCCATTGCTAGTTCTAGCTTAGCAATATTTGAAATTAATCTAAATAACTTTAAAGGATTGCAAAATGTAAACGTGAACACTATTGTTTCCAAATACGTTGTATTACCATTTAAAACTAATAATCCAAACATTTGTATTTGTACGCCAATGGTTCAAATGAAATTAAAATGAAATCTTGATTGAAAATTGAAATTTTGTAACAATTATTTTAGATTCGATAGCGAGTGGGAATATGGTGGGGAAGGGATTAGTGTCCCACGCTAAAATTGCGCATTTGTTGCATAAAATACCTACGAAAAGCTAGTCGAATCTGAATGCGAAAGAGGTGGGCACCCATGTGGGATCCCCAGTTCGAATTGACGGCGGACGTATTTTCATTTGTAGCGTAGTTTCTATTGTGATTCCCCGCATGGGATCGGCGTGAAATCATGATTTTGTTCTTGTTGGGTCGCCAGGGTATATTTCTCCGCATATGTAAACATTTATGCTATTTTCTAGTACACAATTGTAATGTTTAAACAAATTTGTAGGGGAATTTGTTGGTCTAAGCATACATAAATACATATCTAAGCGAATTTTGTTATTGAATTGAAGTACATAAAGTTGGAAAAAACTATTTACTACTACTACTTTTTTGTTCCAATTGATTACCTACGGTATAAGCATTTTATAATGAGGGTACTCTTTATATCTTCGCATTCCTAGCTTACATACTTTAGTGATAAAATATAGATAAATTACGACGGTCACGAGATTTTGTGAGCGTCGTAACATTTGTAGTTACAAATCGCGTTACTAAGGTTGCGACTTTTACGAAGCTTGACCCCTTGTTTTTCCACACTCACATATCCTAAACTATTTTTATACGATACGAAGGATACAAAGGAATCATGAATCTCGTCAAAATGCATGTTTTCTTAAATTAATATGCGGCCAATACATAATTTGTACGTGTCACCGATTGGCTTTGTAACCATAATATGCATAGTTATTTACATAGGTTTGTATGTATGTACATACCTACCTACATAATTACCTACACATTATGCAACTTCTCAACTAAATACCTACATATTTACGAATGAATAATATCGCTTTATCAGCACATTCCTGATTCCGGAGTGAAGTTCGACACATTATGTATGTACTGATTAAATAAATTTGATATGCGCGTCGAATTGGAAAATCATTACATATGTATTTATGCAAGACGCCAACAGTTGAATTTTAGCCATGGTCGAGATTATAGAAGGGTTACGATTTGCCAGTGCACTTGCCGAGCTTAAATGCAGAATCCAAAGTATGCACATACATATGTAAATGCGAATCTAAAATTTCTAAAAAATAACTAATCGTGCTTACTTTTCTATAGAAGATGAAAAAATTGAGCCATACAGCGATATCCTGGATGACAAATTCTTAATGGGTTTTCTCCGTGGGAAGAAATGGGATGTGGACAAGGCCATGATATGCGTAAGAGACCATGCGTAAAGGGTGTGATCAATTTTCCCTTCAAAATTTTGACCCCTGGTGTCGCTCATATTTCCGATATTGCATTCCTTAACGGTGAGACACATTGACCCTCAAGTCGATCACATGACTTACATATGCACGTGACATATTCGTCAAGTTAAATAAATTTTATTACATTGAAACTAATTTATTTTTATTTTTTTCATTCAGTTGCAACACTATATAAAAATGAGGACGGTAAAATACAAAAATTTTACCAAACTTTATCGCCCATCGACCGTAAAGTTCTTGGACAAAGGTGTCCTTAACCTCTTGAAGCATCGGGACCCTCATGGAAGACTCGTTCTACTGGCACAAATTAGTAAGCGAGACTGAAAAGTATTGCAAAATTTAAATTTCTACCAGAATCGACATTTTAAGACTAAACTTACGTAAAATCAAGAATTATTAAAAATTCGAAATATTCAGAAACTTGGTAAAATTCATACTCCGACAAAATCAAAATCTGACTTCTGATGAGAATAAAGTGAATTTCAATAAAAATTTCCAAATCCCTTAAACTTTTTAGATAAATGGTCACCCTCCGAAATCCCGGCGGATGAAGCGATCGCCACCGCTTTATTTATCGTGGACGAAGGGATCCGCTCCTTTTTATCCACTGGAAACGAATGTGTCGCGATTTTCGACTGCGCCGGCATCACTTTCGCCCAAGCGAGGAATGCAACCCCAAAAAAGATAATTCTACTAATCGACATGTTTACCAAAAATATTCCGACGAAACCGAAAGGTGTGCATTTCATTAATCACGGATTTATAGTGCACCACTTGTATCGCTTCGCGAGCCCCATGCTGGAGAAAAAAATTCGTGAAAGGGTAACCACAAATTTTGATAAATTGAAAGATTTCCAGTTTTTAGTTTTTTAATAAATTTTGATAACGATGAAACGTGACTTAATCAAAATATTAGTAGGGTGTACATACATCCACTGTTAAAAATTTGGTATAGTCAGGCAGGTTTTGATTTCTCAGTACTAAAGGTGCTACCGCTTGGTACTAAAGTTATATCGGTTCGTAAAAATTTTCTTATGGATATGGTAAAACTTTAATAAGGAACTATTACCACACGGTATTATTTATCAATACCAGTTTGGTAGAGTCATACATACATGGATAACGCGTGGTATAATTGATACTGGATTTCTAAGTATATTTTCTTTAAAAAATGCAGGTGCACTTCCACTCCAACACGAGCCAATTGCATGGACACATCCCAGCCAAAATCTTGCCAACTTCTCTCGACGGGGAATTAGAAACGGAAGATGCGTTTGACACCAGTCAGGATGCCGTGGTCAGGGGAAATGACTATTTTTATGAAAGATTAGCCAGGTAGCGAGTACAAATCTATTAATTTTCAAGTGATCAGTAAATTGATAACTATTTAAGGTTGCAATAATTTTTGCGTATATAGCGAACTACAAATAGTCAAAAAGTGACTTCCAAAATAAAATCGTGGTTCGCGACAAGTTATTGAATTCTTTTATTATTTAATTTTACGTATTGTTACAAGTTTACATATGGTGTCGAGCATGTTATACACAGTACAAATTTATATGTGTAATTTACACTTAAAAACTAGTTAGGTCTGTACATATTTATGAGATCACGTCAATTTAAACACATTGTAATAAGTATATTTACGCAATAAATTATTTTATATAACGCAAAATTATGTGACTTTTATTCACGGGTCGTGCAGTAAGTATGAGAGACCGATCAAGGGGATAATTGTAAATATATTAATTATGGCATGGGACATGTTCATGAATTGAGGGAGGTGGTGATCAAAACTCTCCGAAATAGATGAAATGCCTTATGTAGGGTCCCTATATCGAGATTGAACAAGTGAACCTTATCAAACAATGCATGCATACATACATTTTGACACTGATCACTCAAGGGTAAAAGTTCTGAATTGATGACTGATCAAGTTCAATTATTTAAATCAAGAGAGAAACTTGTGTAAATAAATAAGCATGGGAAATTTGTTGATGTCGCAGTGTATTCGTGTTTTGTTGCGTGAAGAGACAATTTGCGGGCCTGTCAATGAAAAATGAGATCACTCGATTCATGATTAATTGAAGAGTTTGACTGATTACTGTAGGTATTTGTACTTCCCTTTCTCAACATAATATGTACATATGTATGTAAATATGAATTAAGTTATGTATGTAAATATAAATATAAAACTGAAATTATTTATGTCCATTTGATGACTCACTTAAATATGTTTTTACTAGTATAAAATTTTCCGGGTCGAAATCAGACATAATAGTTTTTAACAAAATGCTAACATTAAGTAATACTTAATATTATATTTAATACTGCGTTTAGCAAGATGTTTATAGTACAGCCGGGTATCTACATAATTCCCTTTTACAATCGTCTTAAGGGTCTCATTTAATGGACCAGACTTTTATGTAATTGAAATGCAACCTGTGGTCTAATTTTTGTTTTACCCAGTGTGCATTGACTTTCACATTTTTTCAAATTTCCTTCTCAAATTTCTGAAAAGGGGATGGGTGCATGTAATTTAAAAATATACATGCTAGATTTATCCTTGCACCCCGAACTCAACTTGCAATTTTTCTTATCAAATTCGGTGAAATCGACGCGAAACGGGTTTGCACAGTTGGGTCAGCCTGTACCAACTTCTGTATTCATTTATATGCAAAAATCCATTAAATCTGGTGGATTAAAAATAACCCTTGTCTTAATGTGCTATTAATAAATGCCGTCTGAGCTACATACATACATAAATTGTCTGCTTTGCTTAACCCTTCAAAATGTCCACACAACAAAATATTAAACACTTTGGGCATGGAAATGTCCTAGTAAATGATTTGAAGTGCGTGCGCCCAACGTGCTTACATAATACATATGTACTAATACATAGTTAATTGGATGATATATGTAATGGTAATTCATATAAATTAAATATTTTGCTGCAAAATACTTGAAAATACTGATAATTTGGATAATTTAAAAGCTCAATCTGCTAATCAATTTACTTGCAAATTTAAGTACTTATGTAAATATTCATGGCATGAATGAAGATGCCGGGATTTTTATGGTCACCAATGGTCGGCCAAACTGAAATTAGGAGGCTTCATTTTCAACGGTGGTCCTACATATATTTACAATAATTCCGGTTATTTTAATATTATTAATTCCAAAGCGGAACTAACTAAGGTAAGTAACGGTTTCCGTACCTTTCTTATAATGAAACTCGACCTAGCACAATTGTAGAACCACATCCTCCATGGTTTGCAGCCTTTCGCGATGCAGCCGTTTCGTCATGTTGACCACTAGATCCTTCGCATTCACCAACTTTGGATGGTCTTTCACAAGCAAGGGATGATTTTCATAGTCGTGCACCAACTTGTAAAACATTGACCTCCTCACTTTTGGATCGAGTAGCTGCAGCACCTCCCAAAATACCAAGCCTAGTGAAAATATGTCGGCTTGTACCCCATAAAAAGACCTCTCCGCTTCCGGTGCTCGATATGAATTCGTTCCCACTCGAGACGTCAATTTTTCTTCGGAAACTTGTAGTAAAAATCGAGCCAGGCCAAAATCCCCAATTTTAACGGGCAGTATGTATTTCTGATTTGGCGAATAAGAGAACAAAACATTTTCCGGTTTAAAATCGCGATGTATAATTTTGTGAGAATGTAGATATCTAAATCCCGTCAGTAAATTTGACACAATCTCGATTTGAAAATTTTGCATGGATGGGGTACCCGGCTTATTATGCATTTCGGATAACCATTCCCTCAAAGAACTTCCGCATAGTTCCATCTTAATGGTGAACGCTGGAATTGTAATTTTCTGCTTTCTGGCACGCGCTGATAGCATATAAATCGAATCATTAACTTCTTTCGGTAGCGGAACCGTGTTAAGCGTATCATTTAGGGATTCTGACGTGAAAAGCTGTTCAGAACATGCCAAAATTTGCACAATATTAGCATGATTTTTCGCCAACACCATTGTATTGTACTCTCGGGTAACCTGTTTCCGCTCAACGTCCCGTTCCGGTCCGTCCGTTTCTGACAGGAAAATGAATTTAATTGCTTCCTTACTTCGTGTTCCTAACACAAATCCGAATGATCCTGAGCCAAGGAAATTTTCAACATGTGTTTCATCCAACCATGTCAATTCTGCAGAAATATGTAGCCCGATCCCTGGACCGGGGGACGTGTGTACGGAAACGGGCTGTCGTCTGAATTGCACCTGGTCAAGATTTTGCAAGCGATCGGCGGGACGTCGCTGTGTCATCTGAATAATCAAGTCTTTCGCATTTTCAATTTCGGGATGGTCAGGTACAACACTGGTGTCATTTTCATGTACTAGTTCATAGTACATTCCAGACGACATTTTCTTATCCGGCGGTAACAGCACGGCCAGGAAGAGAAGCCCCGCCGAAAATACGTCGAACGTCGTTGTGCAAGTATCCCTGCTTGAGCTTGAGTAGGCTTCTGGTGCTTGATATTCGTTAAAGAAATTATCCATTGGATCCTTACTAAATTCACCTCCGTCTTGATCATAACAATTTATACGGCGGCAAAATTGAAAACTTGAAACTTTTACGGGCAGAATAAACTCGGTCGTTAACGTGTGGGAAAACAAGACAGCTTCCGGACAGATGTGACGATGCACGATATTATTTTGGTGGAGATATTTCAATCCGTCCAGAATTCCGGAAATGATTTCGTACTGAACTTCGAACAATTTTGTACCCAATGTTTTTCTAATTTGCAACCACGACCACAAGTCTGGGCCACAAGTTTCAATTTGTACACACAGAGAGGGAGGAATTTGCCCATTCATGCAGAAAAGGTTGAGTGATAGTCTATGAAAAGTGAGATGATTTTCACATTTTGCAAGTAAAATTTTAATCTCTTCGAGTTTCCAGTCTTTGAAGGATACGTTGTAAATTTTCGTCAAATTTTTGTGATGCATCGGTTTGAGTAGGTGAAACGGTGCAGCCAAGGTTTTCATAGGGGTGGCATTTTCTAATTTTAAAAAGTTGACTTTAACTTCGAAGATGGATGTGGTATCACTGGTTTCGAAAATCAGACCATATGCACCAAAACCTAGGAGTTTTTGAAACTTTTGTTGCGTCAGCCAGGAAGGGTCATCAATAGATTCCATGTGTAATTCTGGTGGAAAAAGGGTATTAGATATTGCTGCCGTCTTACAATTATATAGTTACATAAAAAATTTAGTACACTCTTAGAAATCTAATATTGTAACGCAGGTATCGATTTTTAGGTATTAAAGGTGCTACAGCTTGGTATTCAAATCAGAGGTCAACGCCGCCGACCGTAAGTTTGATTTCTTATTCATACATGATTCGGCCACCGAAAAAATTATGAGTAATTGATGACGCCGCTGCCACCAAATTGGTCTGCGTTGACCTCTGATTCAAGTTATACGGGTGAGTAAAAATTTGCTACCGATATGGCAAAATTTCAATACTGAACTACTACTACACGGTAAATATTACTCATCAATATCACTTTGGTAGAGTCATATCGATATGTATGAATGAATACCGCTTATGTAGTATTATGTTAAGACTGGATTTCTAAGAGTTAAGACATAAATTATGTGCAAGAAATTATGTTCATACGTACCTTTGAATCAGATTTGAGTAGAGATGTATGTATGTATTATGCTTAATTTTAGATATAAACTGAGGATAAGCGTGAAGTAAGTTGTGGGTGACTGAATAAGCACATATGTAGCTGAGATTGATCACTACATCGTAATATGTATTTATTATGTATGTAAATAGATACAAATGTTGGCACATATGAAAGGAAATTGATTACCTATGTATCTGACGAAGAGCTCTTATTGTGCAAATATTGTGTTAAATTGCGTCCAACTGGTTATTCGTCTCATCTGGATATATGTACGCATGTATGCTTTATTTGTCGCTGGCAAAGTAGGGAACGTCCATATATTACGTCATCAAAACATGCATGCGAGGTTTTCGGATGGCTATCTTACTGGTGTTAAGCATAACATGAGTATATGTATTTATAGGGGTGGGTGTTTGATAACGTAATATATGGACGTTCCCAAATTGATAATTTACTATTTGTGTGAGATCTGAACTATTTGTGTATCTGGCTTATTCATCCTAAATCACTCTAAATAAAGTAATATCTAACGAGTAGTGTGTGTGATTAAATTATTTATGGTCCAAACTGGGTATCTAATTTTCGTGTACATACATTGCAATAATCTTAATTCGATATATAATGTGCTATTAATAAATTTTTCCCGAGCTAAATTGCCTCTTTTACTTAACCTTTACACATGTCCACATATGTAGAAACACATTTTGCATGAGAATAAATGATTCGAAGGCAGTACGCGATCCCACAACGATTGACAGATAATGACAAAACACTCATGTGTTCAAGAAATTTACAAACAATAAATTCCCTTGCTTAGAGGGATTTGAAATTCATTATCCGAACTTGACCTACCGATAAAAGAAAATTACAATTATCTAAATATATAAACAGATAAATCATGCATATGCTAATCCAGGTGAAACAAGACCAGCATTATCCTCTTCCCACTATGTAGGCAGGTAGGTAGGTAGGTAGGTATTTATTCAAGATTGATGTAGCATTAGCTTTTACAATCATCATTTTCATTTCATACAAAACATTTAGATAGATATTAGCAGTATGGGTGTAGAGGGAAAACCGGAGATGGTCTCGGAAAACCTCTACATGTATTGGGAATGTGGCCCAATACACCATTCGGCCCATAACTGCTGGACACCAGGTAGGAAAATGTATGGCAGTGATACATAGGCGGATTCCGTGGTGGTGGTGATATAAAAATGAGGGTGGCGTCTGCATGCGGAAGTAGACAGGTGAAGGTTGTTGGGCGGGGGCTGTCCACGGACCGCGGGATCTTGCCCACGTCCCCCATGGTAGCCGTAGCCGGGGCCGACGACACCCCCACTTGCCCCTTCCCCCATCACAACACAATCAGGTCATGGGACCCCCGTAGACCAGACTATGCCGCCGCCCGTCATGCACGACCCCCTCCGCCACTTTTCAAACAACCACTCCCCACGGTCACCACCCCGATATACCAAACAAAAACCTACCTGGGGAGTCCCTCCAAGGCGTAGATCCTCCCGTGCACTGGGTCCGGCGAATCCATCTTCGCCTGATGGCTCAGCTTGTCGTTGCTGGGACGGGTGTGGCAGGGGGTGTCACTAGGCACGCAGGTGGGGGGTATGAGTGGACGAGGCTCACGTGGCGAAAAGCCTTTAGGACACACTTTACTTGCCCTGGCACACCCGCGACCCAGATGGAAGAGGATCCAGAGCGAGAGAGAGATACGTTGTGCACGGAGGAAGCCAAAGAGGAGACTCCTCTTCCCACTATGTAGTTGACGCAATTTGTATAAAAACATTTCCAACAAGAACTGCATAATCCTCAAATTGGTTATCCATTAAGGATCCGTAATATCTTTCAACATTTGTATTTACATACATACATACAACAATGTGATCATCAATCTTTGCCCAGTCATGGTATGCATAGATTGTAAAGTAAATCTGTATGTGGATTTTATTTACATACATAAACGCCTCCACTTCTCATCCTTACTTTATAGTACACATATTTACCTACAAAGTTACAAATTATTAAACGGTACGTAACTTCTTTACCATAACTTATGTAAATATGCATATTAATTTTTTCCATGCAATTAAGACAACAATAATAGTTACACTCTTCTTCCACCAGAATAATGGAGTCATCGGATCACCCCTCCCACGCGTGGCTGACACAACAGAAATTCCAAAAACTTCTCAGTTTTGGAGAATTTGGTCCAATTTTCGAAACCAGTGACACAACAGCCATATTCGCGGTTAAAGTCAACTTTTTTAGAATTGGCTATGGGGAAAAATTTGCTGCACCATTTCACCTACTTAAACCAGTGAACCATAAAAACTTGACTAAAATTTACAACGTGTCCTTCAAAGATTGGAAAATCGAAGAGATTGAAATTTTAACGGCAAGATTTGAAAATCAGCTCACTTTTCATAAACGAACGCTGCAAGAGTTCTGCAACCATCGACAGGTTCCTCCCTCTCTCTGTGTACAAAGTGACCTTTGTGGTCCGGATTTGTTATCCTGGTTGAAAATTGAGAAAAAGAGGGCAGAAAATTTATTGGAAATTCAGTATCAAATCGTTTCCGGAATTCTGGACGGATTGAGATATCTCCACCGAAATAATATCGTGCATCGTCACATCTATCCGACAGCGGTCATGTTTTCCCATACTTTAACGACGGAGTATATTGTTCCCGTAAAAATTTCAAGTTTTCAATTCTGCCGCCATATAAATTGTTATGCTCAAGACGGAGGTGAATTTAGCGTTGATTCTTTGCCATATTACTCCAGTTTTTATCATGCTCCCGAAGCCAACTCGAGCTCAAGCAGGGATACTTGTAGAACAACGTTCGATATATTTTCGGTGGGGCTGCTCTTCCTGGCCGTACTTTTACCGCCGGATAAGGTATTATCGTCGGAATTGAAGTATAAGTTAGTGCAGGAAAATGACACCAGCGTTGTACCGAATCATCCAGAAATTGAAAATGTGAAAGAGTTGATTATTAAAATGACGAAGAGACGTCCTGCCGATCGCTTGCAAAATCTTGAGCTAGTGCATTTCAGGCGAAACGAGTCCGTTTCTATTAACGCGTCCACGGGCCCCATCGGGGTACAGCAGAACTTTGCAGATTTAACACGATTTCAAAACTTTCTGGGATCCGGATCTTTCGGATTTGTGTTGGGAACACGAGACAATAAAGCGGTTAAATTCATTTTCCTGACAGTTACTGACGTCCCGGAGCGAGATATTGAGCGGAAACAAATTACCCGGGAGTTCAAGACCATGATGATGGCGAAAAATCATGCCAATATTGTGCAAATTTTGGCCTGTTCTGAACACCTTTTCACGTCAGAATCTCTAAATGATATTCTTAACACGGTTCCGCTACCGAAAGAAGTTAATGATTCGATTTATATGCTATCAGCGCGTGCCAGAAAGCAGAAAATTACAATTCCAGCGTTCACCATTAAGATGGAACTATGCGGAAGTTCTTTGAGGGAATGGTTATCCGAAATGCATAATAAGCATGTTACCCCATCTATCCAAGCTTATCAAATTGAAATTGTCTCAAATTTACTGGTGGGATTTAGATATCTGCATTCCCATCAAATTATACATCGCGATTTTAAACCGGAAAACGTTTTGTTTTCTTACTCGCCAAATGAGAAATATTTGCTACCCGTTAAAATTGGGGATTTTGGCCTGGCTCGATTTTTACCACAAGTTTCCGAAGAAAGATTGACGTCTCGAGTGGGAACGAATTCATATCGAGCACCGGAAGCTGAGACATCTTTTTATGGGGTTCAGGCCGACATATTTTCGCTGGGGTTGGTATTTTGGGAGGTGCTGCAACTACTCGATCCAAAATTGAGGAGGTCAATGTTTTACAAGTTGGTGCACGACTATGAAAATCATCCCTTGATCGTAAAAGACCATCCAAAATTGGTGAATGCGAAGGATCTAGTGGTCAATATGACGAAACGGCTGTATCGAGAAAGGCTGCAAACCATGGAGGATGTGGTTCTACAAGTGCGCTAGGTCGATATTTATTGTAATTATGGTATACAAACATTTACATACATACTGTATGTAATCATAGGATTATACATATGTAAATACATATAGGTTCACTTTGGGATTAAGAAAATGCTTTACTGATTTAATTATTATTTAGGAGTAAGTGAATACGTGCCGTAAAGTTAATGTCTGTGGTGTGGAAAAGGTTGAGTTTTTAAACAATATTAACTGGACAAATTCCAGGATAAGATAAGCAAACAAGTACATACGGGAACGTGCATAAATTATGTCATACAAATGTGCCGAGCTTTTAGACTTTCTTCCCCTCTTGTCGCGTGTTACACGCTTTTTTAAAATATTGCAAACAAATAGGCTGTCACGCAAAACTTTTACGATCCAATCCATCATGTAAGGTCCTAAAGAAGAGTTCAACATTAACTAACGCGAACCTGTGTTCTACTCTGGAATAAAATATTCTGGAATAAAATAAATAAGAAATATTTTACGCATTTCTTTCCAATCATTGTAGTAGAATATGTACATTACAATCCTTAAATCTTAATATTATTCAAGTGTAACCATTGGTAAGACCTTTTACTAGTACAAAGACAATAAATATTAGCTGGTGAACTTCTAAATATTATGTGAATTGAGCTGACAAATACAAAATCATTATTTTCAGTACTGTATTTATTTAAGAATAGCTATTATAAAACAGTAAAACTTGGTCGTTCATACATATCCCCTACAAATTTCTCCCTGAAAATGGAATCTCACCCGGAGGAAAGAACCGTACAGGAAATCGCACTAAATAATCCGATTGTAAGCCAAATATTTTTAGTATGAAACACACAAATATGAGAGTATGAGAGGAGAGTACTCATTATTTCTTCATATCGTAAAATAAGTTACAACGGAACGGTTACGAGATTTTGCAAACGTAAGATTTTGTCATAAAAAATCGATTACGAAGCTTGACCCATTGTTCTTTATTCGTAAACTATTTTACGATACGAAGAAGTAATGCATACCCTCATGCGAAATACTTTAAAAGGTTTAACTACCAATTTATGTTGACAACTTTGCAGATTTTGACCGAAATCTTGAAACAGGCCGCCACCCCTTTGAGAACTGCCCGACTAGTTTGTCACTTTTGGAACGAGATCGCCCTCACCCTTCCAAATACGAGACTTTCTCTAATCCTGAACGACAAATACTTCCGAGACCAAGACCCCTTTTCCTTCTCTGCGTTACTTTTCTCATTGGAAGACCGACTCGCGAAACGGATAAGCTTCAAGTGCTACACCGAAGTGACATACGAGGACGGCGAGGTGGAACCCACCGTCTTCATCTACTACTTTGCCTCCAGACTGTCCCACTTTTGCGATAAATTTTCCGATACCGTGCAAATTTTGGAGTTTTCCATCGACAACGAAGTCTGTTTAAAATATATCCATCAAGCCTTGACAAATTGGTGCCATAATTTGCGACGGTTGCGAGTTTTTTGCGAATTTACGACTCTCAAAGAAATTTCGCTGGACCCGCTCCCCCCAAAACGAAAGTTGCAAGCGTTCATAATCTATTCCCCAATACAGGCGTCGGTTCTTGGTCTTACCAGTTTTATTCAGGTCGTTGTAAACGCGTCGCCAAACTTGAGAAATATCAAAATTCCATGGGGATGCTTTCCTAATTTTGCAAATTCAAAATTTCTCGAGTCCTTAACAATCTCTTTGGAAGCCCTTTGTACACATGACATCGCTGCCTTTGAACCTTCAGGGCTGTTACGGATGCTTAATCAGATTGGGGATCAACTGGTCAGCCTATATTTTGGGGAATCTGATCAAATACAATGCATCGACGATTACGGCCTAAGCAACTGGACCAGGAAAGAATTCCGGTTGCCGAAAAGAATGCCGAAATTGGAAAAGTATAAGAACCTGCTGGTCGACGTTTTTCGGTGCGACGACGTCTTGGCAGACTTTGAAAGGATGCCCGTCCTGAAAACCCTGGTGATTGGGAAGACAGATTCAACAAGTTCGGCATGTTTGCACGAATTTTTGCAAACTATTTTCAAAGCGGGCAAGATTTTAGGAAGTGTGAAGAATTTGAAGATTTTTGAGTTGCATGATCCCAAGCTTTTGGAGGGATTGAAGACCGCGTTTCCGAACTTGGTGAGATTGGAGGTGGGCACGCATAGCAGAACGGACGAGCGTGGGGAGGAGAGTGGGATGAAGTTGGGCGTGGTTCTGAAGGCGTGTGGGGGTTGGGGAGGGTTGAAACGGATAGATTTGTCGCTGCCGAGGTATCCAAAAGAAGCACGAGACGTTATCCCAGCTCTGTTGGAAGGACGTGAATTGTTCAAAGGTGCGTGCCAGCTTTTCAAATTTATCTATTGGAAATTTTTTAAGGAAACTATTTCACAATCTAAAAATAATTCAAATTCAGATTGGTAAAAAAAACAATTTCAAGAGAGAAGGAAAATCAAAAGAATTTATGAGAAATATGTATTTACTACTGATTTTGTTTAATATTTATGTATGCCGAACTTCGGAGGAATGGGTCTGCATTAACTAACCACATGTTAATTAATTTCTTTAATTATTGTCAATCAGGGCTGAAAACTTTCGAAATTATATACAACCTTTATACGAGAATTATGAAACAACATTTAACACTGGACGAGTTGGATCTCTTTAAGGAACTGCTCCTCGCGATGAATGGGATGGACGAGATCATCATTTCCTACCTTCTTCAGGTAAGTTATCATGATTCAATTTCTTAATAGCTTTGAATTACACTTTGTTTGTGTACCGATTACACGTTTTTCATTATTTTGTTTCTAGTTCAGCGAAAAATCTGAGAGAAAGATATTCGAGTTCATGCTGTCAAAAAACCTGACCGTCTCGAAGTTTAGAATATTTCAAGCCAAATCGACCCTTTTCAGGAGCAATTAGTTGCAAATTTGATCCACGATGTACTAGCAATAAGATTCGACCCAGCGACGACATTAATTAAGGATCGCAACTTAATATGTCAAGATATCTACAACTAGTGTGAAGGTTTACGAAAAGTTTCTAGCTCTGAATTAATTGTTTAATTGATGGATATTTATATGAAAATGAAGCTTTTAGTATTCCAGTTAAAAACGAAAGCTTTAGTGTTACAGAGTAGGTAAATGATCCGTAAAAATTTTAATATCAAATTTGTACATAAATCTGTATGTAATGCGCGCAATTTAATTTATAACGTCTGAAAAATCGCTTAAAAAATGCTCGTCGCGATTAGTAAAATGGAATTGTCAGGGACACGAGTAAGTGACACTAACGTGTTTTTGCATATTTTGTTTGTAGACAATCAGTGGAAATTGTCCTGGATTTCAAAGAATGTCGAATGAAATGTTTCGCTAATAAGTTTGGGATCCTAACGAGCGAAAAGATCCGCACAAAATGTTGGGGATTATCTGTTTTAATTAATGTTCATACTTAAGATTTGTCTATGATCTATGCACATCCAAGGCTTATTTCTTGATGACATGTCACATTTGTAAAAAAAATCCCAGTTTCTCAGCCAGGCTGATGGGTTTGCTTTTCGAAACTTTTTTCCTGGGTATGCATTGAGTTGTCCGATATCATGGAATTCTGCATTTGAGTAATTTTATTCAAACAGGAATCAGGTGGAATTAAAAATTTCCAGGGTACGAATACTTTTTTGGTATTGCAAATACACATTTTCGGGAAATATAAGTAACATTGTTGCTGCTGGCGGATTTAACTTTAAAATGATAACCGAATATGAACGTAGATGCGATTAGTGGTATTTGTTCAAATTTTCATGAACATAAGCCAACCCATGCGAAAGTTATAGCTTCCGTCCGGAACCCTATGCTGGGGTTACGAATACTTCTTTTATTGACTGTAAGTTGAAAAAATTAAGGTTTTTCTAAATTACTTCAAAACTGTTCAAAATCTGACTCATGATAACTTTAACCCTTTAAAATATAACGAAGACAATAGTCGTTTTATAAGAAATGGTTTAATTCGGGAGTAAGACAAAAGTCGTCCTAAAAAATTGTAGTCATGGCGCGGAAGGAAGTTAATTGTTGTTTCTAGGAGGTCATTGATTTTCATCATTTTCTCTCCGCGACCAAAAATTTGTTGCAATTTTGTGGGATTTCTCCTATGCCAACACAATGCTAAATTTGAAGTTTTTCTTCCCGAAAATTTGGATATTTCCCTATACAACGCAATATTAAATTTTGGATTTTTCAGTTTTTTGAGTTTTATTAAAACTCCTGAATTTCTCCTCCCGCGCCTTGACCACAGCATAGTTATAACGTCCCAGAATCAATGCAATATCTTGTTATTTATACACGTTAAAGGGTTAATCAACGTCAGAGAAAAGTGGATAAGCCTCCTAAAGGAGACCTAGAAGGCTTAACTCCATAAGAACTCCTAAGAACGCATAAGCCACAGTGAGAGACAAACTGACCAATACGACATCAGGGATCTGTTGTCCACCCCTCCCAATTTTTTCACCATATAACCCCTCACTTTTTTTACGAATCACAAATATCAATTTTCTTCGATTTTGGCGTCCAACCTGTACAATTTAGTGCAGTTTTGCCAAAGTCGGATTCCGATAATTAAAAAAGACATAATAAATAATATTTAATTTGAAATTTTTTTTAAGCATTAGGGGTTTTCTGGGGATTTGATATCCCAAAAACCCCAACCCACAAAAACCCCCAAAAACTCGGGGTGGCGAACCCTGGGTTCCAAGGACTGGTCCCTGGCTAGTAAAATTTGTACTCTTCTTTTAATGTTTGCACCATAACGCCTTGATAAAGAATGTTAACTTGAAATTTAATTTCAATTACCTACGATATATATATTTTAAATCTTGCATTTTATGCATTGAGATTTTCATTATTTGTTTGGAATTTATTCTAAAAATCTTGGAAGAAAAAAATAATTAATTGCTAGATCTACAATTGGAACAAAATATTAATTTTCTTTGGACGAAAAAATATTTTTCTTGGGTGGTTTAATTGGCACCCTTTTTCACCTTTTTCATTACATAATATTCATATAATTACTAAAGTTATGAAATTTTAACTGTGTGCTATACATATGTATGTATCGTTGAATAAATTGCATCTTAATTTAACTTGATTCATGTTCTCTTATTATTTTGGAAATTTTGCCTATTCTATTTATTTTTGTGTACATTAATTATTCTTCAAACCATTATGCTACAAATTACACTAATGAATGGGTTGGATGAATTTTGTTAATTTTTCTTGCAAAATAATATGGATGACTTGTAACTTTCCGTTCCACGTCTCACCAATTTCTCTGAATTAAATATAAAAATTTGCTAGTAGAATTCCGGGTGCATTGTAACAGTATTGGAGGTACAGTACTCCCTACTGTATTGTTGTCTTAATTGTTATTTAGGAGTCAGTGACTACGTTGGGGGCGTGTAAAAGTTGCGTTTTTTAACCATATTAACGAGTGAAAACTGGACAAATTCCTGGATAAAGATAAGCAAACAAATACATATGTACACTGGGAACGTACATAAATTATGTTACGCAAATATGTCGAACTTTTAGACCCTCCCTAACCTAACCTACCTCCCTTCTTGTCCCTTTTATATAGTTCTCAGCATCCAACCTCAGGCAAAATTTGATTCCCGCGTTCGTATCCCTACCATACTAACAGTGTGGGAAGGATACGAGCACGTGATGGTCGGGGTTGCATGCTGACCATATTAATCCTGCGCAAGTGGGCTGTCAAGCAAAACTTTTACGATCTAATCCATCATGCAAGGTCCCAAAGAGAGCCCTGGCTGTTTGGCTTGGGGGTGAGAACTGGTGGCTTTCGGCACTCGGAAGGTCTATGGTTCGATCCCTCATATCTCGGCAGCTGGGGCAGCCCTCCCTGGGTGCCATTTACACACATTGTAGCTGGACACTCAGGAGGGGAGCTTCACCACCTGCCCCTCTCAGATCTTGATGTGCTTTGGATGTGTGGTAGTGTCCGATGAGTGTACTAAAACCCTGAAGTGGTTTGACTCCATGGCCACAGTTACGCCCGCCACCCCCACTCAAAGGCGCCAAAAACACGAAAAAAGCCTTGTTTTCACTTGTTCAAACCCTCGCCAAAAATCCAATTTTGCTCGGATTTTGGTAAAATTTACATTTTTGTAATCCCAGATACTTGCTTGATCATATCCAGTAGCAATCTCAACTTTTTTGAAATTTTGAATTTTTTCGAATAATTCAATCGCCCGAAAATGCCCGAAAATTTCGAAAATTTCAAAAAAGTTGAGATTGCTACTGGATATGATCAAACAAGTATCTGGGATTACAAAAATGTAAATTTTATCAAAATCCGATCAAAATTGGATTTTTGGTGGATTTTTGAAGTTGGTAACTTTTGTGGTTTTCATCCCTTTGAGTGGGTGTGGCGGGCGCAAATGTGGCCATGGAGTCAAACCACTTCAGGGTTATAGTACACTTATAGGACTCTACCACATATCCAAAGGGCATCGAGATCTGAGAGGGGCAGGTGGTGAAGCTCTCCTCCTCAGTAGAGTGGACTGAGCATGCTGCCTTTCCGTGGCAGTATTCGCGTCCAAAGGGGCATACATTAAGATTGAATAGGCAGTGGTGGGTAGAGGATAGGCGGAGTGGGACTGGCCCCGTAAGTGCAGGGGTGAGTGGTGGTGCTTACGGCAAGCCGGCGTCTCTTCCTGTCTTACTATCCTTAAATGGTTTCTCGATCCCCATATCTCATCAATAGATATGGGGATAATACCTGAGCAACTAGATAGCCACTGTCATACGGTGTAAGTAAGAGGATATGCAATAGATCTGATGGATGATCTGAGCATTGGGCTCCTCCAACAAGAGGAGCCCTCCTCCCAAAATACATACATACAAGGTCCCAAAGAAGAATTCAACATTAAGTAAAGTTAAGCGAACCAGGCAACCTTTGTTCTCCACCGGACTAAAAAAAGGTAGAAATATGTTACACATTTCTTTCCAGTCATTTCGGATCAATAAACCTTAATATTATTAAACTTCAACTATTGGTAAGAGCTTTTATAATATTTTCCGTTGAAATTCTATTATATATACATAACTGACTATTTATAAATATTTGATAACTATTATAAAATAGCAAAACTTGGTCAATCTTCGTACCCCTCAACAAATTTCTCTCCGAAATGGAAGCTCAACCAGAGGAAAGAACCGTGCAGGAAATCGCACTGAATAATCCGATCGTAAGCCAAATATTTTTCAAAATGAATGCATACAACAAATTGTTGTCACCAATCAGGTCATAGTACTCATTATTTCTTCATATCGTAAAATATGTTACGAAATTTTGTAGAAGTCTTAAGATTTTGTCATCAAAAATCGATTACGAAGCTTGACCCCTTGTTCCTTCTTCGTAAACTATTTTACGATACGAAGAAGTCATGAATACCCTCAATGCCAAATAATTTAATGGGTTCATCTATTTATTTCGCAAACTTTGCAGATTTTGACCGAAATTTTGAAACAGGCCGCCACCCCTTTGAGAACTGCCCGACTAGTTTGTCACTTTTGGAACGATATCGCCCTCTCCCTTCCAAATCCGAGACTTTCTCTAAACCTGAACCACAAATATGCCCGAGACCAAGACCCCTTTTCCTTCTCCGCGTTACTTTTCTCATTGGAAGACCGACTCGCGAAACGGATCAGCTTCAAGTGCTACACCGAAGTGAGGGGCGAGGACGGCGAGGTTGACCCCACCGTCTACATCTACTACTTCGCCTCCAGGCTGGCCCACTTTTGCGATAAGTTTTCCGATACCGTGCAAATTCTGGAGCTCTCCATCGACGACGAAGACTGCTTAAAGTATGTCCATCAAGCATTGGCAAATTGCTGCCCGAATTTGAAACAGTTCCGAATTCTTTGCGAATTTGTGGCTCTCGAAGAAATTTCGCTGGACCCGCTCCTACCAAAACGAAAGTTGCAAGCGTTCCTAGTCAATTTCCCAGTGCAGACGTCGGTTCAAAGTCTCACCAGTTTTATTCAGGTCGTTATCGACGCCTCGCCAAACTTGAGAGATATCAAAATTCCGTGGGGAAGCTGTACTGATTTCGAAAATTCTAAATCTCTTGAATCCTTAACGATCGCATTGGATGACCTTTTTAATACGCATGACATCGCTGCCTTTGAACCGGCATGGCTGTCACGTGTCCTGAATCAGATTGGGGATCAGCTGGTCTGCCTATGTTTTGGGGAGTCTGATGAAATTAAATGCGTCTACGATTGTGGAAACTGGCCTAGAAAAGAATTCCGGTTGCCGAAAAAGATGCCGAAATTGGAAAAGTATCGGAACCTGCTGGTCGACGTTTTTCAGTGCGACGATGTCTTGCAAGACGTCGAAAGGATGCCCGCCCTGAAAACGCTGGTGATTGGAAAGACAAGCACAACAAGGTCGGCAAGTTTGCATGAATTTTTGCAAACCATTTTCGACGCGGGGAAGATTTTGGGGGGTGTGAAAACTTTGAAGATTTTTGAGATGCATGATCCCAAGCTCTTGGAGGGATTGAAGACCGCGTTTCCGAACGTGGTGAGGTTGGAGGTGGACACGCGTAGCAGAACGGACGACCGTGGGAAAGAGAGTGGGATGAAGTTGGGCGTGGTTCTGAAGGCGTGTGGGGGTTGGCAAGGGTTGAAACGGATGGATTTGTCATTGCCGGTTTATCCAAGAGAAATTATAACTGCAATTCCAGCTTTGTTGGAGGGTCGGGAATTGTATAAAGGTGAGTATGTAAATATTTAAATTAATTATTTGACCATTTTATAAGAAAAATGCTTTAATTTTCTTGATAATGCTACATAAATTAATTCAAATTCAGATGGATAAAAACCAATTTCAGGAGAGATCGAAAATTGATTTTTATTCATGCATTATTTATGTAATATTTAAGTCGGAGCAATGTATTTAGACTAATATGGTAATTTCTACAATTTCAGGGCTGAAAACTTTCGAAATTATGGGATGCGACCGTTATACGAGAATCATTAAACAAGATTTGACAGATGACGACCTGGATCTCTTTAAGGAATTGCTCTTCGCGATGAATGGGATGGACGAGGTCATAATTTCCTACCTTTTTGTAAGTTAACATGATTCAATTTCTCCATAACTACAAATTACCTTGGTTGATTTCGTACCGCTTACATATTTCTACTGATTTTGTTTCCAGTTTAGTGAAGAATCTGAGAGAAAGATATTGAAGTTAATGGTATCAAACAACTTGACCGTCTCGAAGTTTAGGATATTTCAAGGGAAATCGACCCGTCATGGTAGCGATTAGTTGCAAAATTTATTACATTATTTGACCACATCAGTCAGCACCCTGATTCATGGTGCAATGTTTGTTTGTACTTAGCATTCTAGAATGCTAAGTAATTTTATTGCTATTACTTAATTTATGAACTGTTTACTGTAATCGTTGAGTAAATCTCATCTTAATTCAAGATGGTTCACGTTGTCCCAATTTGAGATATATATTTTGCCCATTCTATTTATTTTCATATACATAAATCTTTCTTAAAAGAGTTACATAAATAGTAATAAAAACATACATAATATTGCGTCCCACTGCTTGATTATCTAATAGATTGGATGAATTTTCTCTATTTTTCTTGCAAGATGATTCGAATGACTTGTATGTATGTAATTAGATTTTGATCAGAGGAAAGTCTCAGAATTTTTCTAAGTTTACGTGAAAGGTCATATGAATGAATGAATGCACGCAAGTTAAATAATGATAAAAATAACTCGCGTAACGGTGGTTTACGTGCCGTTGAATTATCCCAAGGATCACCTCTTTGTGCATTGCTGACCCCTTTCACTCCCTGCCGGGGTCCCCTTATTACCAAAAATGTCCGTTATATATGGAAATAATGGATCGTTTAAAGCTAGAAATCAACCCTTTCAGTCATCAAGAAGATTTTGCTTAAACAGTTCATACGTATCACCCACGCCAATAATATTCAAGTCCATGTTCGTCTCTAAATAATTTGCACTTTATTTTTTTAAACTGTAGGCGAGTTATCAACTTCATATCAAATTAATAATTCAAGTCTAGAGAAAGCAAGGTTTTGTCGCACAACTTTTGTGTTCCTTGAAACTTGGAGTTATCTACCAAAATTCAATAAAATCTCATTTTCAGCAAAACAACAACATGGATTCCCACGATATTAAACCACCGACTGGTGTCAAGATTGAGAAAATTGAGGTAATAAGTTGATTAGTATTTTCTATATAAATTGATATAAATATAACAAGCGGAATAAATTTTAATGTCGAGGTTTGAATTCTGTCGGGTAATTATTTTAATTCCACGTTTCAACTTGAAAAAATGTTACTTCCAATATGGATAAAATTTGACATCATAACAAAAAATAACAGCACTATATGCATACTAATTAAGTACTTAGAAATCACTTTAAAAATTATTGCAGCCGAGTTATTTCATATTTTCCCACCCCACCTAAGAAAAAATATAGAGTCATACATAAACCTGCAACACAATTCTGTCTCTCACCTCAAATATATGTGACAAACCATTTTTATGCCTATACATAGTTATATATTCCATACTTTCTACTCTACTTGGGGGACGTACATAAATTATTGCATGAAAAATAGCGATGTTCCACATCCACACTATCAACATTTAAGACACGTTCGATGTATGCATGTATGTATAAATTCTCGCTTTATCAGGTCCAATTTTACCCTTCTCTCATGGATGATATATAATTTATGCACGTCCCTTTCTAAGATAACCCATGTCTTTGAGAAAAGGCACTTGATTGTCTAAGGCAAAAGGTTCTTAGTCCTTACTTACTCTCTATAGCCGGCCATTCAATAAAAAAAATTGTAGGAGTTGCGTATTTTTATCTGGAGCAAAATATTTTAGTTGTTCATATTCGTAATTTATTTAAACGGTATATAAATCATCCAAGTAAGTACATTATGAAATTCATTCTGTCCATTTCATATATATTTTTGGCAGATATTTTCACCTCGATGTTACGCAAGTCTAACAAACAAGCCAGGAAAAAGTACATTTTTATTTCGTACCTAATAATAACTTGCTAATTTCAGAATATGATTAATCCGCCCCAACCTGGACTCGCAATCCCAGCTCTACCTGATTATAAAATTGATTGGGCTTCTTCAATTGTCGAAGGACAACGACCGGATGAGTTCAGTGGGAGCAATATTAACCTGAAAATTCAGGCAAATGGGGAAATTGGGATAGAGGAAACTACACAAATTGGTGTCAGATCAGTCACCATGATTTTGGAGCCTGGGCACTCCATAAAATGGATTAGCGATTTAAAGTCTGCTCCCATACTAGTAATCAAGTATGCCTACGTCGGACATCCATACAATTTGTGCCACATTTGTTTCAAAACCGACGGGGATCGAGACGACGTAAAACGTCTGTTGAACCGGTTTGTGGGACGGTTAATAATTTAAGTCTCTTTATTTTTAGTGTACAGTGCTACGATTAAACATGATAAGTAGCCATAAATTAATCGTTTAATTAATGAATATGTACATACATAGCATATATTAAAATGAGTTTTTTAATATTCCAGTTAAAAATTACTAGGTTATTATTAGTAGATAAAGGATATTTTTTTATATGAATGTTCCGTAAAAATTTAAATACGAGTATTTGTTAATATTGTTAATGTCGTAAATATGCCATGCATTCAAGTTAATTTACTTTGTTTATTGTGGTGGCACATTTCATTGTTTTTGTGAGCGGCATTATAATGATGGATCCTGCGACCAAGGATGCAATAACGCAGAATGTGACTGGGACGGATTGCGAGACAAACCCTCCACTGCTAATATCTGGAGTCATGTCTATAGTTGTGAGAAATATGGATGTCCAAAGTCTTTTGAGTAACAAAGCTGCCTTTTTGCGGTATCTTGGTCATCAACTACGAACCACGTTAAGAATAAAGCAAAGTCCTCTTAGAAATCTAATGGTCTACCCTAGAGCTGTGCGTAGGGTCGGGTTTACCCTAAAAAACCCTACCCTACCCTACCCTATAGGGTTTTGGGCGGGCCGGGTTTTCTGCCCAGAAAAATCCAGTAGGGCCGGGCGGGTCGGGCTTTTTCCAGTAGGGCTTTGGGCGGGTAGGGCTTTTTTTGTAGGGTTTCGGGCTTTTAGCTTACCCTAGTGATAAAGTACAATGTCAATTTGAGACAAAACTTCATAGTTTTACATAGCCCCAGCTAAAGCGGACTTCTTGATTGTAATGATATGGGATTGTATTCACTTGCTGTTTCACTACTAAGGGAGCCAATTTCACGAATAAATAAATCTCAGCTGAAAATCACACTAATGAGATAACGAGATGACGACAATCATTCCGTCAAGGTAATTGGGGCGCCCCACTATATTATAATTTTGTATAATTGTGTAACACCTAATTGAAGTACATATATATTAATTCGCAGAATTAAAGAGAACAAATTAATTTTGTGAGGATCAGGTCAAATAGCAAATACAAAAAATTTCAGGTAACTAATTGTAGCTTAATAATAACAAAGAAATTGAGAAGTAAAGGGGTGCCTCTTATGATTTAGCAGCATGGAATTTACTGAGAAAATAGAAAATTCATCCCAGATCAACACGCCATCCACCGAAATCGAAACCATTGAAAATAATTCGGAAAGAGAATTATTATCAAAGTCGGATGTTCAAAATTTAATTTCAAATGAAAGCAACAGAGTAACATTTAAGAAAAAAGGAAAGTCAAAAAATCAATCGTCTCAGTCTGATGTCTGGGACAGCTTTGAACTGGTATTTCTAGACAGCAAGGAAACTGAATTGGTGCGCTGTCTTTTCTGTAAGAAGTGCCTTACGAAGAAGGCTAAAGACGGAACATCCACCCTTACACGACATAAGAGTTTGTCTTGCAGCGCTGCACCAAATTCTTCTAAAAAAGCGACAAAAGGCCAGCCGTCAATACTAAGTTTTGGTTCCAGGAAAGCACCCGTTGATGCAATTACAGCTTTAAACAAAGACATCGTTATAGGACTAGCGCAGGATCTCCGGCCGTTAAATTTAGTTGCTTAAAGAGGATTTATGCGGATAGCCAAATCACTTATTCGTTTTGGAGCTACTTATGGCAATCAGGATCTGAAGTCTATTATTAAACATCGAACAACCTTGAAAAGAGAATATATACCAAAGATTGTCGAGGAGAAACGTACAGACATTGCTACCCAAGTTAATGCGGCGCCGCAATTTCCTTTTTTTGCTTTCACATCGGATATGTGGACCGAGAAATATAAACAAAAAAGCTTTCTTTCACTCTCCATCCATTATATTAACAAAGATTGGCAGCTGATGACGCACATGCTTGGGGTTGACCAATTCATAGATGATCACAAAACTACTATAAATATTCGAGAGCAATCACGAAACATTTTGTCGAAGTATTTTGATCATGGAGTGGAAGATATTATGAAAAATTCTTCCATTGTTACGGACTCGGGTTCTAACATGATACAAGTTTTACAAAACAGACAGCCGTGTCAATGCCATCGTCTTAATACTTGTGTGGAATGGATTTTCAACAAAAAGCCAGTTCCGACAGAAAAGCAAATTGCGGACGCCGAAAAACAAGGCAGAATAATTCCACAAAAAAATTCTTTGTCTTTAAAGAGAGGTGCCCAGAGATGCAGGTACCGTGGTAGAAATACACGTTATCCATAATCAAATATAATATTTTGTTGTTATCTATTTTAGGGCGCCCTATCATCAATCAAAGAGGTTGTGACATATTTCAAACAATCTTCTCTTAACTCGAAGCTAACTCACACACTCAAGCAAGATGTCGTCACAAGATGGAATAGTGAGTTAATAATGCTGGAATCGTACCTGAAAGCTGCTAGCGAAGTAGAAGCACTCCTTCTTCAGAATGGAAAGATTTATAAATTAAGTAATATTGATAAAGTAATTGTGCAAGAAATCGTGAACTTCCTAAAGCCATTTGAAGAATGCACGAAAGTTTTTAGCCAGGATCATGTCCCTACTTTGCATCAGGTTGCGCCCTGGTTTCACAGACTAAAACATCATCTGCAGACAAACGAGTTGGACTCCATTGAAATGCAATTACTTAAGGAACAAGCGAGGACGTGTTTTTCAGAGTACTGCAAAACAACTACTATTCATTATGTGGCCGCTCTGCTGAATCCAAAGTAGGCTAAAATATAACTTCCTATATTAACTTTGTATTTAAGGAATTTTGGTGCGCACCAGTTAATTGTTTTCGTTTTAGGCTTCGGAAGCTTAAGTTTGCAACTGAAGAAGAAAAAGAACAAGCATACGAAGAAATGAGACGAATTTTAGCCGATGAAGTAGAGAAAACAGTGAGCAATGAACATGAAACATCGAAATGTGAAACTTCCGAGCCAGAAACCAAAAAATCTCGGTTTGCTGATATGGAAGATTCTGATTCGGAAGATGAAGGGGAAAATATTTTGACCGGTAGCAGCGCCATCGCCAAAGCAGAACTAGAGAAGTATCTTGTTGCGAAATATAATGATTTAAATTCCGAATCCTTAATAATGAGCGGTACGTATATACCAGTTTAATTTGTTTTAATTACATGCATTGATTGTTCATTGTTTGTTTGTAATTAAGAAATTGGAGAAATAACACCCCACTTCGACATTCTTAAGTTTTGGTGTGGCGCCACAAAATTTCCTCATTTGCAGAAGATTGGACAACGCATACTTGCAATACCAGCGTCACAATCCACGGACGAAAGAGTTTTTTCGAGCACGGGCGCCACGACTTCCCCAAGGAGAACTTGTCTATCCGCAGGAACATTGTCAGATCTTACGTTTATTCACAAGAATTACGAATAGAGTTCTGTCAGCTTTAATTATTTGATTTTGTTATTTTTGTTCGTTGATAAGAATTAAACATAACTGATTTGTCTAACATTGCATTTTTTATTAATATACATAGCTAATTGGGTCTGAGAAAGCGTTACCGAATATCATTTTTAAAGATAAATATATGTAGCACTGCATATGGATTGGGTTACCCTAAAGAAGCCCTACCCTATAGGGTTTTGGGCGGGCCGGGCTTTTTTTCTGAAAAACCCTATAGGGCCGGGCGGGCCGGGTTTTTTTCAGTAGGGTTTTGGGCGGGTCGGGCTTTTTGTCCAGAAAAACCCAGTAGGGCCGGGCGGGCCGGGCTTTTTCCAGTAGGGTTCTGGGCGGGCTGGGTTTTTAAAAGTCGGGCCCGTGCACAGCTCTAGTCTACCCCTGGGATCCATCCGTAGATGCAATCTCCTACCTTACAAATGGTTCAGACCCCAATCAAATGTTCAGAACTGGGTCAGTGGGGGTCCTTGTTTATCTGGAAATTGATAATCGCAAGTGTGGTGGATTCCTAAATGATACAAACTGCTTCCAAATTGCCCTTGAAGCTGCTGAATTCCTTGCTGCATCTGCCCAAAGGCATACATTGGACTCAGATTTCGATATAATTCAAGTTCGAGGATTATCAAATGACTTGCCTCACAAAAATTAACTGATTTATGATTAATTATAATCAGTAGAAATTGTACGGAATTTCACGCGTCCAATGAAATAAAAGGCGAAGGGACCAGCATGCAGAATGGTGGCAATTAATTGTTTAGTTTATGTAATGTCACAAACTCCGGAAAAAAATGCACATGAAGTATTTTTCTACCTTACATAATATTCATACATATAATTATTATATTTTTTATGAAACATTTACGTCATACTTTAATTGCTGAGTAAATTTCGTCCAATCTATGAATGGGTGTGGTTGAAAAGTAAATAATTTAGTTATGATTGAGTTCCATCTGTCTATTAAATAATTCGATATTCGATTATGTAATTGATGTTCTCTGTGAATATGACAAGCGTTCAGAATACTTGTGCATTTATTTCGGTTTAGGTTAAGAGTTTAAATGTAAATTCTCTGGAATTCACAATAAAGCCACTGGATCAATTCTTTCAATGTTAAATTTTTTTAAATATTTTGACAAATTACGAACAAAATTTTCATAAACACTACATACTCTACTAACCACAAAAATATTTGGCCAAAACCAAAATACAGAAGTACACACATTACTTAAAACTAGGGTTTGCTAAACATATTTGACTCGTTTTTGCTCAATTTCTAGGATAGTAGCTACATTTTTACGCCAATTATTATAGCTCATTTTTTACTTGTGCACCGCTTTCAAGTGCAGTTTAACGTTTTCTTTCCTTGCAAAAACTTTGGAACAGATCGGACACTCGAAATCCTTCCTCCTTTCGTCCGTATGCATTTGCATGTGTTGCCTGAAATTGGGCTCTTGCCGATAACTTTTTCCACAGGTTTGACACTCGAACCGTTTTTCTGCCGGGGTTTCATGCTTCATTCGAATATGCTGGTCCAGGCTCCACTTCCGGGAACACGAGATCCCGCAATGCGGACAGATATGCTTATCTTCCTTCTGACCGTGTACTTCCAACATGTGCAGTTTCAAGTTTCTATTGGAACGGAAAACTTTTCCACATTGGGGACAGAGGAAGTCTTTCTGAAAATGTGAAATAAAATTTCAAAATTTCAATATGGCGTTCGAATAATAATCTTCATGTATCTCACAAATTGAGCATAGGCATGTAAGGGGGTGATACTAATGAAAGTGGCAGTTGGTTTATTGCGTGTAAAAAATGAATGGTAACAGGAAATTTGGTGAAATTTATATAAATTATAGATGGGGACTGTAGCTACTTATACAGAGCATGGGCCATCCTTACGTAGAAATTTTCAAACGCTTGCGCGAAAAATCTGGCACAACTTAAACAAACCCGGCCTACGCTGTTTGATAGACAAACCAATTAGATAAGACTCTGATTTTTTTCTACTCCAAGTTCTGAAAAATGGCTCCTCCATGACCATTTTAAGTGGAGGTACACCAAAAAAAGTTTTCCAGTCAGAATTTCACCGGAAATGTGATAAAAAAGGCAGAATGCACATGGGCATGAAATTTCTTTGGTCTCAATTTGTAGAATAATAAATATACGAGGTGTTAGAAGACTAGCCATTAATCAGGGATTGCCTCCTCCCCCTATAAACCGCGCCCTAGTAAATCGGTCGAAAAAGCTAAAAACGATGTTCTACCGTTTGATCGACCAGGAATTGCTAATGGGTATTCGCAGTATGGCAAAACTACTAAAATCGAAGCCCACAACTATTCAAAGAGTCGTTAAACGTGATTTAGACAAAATCAAACTGATGAAGGCAAAACTGCGTTGAACCTGCGTTACATCACTAATTGTCACTTTTTGCAACAAAAAGCTGTACCAGAACCACCTTGCTGGAGGTAGGGACGAAGAGGTGGTCACAATCGATGAAGCTTTGTTCAGGGTAGATGACTTGAATGGGAGAAGATCAATTTGCTGTGCATTGTGGAGAAAATGTACAAATTATCTACGACTGTAAATTGACTTTGGAAAAGTCTTTTGGACGAGTGGTTAAAAATAAGCCTTCAAAAGTGTCAGGAAGTGTTTTCATGAAGGAAAAAGCGCTGTAGGCCTGTAGCCCAGAACAAGGGGCATCAGATCGTGCAAGTCAATTATCCAAAAAAAATTCATATGTAGGTTAGAAAAATTGTTAAAAATTTCTACGTAAGGATGGCCCATGCTCTGTAATTGTCCACCAATGGTCCAAACACTCCATTCCTTCCGTTTGAGCCAAGCTTTTTGCGAACGGTCGCAAGAACGTTTTGCCACTGGTTTCCCCAACGAGTTTTATTATTGCCGTCATGACCTGTATAAATTCTCGCAAGTTTTCGGGTGGTTTTTGTCTATTGGAATATTCCTTCTTAATTAGTGCCCAAAACCGTTCAATTGGACTCGCTTGACGTAAATTTGGAGCGCCGTCTCTTTTTTCAACAAAATCGATATTTTTGCTTCGAAAAAAGTCGGTCACAATCTTGTCATAGTGGGATGTCGTCATGTCCATGACATGCTTGTTTTTGATGAAGGGGGTCAATCTCTTTATGATACACTTTTCAATTAGAGTTTAGAATTCGAACTCTTGAAAATAATAAATAATGTTTCTTGAGAAAAGCTATGTCCACTCTCTTCACTACTTTCACCGATCCCAGTAGGGCAGGTCGGCAAACTGATTTTTTGAAATCTGCATTTCCGCGTTCCTCGTATCTGTCCAGTACTCGGTTAATTTTGTTCCGATGCATTCCTCCATTTGGAACAAAATTGAGAGTGTTTTTTCGATCCCTGAAACAAAAATTTTGGTGCGTTTTGGCAAAACCGTTTTGCGACTTTGTCGGAATTTTTTGCTCTCATTTTAGAACGAATAGAGATAACGGACTTTGGTTTTCGGATTCAGAAAGCTGATTAAATTCCGAATGAGACGTAATAGGCTTGAAAATTTTAACTGACTCCTAAAACAATTAAGCGAGCGGGAAAAACTGCCACTTTCAATAGTATCACACCCTTATGTTGCAATTAGGGACAACACCTTATTTGGCATCGTAACTCATTTAGTGAACTTGCCAAGCTAAGAAAAATAGTGAAGTGAAGGAATTTTCAAAATATGATAATCATATTATGATTTCACAAATTTCGAAGATCTGTATCAACAGTTTGTTATCCTATTTTAATTATGTTTCCAATAAGTTCCAAGTATTATTTGCAATTTATAAAGAATTTATTTAATAGAAAGGAAAAGTTAGCGAAATAAAATGTCCACTTGCAGGATAAGTTTTCAAACCAAAATTCCATGGTTTTCCTGCAAGGAGTTTACGAAATCTCTTAAACTTCGCAAAAAATTCGTAAGTTAGTCACGAATAATTTATGGAAACTACACCAAACTTGGAGAACATTACAATCTTTATAGCTTTGGGTAATAATATTTTGCGAATTCCTTCACGAGTTCACGACACAAATTTTTTGAGCTTGACAAAATTTTTAAATGAGTTGGCATGAGTACTTCCAATGGCTCAGATTGAAATTTTCAAAAAAAATGTAATCAGGTCCCCACCTTGTTCGAGTGCGTTCTAATATGAAACTGTAGATTCGTCGACCGCACCAATTTTCCGCAGAGGGGACAAGCTTTCTCCAGCCGTCGTCGTACCCTTTTTTTGACGACGTCAACCCCACCCTCTTCGCTTGTCGCCTGGGGATGCACCGCTTTTAAATGAAGGTCCAAGCGATGCCGTCTCGAAAACATTTTGGAACAGGATTCGATCGGACAGGGAACAGTTTTTGGGTACGTGCGCCCCATGCTAAACCCTTTTTTGTTGACGTCTTGATGGAAATTCTTTAAATGGGTGTGAAACCGATCTCTTCGTGCGAAGGTCTTATCACAATTATCAACTGGGCAGGGGATCCGTCGCTGCGGGGTTTTAGCGGAACGTCGTTGTCTCGATGGGCGGTCAGATTGGGAGGAAGAATCGTCAGAATCTTCATTTTTTAAGGGGTTGATTTCAAACTCGGCTAATTCGTCGTCATCGTCGTCGTCACCTTTAAATAATTTGAAGGATATTATTTAAATACAATTCGCGCATTTATTGCTTGTAAGATCTTTGCGTTTCATAAAATAATTTTACAAACTTTTACAAAATAAAGAGACGCCCTTCATCTGAGCAATAAGTTTAGAAAAATTTGCAAGCTAATTTTCCGTAGAGATATTTGTAGAATTTTGTAAAACGTTATGAGTAAGAATTTTCGGATTTTACAATGTTGCCTAGGTCTGGGTAAGTTGCCTGAATTAATTATTTGTTGAATGATAAGAATTTCGTTTAATAATTTTTTGTACCTGAATTCATAAAATCGTCCTCATTCGACATAACAGTTTCGACTAATTGTTCATGACTAATTTCGTTCTCGTCACTGGATACTGATTCCTCCTTTATTTTTGCGAGTAAATCGTCCTCCTCGACTCCTTTCTTCTCTCTAATCTTTTGGGATGCGTTGTCGTCGTCATGGAGACCAGTACTTCTTAATCTTGTATTCCGTGATGTGGCAGGGTTGTCATATATTTTTGAAAAACCGAGACTAGATTTTCTATTCTTGATTTCTGAAAATTGTCGCCTTTTCCGCAACCTTGGGTGGGGTCGCGGGGTGGATATTTGCTCTCTAAGGTGGCTCAATTTCTTGCAAAGTTCGCCTTCTTTGTCGGTCATTTGGATAAATTGGAGCGAAACATTGTACACATTTTGGAAAACTTGGGAACATTGGGGGCAGAAATTTAATAATGGGGAGTCCTCCCCCTCCTCGCGGTGAGTTTCCCCTAGCCAGAAATCCACCAGGTGAGAAAAACCGGCGGAAATGGATAACTCGTCAACATCCTCCTCGTTATCTAAATGAAATGATTAAAATTTAGTTAAATATCAAAATTAAAGTGGTTAAATTACGCATTAAAATCAATACTATCAATTAAGAAACACATGAATGATAATTAATGTAACGCACCTATCGTAGTTTTTCTAATTATTGAAACCAATTCTGAATTCTCAGTGGAACAATTGTTGCAAGCAATTTTTTCCATGGTTAAGTTCACGTCAGCTGTTTGTGGTTTTACATTATTCAAATAAATTAACTAACTCTAAAATTTTGTTAACTGGCAAATAATGGAAAGTTTAAGTTTTTGAAACTTAAACAACTTCAAACTTGCAATTTTGCAACAGATGATATTCCAACTGATGTTATGTTGACAAACAAACGTGTGATGTTTGCGCCAAATGGTGCAGAGTGAGAATATGTAAACAAAGGAAATCGATTTGGAGAATGAAGAAAAAAAACATGAAAATTTTCATGAAAACGTGTGCATCATCTCATCATCCTTACTTTCTACTTTATCATATTAATGTTAACTCTTACACATGGCTTTTGGACCTGTTAAACTTAATTTGAACATTAAATTAAATGTAAAATACTGGCAAAAATTAGTCATTTATCAGTAAAGGTAATTAGTTTTTAATGAATAAGAACTGGTTTTGATCGAAATGCATTGTAGAAATTCCATTTGCACAGGTGTATTTCATGAAAAATTATGCATGTAAACAATGCACCCATTAAAGGTGAGACCCTATATCTTATTCCATGGTGAGACGCGAATGCAAAACGATTTTCTCTTCTTGAACTATGGAAATTCTGGAAAAATCTCTCCATGGGAGGTCTTTTTGTATGGAATGAATGCGAACATCGCTATGCAACATCCGAAATTATTCATTTTTAATCCTAAATATCGAAAATTCCAGGCTGACGCTGACCCTTCAACTTGATTAAGATCGACTCACATTATGTATGGATGAATAGGCTAAGAAATCACTTTACAAGTTAACCAGGTTTTGAGGGAGGCAATCGCTGATACGGGTAAATGCTTAATTTTTGCTGGAGTGAAAACTGATATACATATATCTAAAGATACTGAGGGTGGGGCGTCCCGCTGATAACGATTTTGACCATTAATATCTTTGGCGCTATTGGAAATTTTGAATTGAAATTTTTAGAATTTGTTCACCTTATAGTCAGCATTATGGGTCTAAAATTTCAATTCGCTAGTGTAAATAGCACCAGGGATATATTGATAGGAAAAAAAATTTATGTTAAAAAGCGTTTCCAAAACTGATTTTTTTTAAATTTCAGAATATTTTTAAAACACTCTGGAATTGCGAATTATTCATAGAATTTGATCTGGGTGGTATGAAAATTTGTGGCATCTATGTGGCTTTCATCAACAACTCATAAATCTCCCAAAATGTTTTTAACTCATTCCATACCAGGTGGATTTGTATAAAAAAAGCGTGAGAAAAGTTTTTTTGTGGTAAATGGAATTTTATAAATCTCAATAGTTGAAATATTTTCATGTTTATTATTTTTGCAGTTAGAGGAGACATTACTGATGGTAATACAAACAAATTTTGGAGTGCAAATATTTAATTTCGTGTTATGGAGTTAGTTGGAAAAAATTAGCGACATTTTGACACATTGGGGGCTGTTATAACTTTTGCTCTGAAACTCTACACAGTAATGTTTTTATCAAACTTTAAACTGTATTGTGTACTGCAGACATGGGCTCACACAATTTGCTATTTCCTGATATTTTTAGGGTATCAACAACTGCCCCATGTGCTTCCATAGGGTAATTTAGGTCTGGAACACAAAAAATCATCACTGTTGTACTTTAGGTTTAGTTGAAGGTCTGGTTCTAACACTAGAGTATTGAAATTTTGCACCAATAATGCCAACTCTAGTGCCTATCAATTCCCGAAGTTTCAAGTTGAAATTACTACAAGTGGCAAAGATATTAAGGTCAAACTCGTTATCAGCGAGCTGCCCTCCCTTTGGTACAACAAACTAATTCAATCTTGGCTTAATTTTGTCCCTTGACATTGAAATAGGTACATCTGCATGGAGACATTTGGCAAATAATACAGGGTGAAGTTAGTTTGTCTTTTAAATATATGTATGTATTTAGTTTGTAATATTTGCTAACATTTGGCAACTTTGAATCGCTCAAGGCTAGTTTTCTGGAACGCATTGAGTAGACTTAACTTTTCTCAGTAACGTCCATTGTTTAGGGAACTTGGTGGTGTTGGTATTTGCGGAGTGTGTACATTGTTCGAGGTCTATGTACATAAATGCATACTTTATCGGGAAAAAGTTGCATAACCAGAAATATGTGAATCGCATACAGTTTGTACACCGTTTTATTTGTTTAGTCAACCAACTGACTGGAAACAGGATATATGTAAAAGATTAACAGCGATAATCCATGTTATGAATGACACATACACACATAAGTAGATATGTAATGCCAACCTGTGCAAATTGACGTCAGCAAGTTCATGTTCGATGGTCTAGTCGGTGTGATATATAAAGAGAATTTGACCTGTCAATTTCATCGTACAAGATTTTCTTCACTTTTACTAGTCTTTCTTTCCTAAGAAAATTTGGAGCTTCAAAATGAAGTATTTAGCAAAGTTTCTGATCGGGATTTGTGGCCTGTGGGTTGTCGCTGGTGTGGTAGAATGTCAAGTACCTTCACCCGTTCCGGCCCCTGCACCTTCACCCGTTCCGGCCCCTGCACCGTCACCCGTTCCGGCCCCTGCACCGTCACCCGTTCCGGCCCCTGCACCGTCACCCGTTCCGGCCCCTGCACCGTCACCCGTTCCGGCCCCTGCACCGTCACCCGTTCCGGCCCCTGCACCGTCACCCGTACCAGCCCCCGGACCTGCCCCTGCACCCGGCCCTGCTCCCGCACCCGGCCCTGCTCCCGCACCCGGCCCTGCTCCCGCACCCGGCCCTGCTCCCGCACCCGGCCCTGCTCCCGCACCCGGCCCTGCTCCCGCACCCGGCCCTGCTCCCGCACCCGGTCCTGCTCCCACAACCACCACAACGGCGAAACCCATTCCAGGATTTCCAACGGTTAAACCACCTTCGTGGGGTAAGCATATATGTATTTTTATGTATTGGCCTAACAAGTCAGATTCTTCTAAAGACACACTATGTATTTATTGCTAACATTCACATGTGTCTTTTAGCTTTAAATTTCAACCCAGCTTGGCTCGGATAAGGTACAGATATCCAACATTGCACATATACAAATGTTTCTAATTTGTATCGACCTTGGAACTCTGGTATTTAGAAGCTTTAATTTTGAGAAAAATACAATTCGCAATAATGAAAGAACGTTAACGAGTTTGCATGATCATTAAAATACATTACTGAAATTTAAATCTCATATTAATGGTCGCCCGCTGTAGCATATTCAACATTCGTAGTTTCTTAAAAGGAATTTCTAGTCAAATTCATGCATAAACATCTGTTTCCCATTCAACGATAATTTCATAGAAAAACACTGGATCACTTCCGCAAAACCCTTTGTTTAAAAATCAATTTTTGTCACACTCCAGCCAGGCGCCGCACTAAATTTTTGCAATTGTTTTTTAATTTTCAGACAAGAGTACAGATATGACAATTAGTCCCGACTATGTACTAATTTAATACTGGTATAAATGTGATATTCATTTTGGTTGAGCCGTGAAAATAAGTAGAAAATTTGATTCGTGTACATCTTCATGTAAGTTCATACAGTAAGCAATGATATTTCATGGAAATCGACTCCTCTCAGGAGTTTTCACAAAAATTTGCATGCAAATAAAGAGGTTAGTTAGATATGTACACTAGGGGACAATATTGAGTAAATTGGAAGAATGATTTCATTCAAACATGGAAATCTCAAAAACTAATGGATGGAAATGAATAATTGTTTTTGCATAATGTGTAGAATTTAATCAGCTACGAAGTCAAACATAAATACATGTAATGGGTATATATCCTGTCTTGAAAAAATGCGCGATTTGTAAAGAAAAAAATACGGGATAGACAAAATTGAGTAGATTTTTTAATTTTGTCGTTATAACTTGATAAGGTAAGCAAATCTTTCTATCAAGTATGGTCATTATGGTGTAGATACAACTTGTGAACATTTTTATTCTTCCAATTAGGATGTCAAAGGTCAGGACTGAGACCACGGTGGCAGAAAGGGCGCGCATCATTGACGCATGGGAAGGAGGCGAAAATGGGTCAAAAACTTTAAAAGAAATATCAGAAATTTTAAAAATCAAGTACACAACTGTTTGGAAGATCATTGACCGCTATAAAAAGTCAAACAGCATTGGCAACAAGGCAGGTAGGGGAAGAAAGCAGACTTTCACGGACCGAGAGAAACGTTCAATCGTGAAGTTTGTGAAAATAAATCCGAGATCCAGCGCCGTGGATATTTCGAATGCTACTGAAACTGCCACAGGAAAGAAGACCAGTCCTAAGACTATCAGAAGAATCCTAAATTCGAATGGATACAAAAATTTTCGAGCGAAGAGAAAGCCCTTCATTTCCAAGACGAACATGAAGAAACGACTGAAGTTTGCCAAGGAGCATCTCAACAAGGACCAAGCTTTCTGGGACAAAGTTTTATGGTCCGACGAAAGCAAATTCAACATTTTTGGGTCGGATGGTCGGATCAAAGTGTGGAGGAAGAAAAAGGAAGCTCTGAAAATGAAGAATTTGAACCCCACTGTCAAGCATGGTGGAGGAAGCGCCATGGTGTGGGGTTGTTTCAGCTCTTCAGGTCCTGGAAAAATGGAATTTGTCGAAACGACCATGAATCAACATGTTTACCAGGGCATAATCGACAGGAATGTCAAAAGTTCGGCAGCAAAACTGAAACTTGGCAGGCGTTTTATCTTCCAACAAGATAAGGATCCCAAGCACACCGCTAAGTCGACTTGGGCGTTTTTCAAGACCCAGAAGATAACGGTGCTGGACTGGCCACCACAAAGTCCCGATTTGAATCCAATTGAGCACCTCTGGGATCACATTGAGCGGGAAATTCGAAAAACGCCTATTTCGAACAAAAACGAGGTAAAAAGGCGGCTTTCCGAAGCATGGGAAACTACTCCACCGGAAGTAACAACAACGCTCGTCAACTCGATGAGAAGCCGCTGCATTGCCGTGATTGAAGCTAAAGGAGGTCCAACTAGATATTAATCGCAAAAAAATTCAAATTGATATCTTTCTTTAGAAAATAATAGTAAAAGTCTGAAAAATTTACTCAATTTTGACCCTTCCATATTTTTTTCTTCACGATTCGGGCATATTTTCAAAAAAGCGGTTATACTCAGTACCTTAATTGATCTTTGGTTTTATAGTTACTTAAATCCTACACATTATGCAAAAGAAATTATTCATTTCCATACTATAGTTTTTGAGATTTCCATGTTTGAATGAAATCATTCTTCCAATTTACTCAATATTGTCCCCTAGTGTAGGTATTCATATAAATCTGATATTTTGATCATTTTATTCTTAAAATTATTCATTTACCTTATCTGAAATATCAAATGCAAATATTTATCTCAACTATTTTATCGTTTTTAGCCTTTACTTTTTAACGATCAATAAAATTATGTAATTTAATTTCGCCTTTGTCTCATACAGATCTGGATTTACAAAATTAGTAAAATCAATTTACTCAAATTTCTCGAAACCTCAAACATTAATCATCGTTCAGTGTTGATAACGTAGGAGGTGAAGCCGTTGGTGTCGGCTGAGGCGCGTTATGCTCCAACGTCATCGTTGTCCGGAAGTTTACATCCCTAAAAATTCCACGCTGAATGGGAATGGTCGAGCAAGTGTGGACAAGTGTTAGGTCGAGATTTGCTTCCCCGTCGTTTCCCGCTAGCTGGAGGACACTCCTTAAGGTGAGGCCGTCAATCCCGTTGCCAAGTAACTTGACACAAGTCTTCCCACAACAGTCAACAACTTCGCTCTTCAAATTACAAATCAGTTTAGGACTGCATAACGGCTTAACCATTGCGGCTTGTGAGACTACCTGTCATTCACAAACTATCATTAGAGGTAGGCTATAGTAGCATTTGGATATTCGTCGGACCAGCCGAAATATTATCTCCTTCTTTCAATCGACGGTATGTCCCGAGACTCAACATTGGTCTCCTTTAGCCCCAGTTACCAGTAGGGTTGCCGCGGGTAACGGGTCGGGTACCCGTTACCCGCATACCCGCACGATTCTTGCGGGTACCCGTTATCTGCGGGTAGCGGAACTACCCGCACGGGTAACGGGTAGTTCAGTTTTTATTTAATTTTCGAAATAAATCAGATCACAAACAAAGTGCAGCAAGTTAGTCCATTTACCAACAAAAGCGTCAATTTATTATTCATCCATTTCAAAATTTGTCATTTGCCAGCAACAAGCGCTTATAACGAGCTTGTCTTTACAGAAGCCACAGAAGCCTATGCCGGCCTTAAGTACTTTTCACGTCCAGAAAATGCGGAGCAATTACATATTGTGTCTAAAGCATAGTTTGCCTGCTCTTAAATATCAGTAATAATTTGACTTGTATTTGTGTGTATTTATTTGTGTAAGACCGCCGAGATTTTAATTTGTGCTTTGATAAAAAAACTTGAATCCGACTGAAAGAAAAAAAATTATTTGTAGACAATTTTTTAGAATGAACACTTCATTTAATTTAAATCAAAATTGGAAAATTGGAAAAATTGGAATAAATTCGTGCGTTAGTTCAAAAAAAAATTTGAAAAAATCGAACCAAAAATAGAACTTTTTTCAAGCTAAACCAAAATTGTCCAGCGATTATATGTATATCAAAAAGTCGGGCCAAAAATTAGGAATCGCGTGATACTTACCTTTCCTTTGAATGGCCTCTACAAAGAATAATATTGGCGTAAAATTTAATTCTTAAGTAAATGTTCTGTACCTTTTCCTCACTGGACGAAATCCATGGTGGACTTTGAACTCTGCCCCCGCAATAGTTTCCTTTAAACTCTTTATTCAATGGAAAAACCAGTGCCATGCACTTCCTATTTTTTGGTTTAATTTTTTGATATCATAGCTTGAAAAACGATCAAGGTGTAAGCCTAAAAGCATGCCCTACTTGCATAGCTTAATCGCAAAGTACCTATCAACCCAAATGAACAAACAATTGATCAAATCAAACTTATTGTCAAGCTTGGTTAGTTTTTAACCCAATTCTCATAACGGGTAGCGGGTAACGGGTGCCCGCACGAGTGCACCTGCGGGTACGGGTAGTTGTGCTGCGGGTCGGGTAACGGGTAGCATTTTCGCTACCCGCGGCAACCCCAGTTACCAGAGCAGAAGGCTATAACAAATCTGTGACGCACCAACGTCGTCCTATAGCACCTTAAAATAGAATTCACGTCAGAGGTCGACGCCGCCGATCTCACGCCGCCGCGCCTCCATACGCCGATGATTTTTCCGCGCCGCCGCCGCCGAAAAATTTGATTTCCTATTCCTTTAACATTGCGACGCCGCGCCGCCGACGCCGCCGAAAAATCACCAAAAACTGCCGCCGCCGCCGCCGAAAATATGTCGGCGTCGACCTCTGATTCACGTAGATAACTCGAGATAAATAATAATTACCGCAAGAAGCAGGAAATACAGTGTAGTCAGCTTCATTTGACACTTGGTTTGGCTACTAAAGCTCATACCTGGTAAGCTTAATTTTGTAACATGTCTTACACAAAGACCACATCCTGATGTGCAAATATTGCATCCTATTGTTGAATTCATTTTGAAGAAGATTAAATAGAACTTGGAAACCTTTGACGTGTTCATTCACAAGTAGCAACATCATTTACAAGTGCTTATTACACTGTAGGTGTAACAATGGTTTCCCGGAATTCTCAATTTCTGTAAAAGTTCAATTGAAAAGTAGGGCTGGAATTTCTTATTCCTGCTTTGTTTTGCATTGATTTTCTTCCTCTTGTTTTCATATATTTATATAAATATGTACATATCTCTATCTAGTACTGATCTGGTTATCCTCTAGCAACCAAACTACGACTAACCCGGTGGGAAGTTATCATAAATCAAAATGCGAGTACGGAGTATACATGTAAATATTTGACGTTACCAGATTTTTAACAGTATTTTTAACAGAAGGCTACTTATTTATATTATTTCCAATTTTTTGGTGACCAAAATTACGAAAAACTTGCCTAACCTAAGCCTTTATTTTTGTATTTTTAAACCGCTTCTTCTTGTCCAATGTATGCAGCTGCCGTTTGCCTTTTGCCTTACAGATAGTTGTGTATGCATACATATGTACCTCTTCGAATTCCAAGCTAATTATCATAATTACTTTACGTGTACGACTCAACGTCGTAGTCGATGTGAGTGATGAATAGTGCATGTCATAAATCTTAAATAGATCAGGTTTATAATCAGGTTTTACACCGTGACTACCCCAACTATCAGTGTCCGCGGATAGAGGGGCGATGTCCCCTCGGTTATTCGATGTCTTCATCACATCCCCATGTTGCATAAACCCCTCCCTCCCATATTCTACAATGTTAATGTCCCCAAAGCTTCCGCAGCCACTGAATACTAAAGCTGGAATCACAGAATATAGATTCTACCAGAAGAATCGATCTTATGTATTTGAGTGACGCTTATGGAGGAACGGGAGAGCCAACCAAATAACTCGGTGTACATTTGGCCCACCTGGGGGAGGTGCCTACGCATCATCATCATCGCCACATCTCCTGGCATCAATAAATGATGATGAAAGCACATAGGTGGCGCTGGCACCCCCATTTGTGCACCAGAACACACCATTCTGAGCTGCGTCTCCACAAATTTGATGCTCTACGAGGGTGTGTTCTGGTGCACAAATGGGGGTGCCACCGCCACCTATGTGCTGTCATCATCATTTTTTGATGCCAGGAGATGTGGCGATGATGATGATGCGTAGGCACCTCCCCCAGGTGGGCCAAATGTACACCGAGTTATTTGGTTGGCTCTCCCCGTTCCTCCATAAGCGTCACTCGAATACATAAGATCGATTCTTCTGGTAGAATCTATATTCTGTGAGCTGGAATAAGTTTCCATCGATGGAGACTTAGCGACAACAAAGGAATGTTAAGCCAGACGAACCGGACAATTTCTTGGACTTGCCTACCTTGAACGAGTTGTTATTCTTCTTACATACCTAACCAACCTCAACAACGACAACGCGACATGGGGACGTCCATATATAATGTTATCAAACTAATGAGGATTTTCAGACCACTCACGCATCCCTTCGCTATCCAACGAATGTTAAGCTGGAAATGAAACACTGATAAAGCCACAAACCAAAACCACCCACCCACCTTGTTGAAGACGTAATATATGGACGTTCCCCATTACATAATAATTACACATCGTTTTTCATGTATTTATTTGTCTGCCTCAGGTTAATTGCGATGTTTAAAATTCAGTCGCATTTTTTCCACCGACTCAAAAATTTATGTATCAGTTCCACCAATGATGGTGATGGTGTGGATTTGTTTCCCTGGATAATTATCACCTAATTTACATATAATAGGCTAGGAGTGGTTCTCAATTTGCACTTAACTATACCCGTTCACCTTCATTCATTTTATAGATAATGATTCATTCATCACTCAATAAATTCATATTCGAAGATAATGAGTGAATATATAATTTGTAAAAAAAACTTTGAATGAATTAATATTGAATAAGTAGATGTTTATTTCATATTTATGAATAATGAATGAATATATAGTTTTATTGTTTTTTTTTCGCTGGGCTTAATACATGGAGTATACTCACTGAAAATTCCATTTAATACGGCGAATTTGAGCAACAATGAATAATGAGTAAATATTTATTTTAAAATTTTAACTTGCAATTTTTAAATTGAATGAATTATGAATGAATAAGTATTTTTTGAACGAGTACTTTCCGCAATTAAAATTCAATACGCAATTTTAATTGTCAAGTAATGTATGTAATCAAGTCAAATTTTTATAAGCAGCTCACTTTATTGTGGTTTCAGTGGCCGCGGAAGTGTGACGGGACCGAGGGACAATGTCCCCATGGTTCTTCGATGTCTCTATCGTCTGCCAAAGTTATGTAAACCCTCCTCCTCTCCTATTCTACTTTGTTTATGTCCCCACATGCCCCCATGGCTTCCGCGGCCACTGCGTGGTCTGCACATTTTCTGAAACTACCTATCCCTTCTACTTCTCCTCTTCTGAAGGTCATTTCGGGTAAGTGGTCTGGTCATCGCAAATGGGTTCACCTTAATCATTCAACTTTATTATGTTTGTCCAGCTATTTATAATAAGTCTCCAATTCCATCAGGTTATCAGTATCGCTTCGTGGTTCGTCTAGTTCAACTGGAATTACTCAAGTCTACTTTTGAGACGCAAAATTACATAATTTCTTCTTCGTCAAAATGGTATAACTTATTTACAAGTTTGTTCGAAAGGGTTGACACATTTTATAAATAATTTAATTTCCAGAAGGTCGAAAAAGTAGTTGGAACCTCCTACGAAGACAAAGGGCCAAAGGTGGGTAAAATAAAATAAATGTTTAGACATTTGAAATTTTGAAATTGTGCGTGTGTCTCCCCCAATTTTTTTAGCCCCCTTCTGGAAAATTCACCCATTTTGATCACGTCACACTCTGGGTCGGAAATGCAAAGCAGGTTAGGTGTTCCTTTGCTTAGCTACGAAATAATATATCCTACACTCTTAGAAATCCAGTATTGGAATAATACCATGCGGTATTCATATATAACTCTGCCAAAATGGTATTAATAAGTCAAACCTTGTCGTAATGGCTTGACATAAAAGGTTTACAACATCGGTTGAAAATTTTTACGGGGTAATTTTAATACCAGGTGGTAGAACTTTTAACACCGACAAATCAATACCTTCGTGACTATATATACCAGATTTCTGAGAGTCAGATAAAATAAGCATGTGACACAAAGTGACACTAATTAACAATAAAACTACTATGCAATGTCAACCAGCCTGATTTTCTGGTTAGGCGTGCACCTACTACTGCGTACGGTTGGGATTTCAACCGTTGGCGTATCAAGGCTTGGAAACTGGCTCGAGGAAAGTTGCGGCTCATGTAGTCCGCCAAAATAAAGTAGGTGTAAATAATATAGTATTTTCAATTTCATACGGAATTATAGCGGAAGTTTTCTGGCTAGTCACCTCATTTGCATATTTTTATGCATTAGCGAGATACAGAGTTTATTTAACATGGAAAGCCCATAGGGCATGGTGAGATTAATGCAAATGAGGTGACAATAATTCCACATGTTTCGACCTTCCCAAGTACAATACTCCTTCTTCTAGGTCATCCTTGTGCTCAAATCCGCCTACGAGCCTGACGATAAAGAAATGGGAGATCATTTGGTCCGACATGGCGACGCGACGAAAGACGTCGCCTTCACGGTCGAGGATTTGGATGAGATTGTCAAGGTAAATTTTAATGCTTGTGTGCATTTACTGAGAAAATAAGTGATGCAGATAAGTCGATACTATTTGCATATGGTGTGCAAAATTATTTATATAGCGTGCCAAAGAGCGTGGTGCCACAATTGTGCGAGATATTTGGGAAGAATCCGACGAAAATGGGAAAGTTCGATTCGCCACGATTCAAACGGTGGGTCCCTCTTTTTAGCACGTATTTTATTTAAAAAATGCAAAATTCAAAATCTTGTCTTTCTGTTTTCTTGATTTTCAAGCGTCACGTTTGTTTTCCTTTGTATAAAATATTTTTCGTAATTTTTCCCTTCTCCAGTACGGCGACACGACCCATACGTTCGTAGAGCGTGGAGATTACCAAGGTCTCTTTCTCCCCGGGTATGGCAAACCACCCTTCGAAGACCCATTGTGTGCAAAGCTGTAAGTTATATAACAACAACCAGTGGCCGCGGAAGCGCTGGGACAATGTTCTCACGATTATTCGTTGTCCCCATTATCTGCCCATGTTATAAACCGCGCCCTCCCCTATCCTACAATATTAATGTCCCAGATGTCCCCGCAGCAGAGGTCGACGCCGACAAATTTTCGGCCGCGGCGGCGCCAGTTTTTGGCGATTTTTCGGCGGCGCGGCGCGGCGTCGCAATGTTAAAGGAATAGGAAATCAAATTTTTCGGCGGCGGCGGCGCGAAAAATTATCGGCGTATGGCGGCGCGGCGGCGTGAAATCGGCGGGGTCGACCTCTGCCCCGCAGCTTGCACGGCCCCTGACAACAACTAACCACTACACTCTTAGAAATCCAGTATTAAAACAATACCAAACGGTATTCATATATGACCCAATCAAAGTGGTATTAATTAATAATGCCACCTAGTAACAACTCGGTATAAAAGTTTTACCGTATCTGTAGTAAATTTTTAGGGACCGTTATACCTAATTTTCATGACAAGCGGTATCAACTTTAATACCGAGAAATCAATATATTCCAGATGTCTAATAGTGTAGAACTGCAGAACTCTGATTTCAGGGGAGAAAAGAGAGAAATAAGTGAAAATATGTCTCAAAATTTATTTCCAGGCCGTCATGTGACTTGGAAATTATGGACCATATTGTTGGAAACCAGCCGGATCTGGAGATGGAGGATGTGGCCAAGTGGTACGTGTTTAATGTTTTTCTGATAGCGATAGGTACGTGGATATGCTAAATAACTTCTTAGATTTGGCCACATGCATGTCTTTTCCCCCTAAGGCTTCCGTTTAAATTATTTAGCTTTACAGTTTTATAAACTAGCATATTTGTGGGCTGGCTGAACATTAATCTATCTAAAACTTTGTAAACTTCCAGACAGTCAAGGTTAGGAATTGGGATAGGTTAGGTAAGAGTTGGCTCATCTTTTATGTAATATGGACATAATTTATCAAGCTAACACCAGTTACAAAGCTTGTTTCACTTCTCAGTCGTCTGGTCCCTCCTTGAGGTTGGTTAGGGACACTGCTGCATAGGAAATATGTATGTATGTATGTAAATTAGACAACATTTCTTTGGTGGTCTCAATCTTAAGTACATAATTACGTGTAAGTATTTATGTGGGAAGGCTTATTGCGCAAAATGCTATTTGTGCAATACGAATTCAGCAGCATGGCCGTTAGGCAAAGGTTCATTACGTAGAATGATCTAGGACATAAGCAGATGTGTACATATCGAAGTTGATTTGGATCAGCCTTATCATCAACCCGATCTGATCCTATCCGTTGTTTGGATTTATATCCATTCCGTACTGTTTTTCGTACTGTTTGAGTCAAAAATATCCGATCCAATTTTATCCAAAAATATCATTCAAAAATATCCCAACCGTTTTTTAGATTTTTAAAAATACCCTACCCAACCCGATCCACTCGGAGTGGATCGGGCCGCAGATGATCCAAAATACCGATATCCGACCGCACCTATTAATATGTAAAAGATTGATGAATACATATATCCTCCGATCAATTTCAGGTATGAATCGACCCTCATGTTTCATCGATTCTGGTCCGTTGATGACACCCAAATCTACACCGAGTACTCTGCACTCCGTTCCATCGTCATGACCAACTGGGAGGAAACTATCAAAGTGAGTGGTAGTACTTACTTATCCCGTAAAGGATAATTAATGTTAGGGATATTGACAGCAATTTCGTATGTAGGGCGGCAAAATTTTGGAAAAAAATTACCAACAACCTACTTAATATTACACTTTTAGAAATCCAACACTAAAAAAATAATACCAAGCGGTATTCATTCATATATACAAAAGCTATTGATTAGTAATGCCATGTACGTGTACTAATAGTTACGCACAGATATTAAAGTTGTAACATTTTCAAAGGTAATTTTTACAAACCGGTATAATTTTAATACCCATCGGTAGAAATCAATACCTGCCTGACTACATATACCAGATTTCTATTTAACAGTGATAGCAGACATATGTAAATATACATATGTTTCTTGACATAATATTGATATATTTTTCCTTGGGTAATACCAGATGCCAATTAACGAGCCGGCTGCAGGCAAGAAAAAGTCTCAAATTCAAGAGTATGTCGACTACTATGGCGGAGCTGGCGTACAGCATATCGCCTTCATCTCGAAGGATATCATCAAAGCCGTGAGTCACCAATTGTTTCCAGCTTTCACGTGCTAATTATATCGATTTCATAAGTTACGGCTTACATATTTCTGCCAAAAATCCATAAAATCTGATAAAAAATTAAAAGTTTCCTCCCTAATTTTTACAGGTAACGGCACTCCGTGCACGTGGGACTGAATTTTTGGAAGTTCCCAAAGCTTATTACACAACTCTGCGAGAAAAACTGAAAAATTCCAAAGTCAAGGTTGCCGAGGATCTGGACATTTTAGAGGTGAGAGGAATTGTCCACTTATTAAGATTATACCTGTTCAAAAAAACTTTTTTTTCATTCAAAGTTCAGTCATCCCTATTTCTGAGTGAACAGTTCCATTCACACTCAGTCATTTTCTTTCAAACTCATTTCATTTCAATTCACTTCATCTGATTTCATTTGTTACTCCGCCCCGTATGTATTAAGCATACGGTGACAAATGAATGGAGTGAGAAATCCTTTCATTCAAACTCACTCATCTGAAATGACTGAAGCTTTCACTTATTTTCATTCAAGTCACAGGAAATTCATTTTCATTCAGTATGATTCTCTATCATAATCAGTGATATGAATGAAAGTGAACAGGTATGATTAAGCTTGTCACTTTTATCTCCGTCTTATTCAGTCCCTTCAAATCCTCGTGGACTACGATGATAATGGCTATCTCCTCCAAATCTTCACAAAACCGGTGCAAGATCGACCCACCGTGTTCTACGAAGTTATTCAGCGATGCAACCATACCGTGAGATTGTTTCATTTTTGAAATATTTTTAAGGAATTTTACTTTCTTGTGTTCTTGTCCTGTGAAAATCACAGCATGCAAAAGTGTCATAAACCACAATATTCTCTCTTTTTAGGGATTTGGGGCTGGAAATTTTAAATCTTTGTTCGAATCATTCGAGGTCGAGCAGGATAAAAGAGGAAATCTGTAGAAAGATTCGACCCTTCTGGATCAAACATTCGTCTGCAAACCGTTTTCGGCATACAATTTCAGGATGTAAAATAATTATTGCATGCATTTTGTAGCATATTTTAATATGTTTCACCATAACTGACATAGAATTACCAACCTTGCACTTGAATAAAGAACATCACATTAATTTCTTTATATGTACATAATTTAATTTCTTTATATGCTATTGTAATCCAGACTTAGATTCAACAGTTTATTAATTTATAAATTAATAAACTGTATTTAATTAGTACTTAGGATTTAAGGATTACTCGTAAAATGGTAAACAAGGTTGAATTGAGACTTGTATACAAATTTTGTACAACTATTTTTATAGTTTTCTAGCTTAAGACTATAGCAACATGATGGACATGCTACAAGTAATTAACCTTTATTGGATTAATAAATATGTAAGTTCTGAATCTAAATAGATACCTATTGATATATGTAAAACGGAAAACTCGCCTCCATGTACAAATATCTGTTAATTGTTACAAGCACGTCTAATTGGTAATGCCAACTTGACATTTACATTGGAAAGCCAGTAAAATGCTCATGCATTTTGGGAAGAATATATGTAGCAATTGGCGGATTTGTACTTATAATTAATTAAGCTGTTTAGTTGTGTACATTACTCATCATTTAATTGAATTTTCATTGATTTAGCCATGTATAGTATGTAATAAATTGTAACATTCAAAAGTTGAATTGGTATGTAGCTCTATAGTGGTTTGTACTTAAACTGAATTTGAAAAAAATTGACAAATTAGAGACTTAATTAACCCTAGAAAAATAGGTGCTCAAACATACATATTTCCTCTTGCTTGGAGTGAAGCTGCTTGAAGGCGTGTCCTATCATTTAATTCATTCCAAGTACCCCTTTTAAATACTATTATTCTTCTTGGGTCCGAAGAACCAGGTTTCTGGGCTATATTTTTCATTGAGTTTCCAATGAATGAAACTACAAATTGATAAATGGAAAATTACAATATTTACAGCTTATTATTAAGTAGCTTCAGCTACTTTATGCGAAGACTTTGTCCGTCTGTCTGTCTGTCCGTCTGTCTGTCAGCAGGATAACGGGAGAACGGATCGAGATTATCGAAATCGGTTTCCGCCCTCATAGGGGAGGATCCTATCAACTTTTGGGGCCAATCGGACCACACCCCCGGGGCAAAATGTGGTCGGGGCAAAATGAGATTTTTAGTGCAATTGAATCAATGGATGAAATAGAGTGAAATTTTGTGTTCCCATGTTCTGCTACACCCCCTTGGCGCCAGGCGGTTTTGGTTGGGGCAATATGAGATTTTACCAAAAATTGAACCTATGCATAGGTTCCCGTGATGTCGTGGGAGTGGTTGGGGTGAAGTGAGTCTGAAGCTACTTCCGTATGTGCGTTTGCGACGGTTCATTTAGATCATGAACACCTGAGCTGGAACCGCTAGGTATTGAATTAAGTTAATTTGAAAATTATAAGTACGTTAATTCAATTAACGTACTTATAATTTTCAAATAATTCTATATTCATTAGCACACCGCTTACAACGTATTTATGTACTCCTTCTAAAACTTTATTTTGATCAGGCCACAAATTGATAATTTTAATTGGACATGTAAATATGTTGTTTGGCAATATTTTGACATTAAGGAAAAACGTTAAAAAGTGATATAAAGTAAACAACTCAATTTCATTAGTTATGATTAGATTGTCCGTCAATAGATTGCAGCAACAACAAGGAAAACGTTAGGAAATTGATTTGAAATTAGCAGATCAGGTGAGGATTTTGTGTAAACATTTTTCCTCGTTTTCCTCGTTGTCCAAACATTCGTCAATTATTTAACTCATCTACAATGTTCAATTAACCTTATCGGTTGTAGCATTTCAAAATGTCCCCAAGTCCATTCAATTAAGATTGACATTAATGCGTAGTACTCAATTCGCAAATATAATTGTATTCAAACTTCTGAATAAATACAAACTGGATCCTCTCAAAGCAAATCATTACAATCTGCAAATCATTTCGAGCTTAACCGTTCAACATGTTCATAAAATGTATTATCCTGCTCGCCTTGGCCATCAATTTATCACGTGGCGAAAATGTAATTCAACTGCTACAAAGTAAGTGGGAATGTACCGTAAATACTCTATTTATAGCCGGGGCTAAAATCCAAAATTGAGTGTCGCAGACCCGGCTATAATTGGAGACCGGCTATAAATAGAGACCCGGCTAAATTTTGCTTTGGTTATAATTTGGATTTCAAATTTCAAATTTAGAAACACTATAAGTTCAGCTTACACAATTTGAGTAATGATTTTCCAGTTTAAGCAATTAACAAAAGATCCTATAAGCACACCGGTAGATTTTCTAAGGCTGAGAGGCAGGAAATACAGAGACATTATGCGAAGCCGTAATTTGAGACCCGGTCATAATTAGGGACCCGGCTAAAATTTTGAAATCTTGGTCTCTAGACCCGGCTATATTTGGAGACCGGCTATAATTAGAATAGGGCTATAAATAGAGGTTTTACGGTATAATGATTTTGCAAATTATTGGTTAATTTAACATATCCTATGTAATTCTATATCTAGAAGCAACATCACGACACTTCACGTCTTTTAACCCACTGCTTCGTGAATTAGGCGATCTTTCACCTTTCACAGACAACCATGGAGTAACCCTGCCGCCTTTCCGGTTCCTTTTCCCATATAATTTTTACGATATTGTATATGGACTTTTGGATGTCACCTCAAAGTCAGTTATATGGCGCAAATGATTGTCTATTTAACATAAATTTATTTTTGTCCCACTTAATTTAATTTAAACACCAATCGGTTCTTCTTTCCCTATCACGATGATATAAGCTAACTGCCGACTAGTAAAAAATTTAGCTAAAAAAAAGTTAGGGTAATAATAGGTACTGTCGAATTTTTATAACCGGTCACCTCATTTTCATATTTTGACACATTCGCGAGAGGAATACAGTTTATTCAACATGGAAAGCCCGTATCGCCGAAAATGGGCATAGTGAGATTTATGCAAATGAGGTGACACGCCTAAATGCAAGGATAATACCTGTAATTTCTTCGTTTCTGAGAATGATCCCCCACATGGACTGTGTCATTAATGAAATAATCGGAGTAAGTGATTTAAATAAGGACCTTAATTAACTACCCCTATTGATTTTGGATTTTGTTGTCTTCAGAACTGTAACATTTGGGAATTAATCAGTGGGCAGTGTAAGTTAAAAATTTGGACAGTTTTAATAATTGTCGTCCCTGTATATTTTTGATAATCTTTAATGCTTTTTCCTTTTAGTTAGTTGTTTGAATTTGGATCCGGACTGGCGGTCCTGCACTGAGCTTTTTTAAACGCATTTTTAAAAATGAGGCGATGATATGGAATTCATTATTTATTCAAACTTATAAGAAAAGGACAAGATAGTTCTCATGATAAATTATATTTGAATATTAATTGTTTGAGGAGGTTTCGTCGGAATACATGGGTGTGGTTTCTAAAAGCAATTTATTCAAGCTTTCGATGCTGAACTTGCATCATCATCAGGACATCAGGACTTTTAACAATTGTTTGGAAATCGAAAACAGTACATTTCTCAAATTAAAAATGATATTTGTTGCATTATAATGTAGTTATGGAGTTTAAATAAGCGGTAGCATTAATGATGACCAGATGGGGTTGATATTCATGCCATTGTCTTGGTTTATGGCGTCGGTAGTTTTTCTTATGTGTAAACTTTCAAGAAATTTTCTGTGAAAATTTCTCCTTTCAGCGACAATAAGACTTGCTGAGTCTTCTGTTATCCGATGAATTGGATTTTCTTAAATGTGAAGCGCCACTGCTGATTTGATATTCTTCTTTTTGATATCATTTAGGTGTTCTTTTATGCGTTTGATGAGGGGGCGACTTGTTTCTCCTATGTATTTGTCATTACATGAGCATAAAATTTGATAAATTCCTACTAGGTCGGGAGATGGGTTTTCCTTGTAATCACATATAAATTGTTTCATCTTTTTTCCCGTGAGATATCCAAATTCGCATTGAAGTTTTCTCCGGAGGTAACCAGTTAGTCGGTGCGTTAGTGGTCCCAGGTATGGAAGAATGATTCGTGGCTTTGTTTCTCCTTCTTCAGCGCCATTTTGCTGGAGTGTCGTATTCGAGAATTTTTTCTTCATTCTTGATATTCGTTGGTTGATGAGACTTTTTGGGTAACCATTGTTTGTAAGTGAGGTGGTCACAAAGGTAAGTTCATCCTCTAAGAATTGGTCATCCGAAATTGCTAATGCTCTGTAAACTAAAGCATCAATTACAGCAATCTTTTGGGAAGGGTGGTGGTAAGATGAGTAATTTAGGTATCTCCCTGTGTGAGTGGGTTTCCTATAGACTTGTCGTTGTATTTGTCCATTATTATTATACGTAATTATGATGTCGAGAAAGGGAAGTTTCTTGTCTATTTCTGTTTCACAGGTGAATTGTATGTTTGGATGGAACGAATTGAGGTCATGCAGGATTTTGTCTTTTGTTCCTGATTTTATGCATGAGAAACAGTCATCTACGAATCGTTTGTGTAGTTTTATGTCCGGGTGTTTTAGGACGACCTTTTTCTCAAGTTCTTGGAGGAAGAATTCTGCGAACTCTCCGGAAATGGGGCTGCCCATTGGAGTACCATCATTTTGTTTGTATATGACGTTTTTCCAAGTAAAATAGTTCGAGTTTATCGTGATTTGTAGTAATTTTAAAATTTCATCTGCACTTAATTTGGTTTTTGCTTTCTAGGTTGTGGATGTTATTAATTGTTATCTAAGCGAATAATGTCTGAATAAAATCAATTAAACTTATTACAAATTAAGAAAGATTAAGCGTTTGGTAATAATTACTGCCCCGTATTAATGTACATTTTTGCAGATTAACTGGTCGACATTTTTGTATCCAGTTTCCGATTCTTATACAAAGGTTGCGTACCAACTGAATAGTGTATCCACAATATGCACACTGTGCATTGCACAGTTGAAAAGCGAATTTTAATATTTAAATCGGTAAAATTATGTAATAGAGAACTGAAACCGATTTGTTCCAGAACATCTTTTTCACATTGGTTTTTGTATTTGTTCCTTAATCATGAGCAGCGAGGCCATTCGGACTCACAGCTCAACATAATAAATTACTAAAAAACTAAAAACATGGCAGCTGGGGAGTGTATGAGTAGAAGGAGGAACGTGTGAGGTACTCGGCCTATTACACCCCTCGCGCAGCAAAATACAAATCACACGTCCTTAGCAATGTTCAAAAAATCCTTAGCAACGTTCAAAAATTCCTTAGCAACATTAAGAAATACAAACTGTCACCCAACTCGGAAATCTTTCCGAATAAATAAAGCGTAGAATCTTCAACTATTTGCAATACATTTATTCCTATTTTTATGTAACAACTTGCTTCTTTTCAGCTTGTAATTATTATACGCCCATTTTTAAGACAAAATTAACAAAATTGTGAAATTTTACATCCGTCAGTGGGCAACCGTGGCGTTAAAACAACGGCTGATATGAATCAAGGCTGTCGAGTCCACCAGCATCAGTAGGAAGTAACCACTCCTCTGTAAAATAAAGTTCGGGGATATATGTGACTTCTTGAAATAGTTAATGACATTTTTTGCATAGAAACAGAATCACACAGAAATTACCCACCCCACGTAGCTCGGACGGAATTAAAATTTCCCGTACTATTTTATACTGGTTGCCAGCGAGGTATTCCTCCGTAAAGGACATCGTTCCAAAGTTGTGAGAACCAGTTCCATAATTCAAATAAAGGTAATATGTCATGGTGTTGGCAGTATATCCTTCAAATATATTTATAAATATATAAATTATTGATACAAATCTGCAATATTTATTTATCAACCAGAAGGAATTTTATGTAACTGTTTGAAACACTGTCATATTTATTTACTATCCAAAAATTTCTTACAATGGAGGCGCAAACCATGTTCAGCCCAGATTATTTTTTGACCAGGTTAGTTTGGAAGAGCAAGTCTCTAGAAAGAACATTTGGTTTGACACTTGAGCAGATGCGCAAAATTCAACACGTTATGGGCGCCACAAGTTCGCAAAAACGCATGATTTTTGATGCAAGGTCCAGCGCTAGCTTACTCTCGACCACTTTTTGCGAACTTGTGGCGCCCATAACTTGCTGAATTTTGCGCATTTGCGCAAGTGGTGAACCAAATGTTGTTTCTAGAGACTTGCTCTTCCAAACTAACCTGGTCAAAAAATAATCTCGGATGAACATCGTTTGCGCTCCCATTGTTAGTGTATTTGCTTGTTTAAACTTTCCAGGTCTACATTTGAAGGATTTTATAGCATGTATGTGGAAATGTCCGGATGGGAAACGTTTGAGCGAGCAAGCACTACATAACCCCAAGTTTAACTTACGAAATAACTGCTAAATTATTTGCAAGAAAGTTGTAAAAATTTGCATGACCAATACCACTAAATTAAGGCAGGGTGTATATACTATGTACCTGGTGTGAAGGTTGGTGAAATTTGATACGTCGCTGCCGTACTAATGAGGCACGGCTGCTGTGTGCAGTTAGTTAATTCAATATATGCGAAGGTAGCAGTTTCACCTGGAGGAGTCAAACACATTTTGAATTTCGAATCACCATGTTTAGTATGATGAAACTTACTATATTGACAACGCGTCGGTGTGGGGTCAACAATGCCGAGTGGCCAGATAGGATTTACAGGATGGATCACAGTAGCGTCCTCCCCGGAAAACAAGGCAGCCATGAGAAAAACTCTTAGCAAACCGGTGAATTTGTTTGGCGACCCCATTTACATATGCAGAGACGGCAAATACGTTGGAGAATGATCTGTAAAAGTTTCGTTAATATTTACTTTTACACTGAAGCGTTTATTTATATATGAATGTACGTCCTCGAACTACGTTATGTACATATATAATGAAATTTGAAGTTTGAGTTCAGTGATAGTGACTTGTACATATGTAATCGAGTTGGTCGTTGCAATACATTGCTCATGATTACGGGGAATTCCATAAACTATGTATGATACATAATGTATCAACATTGATTTGTTACATAAGTGGTTAATATGTATGAGTATATTTATGTATGTACGTATGTATATGCATATATGTTTGTACCTGTCGTGCAAAAATCTGATAACGGTATTGCATAACGTGTTGAGTCATACATAAACATAGATGTAATTGATTTATTTATCAATTATCCAAGTTCGCAGATATTTAATGTGGGGAATTCCAACTTATCTGCAAACCAATTGACCCACTCTCGAGATCTATTTTAAGTACGTCTCAACGGACGCATAGTTATAATTTCAACCCTTTTCACACGTTCGACGAGCTGAACAATGTTCAGCTCGTGGAACTGAACAATTTGACGTATCACATGACCCCATATCGGCAAGTCGTTATTCTAAAGTTTTTCCAATTTCACTTCACATAGAAAATGTCCACCTATGTAAATAGGTTTATAAAAAATCATGACTATATTGCATCAAAAATATCGCGTAAAACTTATTTTTTCTCCAGTCCTGTTTAGTTCCCCCTGCAAAATCAACTCGTACAAATGAACTTGCTGACAAATAAGTCACTAATAAATATTTTGCGCGTATAATTAACCTCTTGGCTACCAAACTACACACATTTTTGTAGTATTTCCTGTTTTGGCGTAGTATTTTGGCGACCAACTATACAAATATGTGTACTGCATAAATTTCCTTGACACCAAAATTTCTTTAAAAAAAGAATATTTCTTCCCCGATCAACAAAAGCTATCCCTTTTACGCAAAAGTCATACAGTTAAATTGCAGCAACTGATGGCCGGCAAAAATCCGTGAAAAGATACTAGATATTTAACGTAAAATAAACTGTCAATATTGCATAGAATTGACAGTCATATTCATGCAATTTAGCCTCAAGAATATTGCGTAGAAATAACCGTCAAATTAATGCAATTTAGAGCGTAGAATATTGCGCAAAAGAAACGAATAATTTGATGCAAAACTTGCAGTTAAACTCCATGCAATTACTGCAGTCAAATAACACGAATTATTAATTTTTATCAAAATCATTTATTTCATAACAAAAATTATATTGTTACATTATACAAGGGAATGCAAATGTTTTCATCTATTTTATCCGACGGGAGTAACCAACATTTCTTATCAATATCATTAATACCTATTATGGTTACGCTATTTGATAATTTGCTAACTTTAATTATTTAGAAATCAAATACGTAAATCCCGAATAATGCCAAAAATTGTTACCCAGCCGGGAATCGAACCACGGCTCCCTTGAATTCATGTCAAGTGCTCTGACCTCTGAGCTACTAGGGCAATTAGTAACATTATAGGGACTTTTACTGATATTTGTCTGTGGCCTTTTTCTGTGAATTTCTACTTTCTTTTACGGTGGTAACGAACTGTTGCCTACCAAAGAAAGTTCACTTTTGGCCTACGATGGAAAGTTCTTTTTTATTCCGAACTAGGAATTTGTTTTGATTTTAACACTACTTCTATCCTTGTGGAAACCAAATTTATTTAGAAATCAAATACGTAAATCCCGAATAATGCCAAAAACTTTAATTATTCCTAAAATTTTACTTTCACACGGACAAGTGAACAAGTTGTCCGAGTGTTTGAATTTTCTACAATTTATATGTTTTTTATCTTTACTTATACTACTTATAACAACTACTTTCCCATCCTTTAATATAAAACAATGATCCTTTCCGTTCGATTTTATAATACAGTGTCTATTTAAATTCACAGGGGACTGGTACTTATGATTTTCTCTCTCAGCAGTGCGATTCACAGTTTGCTCAAAAGGTTTATAGTGAGCTCGTAGCGAGCGCTTTATTACTTGCATATTATTTTCGAAATCGAAAGCACTAAAAGAATCTAACGGGCCATGCTTTAAAGCGTCATCACTAATATGTATAAGAGAATGCATATTATATGATAAGAACTCTTCTTCATATAAATTGGGAACATTTTTAACAAACTTCAATAAAAGCTGTCGTGCATAATCGTTCCAATTATTTGCTTGCGCCTTGGTAGTTATAAGAATCGTGACTGCTACGCAAAGATTTAAAAAATGTGTATACTTTTTCGGCGACAATAATCCTTTTAAAGCGACGGGTCCTGTATAAAGAAGAAAAGTTCTAAACTCTGTCGCTTTCCACATATCTAACTCTTTTACTGACCTCGGCTTACGACAAAATTCTTTAGGGCAACTATGCGAAAATAATACTAATTTACTTGATAAAGTTGAAATATCACGAGAAGATAATTTAAATGGCAATGGACCTTTTACCCAACTTCTTAATAGTTTTCTAACCACACCTAAGCAAATGAGGTGCATGTAGTCAAGAGGAACCGAAGAAATCATCAAAATTTTAAGCTCCGTAAACGGGGAAATGCCTACATGGTGGTGTTTATCTTTTTGAACATAAAAATCTTGATCTGTCCTAAGTGGACTATCGAATGTTCTGAAAATTACACGTCCCTTCCAGAAACCTGGATCTATACATTTCTCGCATCCATTGTATGCATTATGACTTTTACATTGCTTTAAAAAACTCCTGGCTGGCGCATCAGCTATTATTTTTGAAACCTTACAAAATATTTTCAAATTATTGTAACTAATCCCAACTCGCAAACTTTTTAACTCTGCTATCAAATCCATCAAGTATTCGTCAATACTTTCTGGTTTTGTCTTGCCATAAAATAAACCCACGACAAATACGCCGTACGTACTTTCTTCACACTTTGCTTGAATTGGCCAAAACTGGTTACTGTTACTCTTAGAAATGGGCAATCCATCAAAACTAAATATAAGGTTTAATTTAATTTCGCTACCAGAAGCAAGAATACAATTGGAATCTATTTGCCGTTTTATATTTTGAATAACATCAAAGTGTGCATATTGACCCTGACCGATAGTTTTCATAGAGTATTTAATTGAGTTTTTAAGCAATGTCCTACTATCCAATGGAAGAAATCTAAATTCTTGAAAAAAGTTAAATATGCGTAGAAGATCGTTTAAAGCTACTCCCGTTATGTTATGTCGAAGCGACCAGTCCCTCAAGTCCCGTGTTAAATCTAAAATATTCCTATTATTTTCTACTACACCATTGTCGCTTAGTGAATCGGAAACTAATGGCTCGTCACTATTATGGATAACATTACTGCTTCTATCATTATTGCTAATATTACTACCTGAATCGCTATCCTCAACGACAGAATCACATATATCTAAATTTACAAGATTATTACTAATAGCAGGTATGTTTTTTGCACGAGTGAGATTCTCTCTACCCCGTTTTGCAATTATTCGCCTAATGTTTCCCGGTGATTTTCCATCTCGATCCATGATTATGATGCAATTCCCGAGGGAGCGTCGTCGTTGCAACTACTTTTTGAAGAACGAAACCAATTCATTGCTGCAGTTTGAATTATATCATCGGTGGGAATACGGCCGCTGGGATTTTTGGGATCGGGAACGGACTCAACTGTAAAGACGTTTCGCACGGTTTCTGAAATTTGCAATCCAATTAAACATTAAATAGAGACCAACAATTAGAAAATTTTCTTCATTTTAGAATATATTTTAGCACCTTTTACGACTTCCAATAGTTTTAGGTTTTTCATCGATGTCTTGTTTCCTTTACCCGTAAAATTAATTCGCCTGCCAAATTCATTCGTAAATAATTTTTTCAAGATTTTTCTACTGCTCGCCTCGATCTGTGTCGCAGTTGAAAATGCCAAATATTCAACCTAGTATCAAATATAAGAAAAAACATTAAGGTTTAATTATGCATGTAAAATATCTCGATTAAATCGTACCAGTAATTCGCGATTTGAATCCACCTCGAGCCAAGATTCAAACTCCGCCAGTGCTACCTCGTTGTCGAGGGGTAATTTTGGAATGGCACTGAAATTGGGAGCCTTCCTACCATCCGGCCTTTGTTTCACATTAATCAGTAAAGCCTTAATGTCTTTAATGTCTTCAGCCTGCTTTTCCAACAAAGTTAGCACACTTTGCGTTGTCCCTGCAACGCGATTACAAAGCGTTAACATAATACATCAATTTTAATAAAATTATTTTGCTTGTACTAACTTGAAATCAACAGCCGTAAATCATTTAACTCCTGCGAATTTACAACAACAAAAGAGGTGTCTCCAGTTTCAACTTGATTTCCTACTTGTAGATTGCTTTGCTCTTCAGTTTCGGGAATTATTTCAGGAATGCTCAATGGTTGGTCTAAAAAGCATCACCATAATGATTAGTATAAAATATTTGTGGCAGTATTATAAGCCTACCCAGCTCCAAATTATCCAGAAGTGAGCCAGACGGAGGACTGTTTTTGTTCGCGTCGCTATCCTCCTCATCGGATGAAGACGTTACATCCCCTCGTGTGCTGCTGGGCTGAATATCGGGAATTATCTTCTTGCTCCTTAATCTGCTTTCTGGTTCTGTTTCACTTTCCAAGTTGGAAGTGTCCTCGGCTACTTGAAGTTTTTTTGTCGCAACTTCATAATCATCTAAAATAATGATATTTGTTAGTAAATGTAAAATAATTGGAATGACTTCTCATAATTTGAATTAAATAGCTATTTACCGTAATTCCCAATAATCCTGGCGTAGCTAACTCTTCCCCACTTGACATCAGGAATAGCAGTGCCCTTTTTTATCAAATTTCTAATACTTGGCCCAGAGTTTGGTGGCCAGAGACAAACTTTCTCTGCGGGGATAACCCAGTGACTTGGAACAAGCTCCACAGGCACTGAATTGTATTTATCAGGGGGGAATTCAATTATGTAATATTTTTTTGGCGACATTGAGACAACAGATAAATTAACAGGGAATTAAATTAACAGGGAATTTACGAGACTGCGAGGGTGGGAGAGAAAAGGAAATACCACGCTTCTCTTAGATTCAAACTCTCGCGCGTTGCCTGTCTCTTCGCACCCACCATTCATTGCGTATAAATTGCATGATTTTAACGCCTCATGTAATGTGGGTATTAACGAGATATTGGTGCGGTATTTTTACGCAATATCTCAGCACGTTTGGGTGCAATAATTTTTCAACCATAGGTTACAGTTTTTTAATGCAAATTTAGCGTGTCTCACGGTGCACACCAAACTTAGCACAAAATTTATGCAATAATCACGCCTTTTTTTGTTTGTTAAAAATTTTCACCATGGATGCGTTACTTTGACGCAAAAGTAATAATTTTTGTTGATCGGGTCGGTATTTTGTGGAAAACTCGATGGTGAAAAGTGGATTTCTTGCGATATTTTTCTCCCAAACTTCTGGAATTTTCCCTAGACCGACTAATGTTAAAAAGTGGGTTTTCGTGTTTTTCGTCAAAAAACTCGAAAATTGCAAACTGGTTGAAAATTGTAATTGGTTGCTATCAGGTATAATTGTGAAATCAACATGGTGCCTAAGGGAAATTTTATTTAAAAATCAGTAGTCCGAAAGAGGTTAATTAATGCGTACTTATGTATGTGTAACCCGTACCACTTGTGACCAGTGATACGGGTCTCAATCCTACCCACCCGGGGAGAAATCTATCCTTCCTGCCATCTGGCATTAACCGGAAGATTTTTCTCCCACTGGTGAGAATAACGAGGCAACCTTGCCTTCGTCTCACTTCTTCTTTTCCTCCTTCTTTTTCTCTCTTTGGAAAGACATTCAGTCTAATACCTCCTTATGAGCAACATCTTTATTTTAGGGTTCTTCTTCTTTAAATATTTTTATAGCGTGTAAAATAATTCATATTCAAGCTTTAAATAAATATTAGTTATTTAAGAGAACCCCCTTTTGTGTTGCCGTTATCATTTAACTGCTCTTCACCGAAAAGTCGGGATAACTTCCCCCCAGGAAGTTAGAATTAGGTCGCGAATAGGGACATAAGTACATATAAGAGGGAACATATCAATTTCACATCATCCTCCCTTCCCATTACAATTCAACCATATTCGTTACATATGACGTATGTGTGTACGGAAATATACTCATACGGATAATTTGTGTAGTTATAATACATAATTAGTTGCAACACATAGTAGCACAATTTTTGCAATGTGGCAAAAGGAAAAAGTGTAATTTCTAACCTATTCGGCGGCGAATGTGCATATTGTATTACACACTTAGCAAAATTTTGGACCATCCTGACGGTTCAATTCAAATCCGGTTGTCAAAAATGTTCGTAGTAAAATCAATTATTTTGATTTCAAAAGAATATCTTAAGGCTGACTTATTAATAACTATGTACCCACATAAAGAAGGCTTTGACCCTATAAATTCATTCAAACTGAAAAATGCACCAATTAAACTGAAGTTGTCAAATCGTCAAATTCACTGAAAAGTTGCATGAAGGAAAAGCTGCGGAGACAAAGGGTTTCGTGTCATCATCATCACCTGACTTTCACAAAATATGCACACTAAAATATGTAAATATGTACGTGTACATGTGCAAGTATAAATTCAGGGGGCGTATTTATAATCTCAAATTCTTAAATATATTCTTTTACTTCCGTTTCGAATTAAGTCAAAAGTTCATTTTTTCAAGTTATAAATATTGCATAATTATAACAGTAAAGTCTCCCCTTCTTTACCCAGGTTTGTCATGATGATAAGTGTAAATTACACTTTGTAATCCCCTGTATTCAGACGGGACATTAAATATTGCCTTTAAAAATTTTACAATCTTTAGGTTCACTTTAAAATACGAAATATGGAGGAACAACAGGAAAACGATGCGATGCAACTAGCTCTACAAAATCCGATCGTAAGTCTATTTTGAAACAAGGCTTTCGAACCTAAATTAGGTTACCTAATAATTATTTATCAATTCACGCAATCGTAAAACCGGTGCGTTTTATAAGTAAAATAATTTTAGAAACTTTTACAAAATATAGAACCGTCCTTGATCTTAATAACTTTACAAAAATTTGTGACCTTATTTTCCTTCCTAATATTTGTAAAAGTTTTTACGTATTTTTTTACAAAGTTACCAAGGACTGCGTGAATTGCCTCTTCATTAACTAATATATTCCACACCTTGTTTTTCTTTACAGATTCTTCAAAAAATATTTCAAAACAAGTCTCTTTCTGCAACAACGTTACGACTCGTGTGTCACTTCTGGAATGACATCACGGTCTCCCTTCCCCGACCCAAGTTGACCCTTCTACTCACCCAGGATCAGCCGTACTGCTGTCAGTCCACCCCCCTTCAATTATTCTGTACCAAAATGGAACCCAGACTGTCCAGGTGGATAAAGCAGCGCGGATTTTCATCCTATTGCAAGCACCCACATGATCAAAGAATTTCTTCCATTGAATCCAAACTGCTCCACGTTTCGTGTCAATTCAGCCTCATAATGGAACGCTTATCAATAACCATCGACTCTTCAGACTTGATTCCAACATTGTACGAAATACTGCAAAACTGCTGCCCAAACTTGAAAATTCTCAAGATTAAATTGTACAATTCTGGAGATAACCCTACCCCTACCCACCTGGCTGCCTTACGCCCGCTCTGCGCCCGGAGGAAGTTAACCTTTATCAAAATACATGATTTTTCTGGCCACTTCTTCCCCGTGACACAGCTGCTCCTTAATTCTGCTTCAAACTTGACCCATTTGAAATACCATGGCAAAACGTGACCAGATTTGGGTCGGAACGTCTCCATAAAGCGGCTCGAGTTGAAGATAAGCTACGTACAATCAACGGATTCTCTGTGTCGCAGAAGTGTGCACGGAGTGAACGGGATGTTGGATCAGGTGAAAGACCATCTTGAATTCTTGAGCGTACAAAGTCACATGCCAATCGGTGAAATTGAAGATGTCGATGTCGATGCAGACTTTCCACATCCGGTCCGAATCCACATCCCGAAAATGAAGAATCTCAAAGAATTTAGGAATCAAATGCTGGATTTGTTTGATTGTGGGGAAGATATTTGTATCGGGAGGATCACCACGTTACAAACGTTACACGTGGCTACAGTCAAGTCAAATTTGGACCATTTCTTACGAAATATTGAGCAGAAGAAGGATTTATTTCGTGGCGTGAAGAAGCTCCATGTAAGGGATGTAGTTAACCCGGAATCGATTACGGGATTAAAGGTGGCATTCCCAAATTTGGAAAGTTTATCAATTGTCCAGTTTAACGTGGATGGATTAATGTCCACCAAGGCTGCCAACGTGGGACGATGTGTACGACCCTGTAATTCACTCGGATTAAAATATTTGGAGTTAATTTCAATTCATTGGCAACGGCTGGGAGGATTTATGCAAGGGTTTGCAAATTGCGAGGAATTATTGGCGAGTAAGTACAAATTATTTTATGATTCGAGCTAGCACTCTTAGGAATTCGGTAGTAAAATAATGCCAAACGGTATTCAAAGTGGTATTGATAAGTTATACCGTGCAGGAATAGCTTGGTATTAAAGTTAACGAATCGTAGCAAATTTTTACGGACCGACAGAATTTTAATATCAAAAGGTAGCACTTTAATACCAAAAAATCCAAAAATACCTGCCTTTGCCAGATTTCTAATAGTGCATGGACTTGTTACATATGTTCATGTATATGAATAATTGATTTTTTTAAACTACATAAGGTCTCAAATCTTTGAAAATACGGTTCGTAATCTCTCCACGGGTGAAGGATGACTTGGATATGACCGAGCAGATGAAACAGTGGTTATTGGGAATGAAGAGTTTGGAAAATGTGTATATTGCTGGGCTTCGAGTGAGTCGTGTTAAGACTGTTGTGGATGACGCGTTCGCGCGCAATCTCACTCAACCCGTGTTAATGTCTTTAAATGTAATTTCTAAAATGGCATCAACTTCATGAGTGTTGAGATAAATGGGAATTTTGATATTTTAATGTAAAGCTAATTTTTGGTACTACAAAACCTTGGTGTTTTGAAAAATTAGAAAATTCATTTGCTAATTTTGCACACTAAATTTCTTCAAAAATGAATTTTCTAATTTTTCAAAACACCAAGGTTTTGTAGTACCAAAAATTAGCTTTACATTAAAATATCAAAATTCCCATTTATCTCAACACTCATGAAGTTGATGCCATTTTAGAAATTACATTTAAAGACATTGAGCACGGGTTGAGTGAGACTAAATGCTCTATGAAAATGAAGTAGAGCCTTAAGCCTGTTTTTTTTAATTCGTACCTGTCATATCATATGTTTCGATTGGTATTCTGAATCTTTGCAGTTGAAGGACGAAACATGGGACTGGGTGGAAACCTTCATTCAAGAGAACAAGCTTCCAATTGTGTTCGAAGAGGGCGAGGATGAAATATTTTCCTAGTGTAAGGCAACATTCATGACAAAATTGACAATTTTTTATTAGCTTGAAACGGGTTAAACCGCCTTTGTTAACATGTGGCGCAAGTTGACCTAGTGCAACTGCCAAAGCCTCAGAGTTGCGTTAAATACTGAATTAATTATTTAAATAATAAATAAATAAGTAATTTTCGCTCCCAGGATTCAATCCAGGAATCAATAAATAATAAATAACCATCAAATTTTCAATTTCAGTTAAATAATAAATAGTAAATATGTACGAGTTTGGGTTATTTTGAATTAAGTAATTAAATAAATAATTTAAATAATAATTTAAGAGTTCAATAATTAGCAATTATTTAGAAGATATGTATGTAGTTAATGGGGAATTCCTCGAAAAAGCAAAACAATTAATGATTCGTTTGTATATTTTATTTTATTTATCGAAGATTCAAGTTAGCACATATTTACATGTGGGTATTTCAAATTATTTACACACCAATTAAACCACTCTCGATATCTATTCTAAGTATGTCTCAACAGATGCAGAATTTCAATTTTAACCATGTTAAAAGACCTAGACTACAAAATTCAGAAAATTCAAACAGAAGCTTCAAGTTCGGTGCCCTGTGCAACTTATGCAAGTGCGTGTTACAAAAATTATGCATATACATGTTAAACTTTTCGATTATTATACAATTTTATTTAACCGAAAAAAAGCCCGGATTACAAGTTTAATAACCAAATTTTAACACAACGATTACGTAAATCATTGACCAAACTGAATATAATGCACTCTGTCCATCGTCCCGGCAAACAAATAGACGCGATCCATTTCCTTAACATAAACCGCCTGTACTCCCGCCCTCCCGTGATAATTCGGCAAACTAAGACCTTGTACGGGTAAGATGGTGAACGCCTTGGTAGCCGGATTTATCCTGACCGCACTGTTCGGCCAGCCGCCATCCGAGCCAAATATGTAAATGAACCCATCCCGCCAAACCAAACTTGCTTCCCGCGTCGGGATCGGATATCCATACTCGAGGCGGGTAGTCTCAATTTGCTCCGAAGTCACGTTGTAAGAATGAAAAACTGGCCACGAGACGCACCCAAAGCTGCAGTACGTATAGAGTGCGAACATGTAAAACATCTCGTCCCCGTCCCACACGGCGTTATACATGACGCCTGGGGATCCTATTTCTACCGGGAATTCCTTAATGAGATATAACTCGTTAAATTCCATATCGTGCGCGGTAATCCTTGACCCAGAAACGGAGATGAAAGTGAATTTACTTTAGCGATTGGGATTGCGTACGGGGCTTCGTGGTACCTGAAAGAAAGGAAGGATGGAATTGGTTAAATTTTGCCGGGGATGGTTAAAAATAAAAATGATTTACAGTCTAATTTCTATGGCACTGCTAAAATTGCAAAAATTCAAAGTGCAAAAAATGCAAAGGGATTTCTTTCATTTGTGCAAGAAATTGCGCCTGCAAGAATTTATTGCACTAGTTTGTCGCACATTTTTATTACAAGTGTTCTCAAGGGACTTTGCCGAAAGCATGCGATCGATTTGAGGGGGATAGGGGTCAAGGCATCCTATCTTTCCCATATTAACATGAGGCATATAGGTCAACCCGGGGGGCAAAATCCCCAACAATCGATCACATGGGCCCCCCAACTTGTTACTAAATTCGAAAAAGTTACATTTTCATGACAACTTGCCTGATAAATGTCACTTCTCCCGTGCCCGGATTAAAATGATGAATCGGATCTGGATTAATCCATCTCCCAATCGCGAAGTAGTTAATGTTTCCATTCTCATCGCCAAGCGTGAACCCTCCGTCGGCGTCATTTGTCAAATTCGCGACGACTTCAATAGTCCCGTTGGAAATGGAGTACTTCATTATTTCGTGGTAAAATTCCATCTCCGAGAGTGGTGTCCCGCCGAAGATATAAATCGAATCTACGCCATCATAGTGGACAGCGGTACGGACGCGATCAGTAGGAAATAGGGCGTCAGTTGGTTGAACAACGAGGGCGCTGGTGGTAGACAGCAAGATTGCGGAAAGTAGTAAAACGAATATTTTTACGGACATGGTGTTGGTCTATTTATATATTGCGAAAGAACAAAAATTAAAGTTATAGTTTAAAAATTCTGCAGAAATTTATAAACAAAAAAAACAGTTTTCATAATTTAGGGTGATTTACCTTAGTCGATATGAATTATCCAATTGCTAAGTTGAGGAAATGAGGACCAACTCCTTTATGCCAATGGACCCAGACATACAGTCCATTTTATTTAAAATCAAACCTTGTTTGTAGTACGAACGTCAAGCAAGTTTACATATGTACATAAATTGGATGATTCGAGCTGGTATCAATTCAACCACTTCGTACTCAATTAACTTGCCACTTCATGTCACAAACCAGTGCATTAACGGCATTGACGCACCGTTATCTGAATGGAACCTTGATTATCCTTTGATCCTGGGTCGAATGTTGTGAAGCAATTTGTACATAAGCTATTTAGCTTGTACACAAATTGCATGATGCTGATCGCCTTCGCAAGTCATTCGGTTTTAATTGGAAATACGTTATTCAATCGTTGCAAATAAAGTGAATTTATGTAACACCGATGATAAATTTATTTGCGTAGTTAAATTAAAACGAATAACTTCCGTGAGCTGATTTTTTTTTCATGACCTTTAATCCCAGGTGGGGAGGACGATTATAAAATTGTGTGACCGATGGGTTGATTTGATTATTTAATTATGCAGATGTAATTTGCAATGTATATAATGCGTGGTATGCTGTATTTGTCCGGAATTTATGTCGTAATAAGTTAGCATAGGACGCGAGAGAGGATTTATTGTGTTCCATTCCCAATTATGTATCTGCATTTTTTTCGCATGGTTCGTTACAATAATTTTGTCTCCTAGTTTAAAATATTGCGTCATGAACTATCATATTTAAATTATGCGAGCCGTCGTTTCAGTTGGATGCTTAAACCGTCCTTGTATTTTGAGAATGGCATGTACTGGACTTCCGTCTTTTCTAGGGGCTTTTTCATTTTGGTTAAAATTTCGTACTTGTACAAGATCTTCGCTACGACAAACTTCATCTGGGGCATGACGTATTTTTCACCTGAAATATTTAATATTTCTTCAAGTCATGTGATTAAGAATTTTAATGGGGAAAATTATATCAATTTTTCAAAAAAATCCAAATTATTATTAAAGTTGAAAAAAGTATTCATGCATTTAATGTATTATTTTTCATCCGTTCTCAATGAACACGTTAATGTGAGAAGGTTTGTTCCTATCTAATATTTTTCGAATTTGTTGCATTTCATTTAAAATTTTCAGGAAACTTTTTTGCACTAATTTGCATATGTAACTCACCGATACAAATGCGTTCCCCAGCACTGAACGGGAGGTAGGAATAACGATGCCGATTAAGCACATTTTCCGGAAGAAATCTCTCCGGGATGAATTCACCCGGTTTCGGGTAAACTTTCGGATCGTGATGAACCGTTAAGAGTGGAATGAAAACGTTAGTATTTTTCGGAATTACGAGGCCATTTCCGACATCCATTTCTTCCATGACTTTCCTAACCAGGGCGGGAACGGGGGGAATAATCCGCATCGTTTCTTTCAACACCATCGCAATGTAGGTCAACCTGGAGACATCCTCGGACCTCATGACCACGTCATAGTTGTCTCCGATGACACGTCGCGCCTCTTCATACGCCTTCTTTTGAATGTCGGGATTCTGTGCGAGAAATATGAACGCTTCGCATAGCACAAAATCCGTGGAATCTACGGCCTGACAAAAGTTTGAAATATTATTTCGAAAAAATTGACGACCTTTGAATTTTCAATTTACATGCAAATTTTTTTTTATTTTGAGGCAAGTCACCCAGTCCGCGGTAACTTTGTACATAAAAGGGACAAATTTTGTAAAATAATTTTACAAAGTCTTAAAAAATAAAGAAACGCTGTTCATCTGAGGATGAGTAAGTTTACAAAAATTTGTATGCTAATTAATTTTCTTCGGAAGTATTTGTAAACCTTGTTAGCTTATTGGTTTTGACTCAAAATCCTCAAAATTTTTGAGGATTTTACGAAGTTCCCAAGGACTGGGTGAATTGGCTCATTACTTGTAAAATAATATATGTCGGTGATCTGCGTAAGTAGTTTACATATTGAGAATGAGCTCATGGAAGTTAAAAATTTTTCAGAATTTTAGAGTTAATGTATTTTATATGAGATAAACTTACGGCGGCTAAAATGTTCAAAATTTGATGGAAGATTTCGTCCGGATCAGTACATTTGGTGTAGAGGATGTTCATGCACTTCATCCTTTCTTGAATTACGCCTACAAACATATTTTTATTTGTTAAGACATTTTTTTACATTACTGTTAACATTATGTGAAATAATTTAATTTAATAGGGATATTCATTACGAGTTAGCAAAAAAAAGTTTGCAAGTTCACAAAAACTTTTGCCATGGAACGAACTTGCGCTCATTTACATAGTTCATAATTTTATAAAAAATTGTGTTTCTAGATATACAAAAATGCGAACTGTGAATACCCCTATTACCTCATTCCGTTTAAGCATAAACACTTTGTAAACTGTACAATAAAATAGTAGCCGGATTAACTTGATTACCATTTTTTTCGTATTCCTTCCAATGTGCCATCTTCTCTTGGAGCAACTAAACAAACACCAGGCTATTACATAAGTAATAATTCTTAATTGGTTTAAGTTTCTAGATATTGAAGTTTCTTGATTTTTGCAAATACATGATCTGATTATTAATCACTGATTACATAATATGTAATTGTTAGGTGAGGCTGTACATAAATGTATGTACAAAATTGTGGTAAGCATTAATTCCCGAAAATTTTGAGTAAAAAGTAAACAGGTGGTGTTTCAATTTTTTTTGTCATAACAGTTTTAGACATATGTAGCTTAAACTCTGAAAAACTTGGAGTTTTTTCTACTAATTTCGGAAAGGTCTAGGCATATTTTTATCGGAGGAAGCTCCTCCATCAAATAAAAATATGGCTGGACCTGGGGGAATTAAGTTCAATACATATTGTTGTGGTAATCTTCTCTGCTTATCAAAGCACCTCTTGGTTAAGATACTTCCTCATTGTGGCGAAGGCTAGTCGCATTTTTTTCTCGTATCCAGCCAAATGCCAGAGCGGACGGAAAGAAAACCAAAGATTTACCACTGGATGACCAGCCAAGTGCGCGGCCCTGAAAACGTACCAAAATATTTTAAAGTAATATCGTCAGAAATCATATGCATAAAGAAAATATCCGGTCTTGGAGCAATTTTTACTTTTGCGGTAACAACCGGAGAGTGACAAATATCTACATATCACCGTGAGAAATAATGACCGCGAAACTCAAAGCTATCAACTCAATTTATAAACACTTACGTCTGAAACGCCTCATAGAAACCGGGAAGGGACTTTTTATCGAAAATATTAATTGGTACGGGCCAATCCAAAATTGTCGCTGAATGTGACAATAATACAAAAAATTTTAAAATCCCGTTTTTTTAGTTCTAAGGTACGTACATATGTAAATTTCTAAAAAAAACTTACTGAAACCCGCCCCCGTCGTAAATTTGCCAAACATTCCGTCGATATGGAATTCCTCGCCAGTGACGCATTTTTCCTCCAGGACGGCCATTAGATATTTCAGTTGGTGGTGAAACACTTGGAGAAAATCCGCATTCATTACCTTGCTCAGGCCAGGGTTCAAATATTTCCGTTTCGTTTTCCACAGTTCGTCTGAAAAAGTGTAATACTAATTGCAAATCTTACATTTCTTACATATACAGTATCTGTACACATGGAAATTTTAACTCTGTAAAGTAAAATCTACATAAACGTATGCAGGGGCTAAAAGAAAATGTAAAATGTAAAAGTTTTTGTCGAAAATTTTCAGGATTACGAAGCCATCTTGAAGTGAATAATTTTTAATTTGCTTGATAGCGCTGTCTCATTTATTAAAATTTCTAGGTGACATTTTTTTCAAAAATTACCTGAGAACTATTTGAAATTATTGGAAAAAGTCAGCGTAAAATGTCTTATTATTTACAGCTTCGTTACTTTAAAACTTAGCAACATTGCTTGCAATTAGTAAAGCATTTTTTGTTAAGGAGGGAAGCAAAGGGTTGACCAAAACGTCACTCTTCTCCAGACTGGTCGGCGATGTCAAAATTTTCTGTGATCAAATTGTTAGCAAATTTACATCTCTGTCGAACGTAAGCCAGAGACGCATTCGAATATACAGGGTGGTTTAACTGTCAGGTTACAATGGAAAATTTTTCAGTGGGAAAAATTCGCAAATCTCCATTAGTTACCGAAATTTTGCCTCTGAAATTCAATACTTGAAGAATTTTGTCATCAGTGTTCCATAAGTTTTGATAAAAATTCATACAAATCTCAATCCCAAATTCGTAACTAATGGAAATTTACAAATTTTTCCCATTGAAAAAATTTCCATTGTAACCTGACATTTAAACCACCCTGTATATATGACAATATACATGCATATGTACATATGTAAACTTCTACGTTTTGCGAAATTAGTTTGCCAACATAAAATGCCAGCATTGTCATATCTACATAAATTGATTTTTTAGCTACCTGCACTATCTCTGCATCTTTGATGAGTAGATAGGGTAGATGGCCTCCCCACATGCGGGAGATTCCGTCCGAAACGTTAAATGGTGTTGTTTTTGGGTCAAGAATATCTGAAAATAGAAATGTGCCTTTGGAAGTGTTCAATAATTACGTGTAGTCTAAAAAAAATTTAATTGGAATCAAGATTAGAAAATACTGATATAATGACATTCGATAATCCTAAATGTGTGAAATGTAAGAAAATTTTGAATTGAAATTGCTCTGGAAATTTTTTAAACACATATTTCCAGCAAGGGTCCAAAACTTTTAGCACAATATTTAGGCGATTCAAACACTGCTGGAAATTAGCATTATTAGCTAGTACGTAAGTTTTGTACATAAAATAATTTGACAAACTTTATTTACAAAACAAAAAGACACCCACATGATCTGATCTAAGTAAGTTACCAAAATTTTATAAGCTCATTATCCTTAGAAACATGTCTGAAATTTTGTCCAAGTTTCTAGGTTTGTAGGTTTACGGAATTTACTGTTTTTACAATGTTACCAGGGCCTGCCTGAATTGTCTTTAATTTTTTCAAATAAACCTTACATCTTCCATCCAGCAGTGTTCGCACGGCGGCGAAAGACCCGATAAATGGGATGTAGGGCACGCCAGGAAATCTATTAATTTTCTTCGCCACTGATGTAAAATGACATTGGTAGTAGTGCCAGAACAGTAGAAAAATTAAGGAGGGAATCACAATTTTCAAAATTATGGAGAAAAGTGGAAAACTAGGAATTAAAATTGTGGAAAATTCTGTCTGATTTTCAGTCGAGGTTAAACATTCCAGATCCATTTTTCCACTTGTAATCTGGAAGTCCTGTGAGAAGATTTGGGTCAGAAGCGAGCAAAATCAGGAATAAATACGTGGTGGTTGAATCGTTAAAATAGATTATTTAACAAATAATTGTTCATATTCATACACTTTGTTACCTTAACCTCCATTGGGTACCAAGCAATAAATACGAAATAAACGGGAAATACAGAAATATGTATGCTTCAAATATGTATGCTTCAAATTTCAGGCCATCAAATTACTTGTAATGATGACCACACGATCATGTAATTTGGAGGGGAATTTAATTTAATGGTACATATGTATACATGTACATTGTATATAAGTACATTGTACAATTATTCGCAAATATTAGATTTATGCTGAGCCTTGTGACGTGCAAGAGCTTAACTAGGCAGTTAACAATTAACTTAAGTTGATACAATCATACTACCTAAATTTAGGAAAAACCGCATATAAACGTTACTGCACTTACAAGGGAACCACAACTACTGTCCCATCTAGATTTCCTTCGGAATAGCCTTAATCGACAGATAATTTTGTGAAACTAAAACTTTGTCATAGAACATGCGGTGCAAAATCGCGTTTTCGCGAAATATTTGGCGAGAGTTGCACCAAAACCTGCCATTTTCCCAATGCTTTTAACATAGCCACCAGCCTTTCGAATGATGAAATGAACCTTATGGAATATTGATAAATTATATGTGTACCCGTCCGCGCAATTTCAGCCCGATCACGAATATGCAAAAAGTGATGCAAGCATTTGCCAATTTTTTGCAAATTGCAAAAATCGGATAAACTTTCGCAAATTTGAATTCTTCCTTCCTTTAAATTCAACAAAACTAACAAGTTTAACTAATGTAAAATACCAGTTTGTTACTGCAAAAATTTGCAAAAATTGAAGTTCGCAATTTTTCATTACTATTTTATAGAAACTAAAAAAACTCTCATTTACATACATATGTACGAATGAAGGGAAAGCTAATTTGTAGAACAACTAAAAAATCATCACGATAAACAATAATAAACATTGCAATTTTTTGCAACCTGAAATTTGTTTGCAACTTGCAAAAATAAATATTGCAAATAATTTCTAAAAATGCGTAAAAATAGACTAGAATTGGTTATTTTAAATAATTTTCATGAAAAATAGCAAATTTGAATTTTTGCAAATTTTTGCAATAACAAACTTGTATTTTCCATTAGTTAAACTTGTTGGTTTTGTTGAATTTAAAGGAAAGAAGTATTCAAATTTGCGATATTTTATTCGATTTTCGCAATTTGCAAAAAATTGACAAATGGTTGCATCACTTTTTGCATATTCGTGATCGGGCTGAAATTACGCGGACGGGTACATATACAGTAATTTTTCAATGTTCTATAAATTGTATCATTCGAAAGGCTGGTGGCTATGTTAAAAGCATTGGGAAAATGGCAGGTTTTGGTGCAACTCTCGCCAAATATTTCGCGAAAACGCGATTTTGCACCGCATGTTCTATGGCAAAGTTTTAGTTTCACTAAATTATCTGTCGATTAAGGCTATTCCGAAGGAAATCGAGATGGGACAGTAGTTGTGGTTCCCTTGTTAGTATAGGGCTCATATAACTTCATGCATACATACATATGTATAGTTATTTATATTCAACTCTGGTATATATTTTATGCATCTTGCGTTCTCTGTAATTATATATAATACTAAATTTCTTTATGGTCGCAGTTAAATATGCAGTTAGCAAATATCCAAGACACCTTGTAGACTTGTACGTATGTATGTGTGTATGCATGAGTTCAATGATATTAAACCTATTTACTTATCTAATATGTATGTAACTGCACCGATAAATGTGTATTATACAACTGCATTTATGTACTGATGTACCTTTGATGCAATATTTATAAAATTTAAGGTGCATATAAATATGAAAGTTGCAAAATATTTGTGCCAAGCGTATACTAAGATACGGTTGAATTACTCGATTACACGTTGTGCGAGTTAGATATACATATATAGACATATATACACATATATAAGGCGAAAAACTCCCAACTAAACATGAATGAGCACACAAAATGTGCCATTCTCGGTGACAATTTTTTTTACATAAATACATATTTAATACCTAGCAAGTCTAGGTAATTATCAATTTCTCTCATGTATGAATTTAAGGCTGAATAAATTAATCCACGAGGAATGACTCGTGGCATGAAAATTCGTGAATATCGGATCGTTAGTCTCATTATAGTTTTCGTTTTAAAATATATTAAGCACATGGATAAGATCAAGATGTTTCTGTCCCAAAAACATTGGGACTGGACCACTTGTCCACGTTTTTAATTTTAAAATGCTGTATGCACGTAATTAAATCAATATAGATAATTATTTTATGAAATTAAATTTAATAATAATTTTTTTAAATAGGAGTAAGAAATAATGCCAGGATGGTCATGCATATATTTACTATCGGGAAGTAACAAATCTATTGTGACTTTCTTACCAGAATATTTGTAGATATTCCTGCACGTGCAACTCATAACTTCTCTTCGCCACACGTTACCCATTGTTTAATTCATTACACGAAAATCATTTCTACTTCAGTCACCATCAATCATTTAAAGCAATTGTCACATCGATGATCGAACCGTTATCTATCCGTTATCAAAATAAACCTTCATAAATACGTCAATTAGTGCATGTGTTCCTCAGAATTATTGTAATAAGCAACCTTCCCACAACCAGTCGCCCCAGTGCAAGGACAGCACAACCAGCGCGAACTTGACTGAGAATAATCATGGCGTCTTCTCTTCCTCTTCTAACTTTTATCCTTTTAACCGTGCACTTCGCCCTGACCAACTCCCAAACTTGTTCATACTACACCGATTTGCGCATGAACGGGAACACGATGCCGGGTGGAGGATCACAACCAAGTATCCGGGCTTGTTGCGAAACTTGTAACTCGTTTCTCGACTGTGCCGTGTGGAATTTCCGCCCTAATATAAATGGGAATGGGACCTGCACCCTGTACAGTTATCGGATCAATACGTCTTCCGAGCCGGGAACGTTTTGCGGGTTTAGATCCGCAGATCTAACAACTCATACAGCATCTCCAACGACTACGACGGCATATACGACAACTGATAATCCTACGACACCCCCAATTGATTCGTTTTGCCCGCCAATGGGAAATTATACGTTGCCACACGAATGTATGTATGCAATAATAATTTGCATGTTAAAGGTCAATTTTAAAATTTGCATTTAAAGTAATTCGTACGCTGCATTTGTAGGGGACTGTACCCTTTATATTTCCTGCGTTGAAGGCGTCGGGACAGAATTGAGCTGTGAAAATGGATTTTACTTTGATTTTCCCTCCCTGCGCTGCAAACCGCATCAAGAAGCGGAATGCTTCCATTCTGCCACACCACCTCCAACTGAGCCACCCATGACAACGGACGATCCATCGGTTAACTGCCCACCGGAAGGGGGCGCCTTGTTGCCACATTTAAGTAAATAAAATTATGCAAAGTACCCGCCCTAAAATTCCGATTAAAATTTACGAAATATTTTCGTTTACCACTGGGTTACATTGAGGATGAGCAATTCAATCTGATGCTGTTATAATGTAACAAAAACACTACGGAGTTGTAATGAATTGCCATAAAAGGGTATTAATCTATGACACGACCTTGCAGTAACCTAAATATTAAAATACGACCAACTTGGTATCCATGGAGTGTCACGTTTAAATTCAATGAATGAATTTTCCAACCTTAGCATTTTTTGTACATATAATTACAGTAGAATTCCGCTTCAGTTAGCCGTTACTTAAAGCATTTTTATACAAAATGTTCTTAAGCTAAAAATATGATACATAAATCACCTTTTTAATTTTGATTAATAAATAGGTGACTGTTCTATGTACTACATGTGCGCTGATGGGTATCCTATTGAAATGAAGTGCTCATCAGGCCAGCTATTTGATCACATACTGCTTAGATGTCAACCGGAAGCAGTTGCAGAATGTTACCCAGGATCGAACTTCGAATATGTATAACCGTGCATATTTACATACTCATACGTAGGTATACATAGGTAATTTTCATATCTTCAAACTTCATTAAAAACTTCATTATTTCTGATTTAAAAATCAAATTAATTCGTTGGGCGTATGTAATAAATAAATTGGCTAGATCTTTTAGACATATGTACAACTTCGTTGGACGGTTAAATTGGCACTCATTTCAGAATTTCTGGCCGCACTGCAGAAACTTGCAGAATTGCAAACAATTACATACGTAAATAATTATCAATATTGCAAATCTAATCGGACTTACTTGCATTCCTAAATACCCGTAATTACTTACATGTATGCTATACCCATGGGTATTTATATATAAACTTACATATATATGTATGTAAATTGTATACCGCAAATATTTAAAATTAGTAATATCATACCGGATTTACTCGCATTTATACAAATGTACCAGATGTAAAATCTAGTCTCAGTTCCTGGAAATGATCATAAATTACAAAAAATGTCATTGCGGTCTAATTTGGTAGTGAAATTAGTGTCATTTATTTGATTAATCGGTTATGAATACATACAAATACGTAAAATAAAGATTATCCAACTTATTTATTAACCTTGGACAATAATCCGTAGATTATGTATCAGTTATATATTTACATACACGAATATGAATTTGCACATTTGCAAATATGTTTACAACCCGGATTTAACATTCCTTGTGACCCCTATGAAGGATGACGATGATCAATACAACAATTAAAGTCGACACCATAGCCTGTTTGTTTTAGGAAAAAAATTGGTATAAAAACGCGAAATTGTGCAGAGCAACGACCATATTCTTAAGTTTGCATGTATGGAAACTTGACTTGATTCAAACAGGAGGAAATGATATCAAAAGTCTGCCTTGCGATATTCGTCGCGACAAATTTAGCATGTAATTATATATTTTTTAAGTAATTATGTTTATAATTTCGATAAAATTTATATTATCTTTAACGCATTTCATTTTTTAGTCGGATACGTGCAAGAAGACCCATGCAAAAGTTATCCTGGGGTATGCAAACCAAAAATTGAATGTCCACAGGGTTCCCTTGCCAAGATAAATGGGCGCTGGAGCTGTCCCAGCAGTCCGGATGGGATCGAGTGCTGTCCTTCCGGGGGTGGAGGTAAGAAAAATTTCCCGCTTTTGTTTCGAATTTTAATATCATGCAAATTTACAAATATTTGGTAACCAGGGTACAAACAGGAAGAACCTTGCACGAGTTACCCGGGCGTTTGTAAACCGAGTAGCGAATGTCCGCGTGGATCTCTGGCGAAAATAAATGGTCAATATTCCTGCCCCTCGTCCCCCAATGGGATTGAATGCTGCCCCACGGGCGATGGTGGTGGGGGTGGTGGTGGCGCAGGCGCTATTGTGGCCGCGGCGCGACGCCAAATTGGACAACCGTACGTGTGGGGTGGGGGCAACAAGGATGGTCCGACAAACGGGGGTTTTGACTGTTCTGGACTTTCGCAGTATGCGGTTTATCAAGGCGTGAGAAAAGTGGTGCCACGAACGGCGCAGACGCAGTATGATTATGGGGGATGTGCCAGCGTACCGCTGGGGTCGAGGCAGGCGGGGGATTTGATTTTCTGGGGGAATGGAAGCGGGGTTTATCATGTCGCGATAGTTTCCGGGTATAATACGGTCGTGTATGCGCCACAACAGGGAGAGAGGGTAAAGGAGGGGCCACTTTATAATCAGGGAGAGTTGAAGGGTGCGGTCCGTAGGTGTTGGTAAATACGTATGCATGTAATTAGGCAATATGTATTCACCTGTTAATAAAATACTGCTGTGTATACAGATAATCATCTGAAATACGTGATTATTAAATTTTGTGTCTGTAATTATGAATTAATGATTATTAATTCATACATAGTCCGTTAATCACGATTAATTAATCATGTATCCCTCATATTTGCATAATTCATAAATTTTCAGCAATTGGAGTAAGTTAAAATTTGAGACGGAATGTATGTATTTATAAAGTGCTTAAATATTCAAATTTACCTTAATACTAAATAGTTAAAATAATTATACTTTAAATTATGTCACTAATAAAAATTGACGTCTGCTTATCAGATCAGAAATACTTGCCACACATGGACTTTTATTTTCCAACTAAATAAACATTGTTGCAGGGTAAATCTCACCTTTTTCATACATAACGGGAAGCTTACATAATTTTGTGTTATGTAAGTGCGTGCCGTCGATTTATCTGTGGTTGGCAGATCCATAAAAATGCAAGGCATGAATGATTCCGGCACTCGCTATTTATGACAAGGACCTCAGATAAAGTATGTCTTCGATTTTCCAAAAAATTATAAACCCCTTAATCTACACTTTTAAAAATAATTGTACCCTTCTGAAAAGTCAAGGCCCTCTGAATTCTAAATTAAGTAAACTATACTAAGTTCAGAGTAAGGTTGACTTAATAAAGAGTAAAGTTTACCCTGGATTTTGTATAGTTTGCTTAATATGGATTTCACAGTATATTTACATAATTTTCAATAGGGTGATACTTATTATTTCTAAGAGTGTATTTATTCCCTCGTGACAATATTTAACATAATAGCATGTCCTCGCTTATCAAATTGATACCCTACTTTATGAATGATCCTTTAAATCTGACATTACTTACGTTTAGCTCCACTGACTCCTAAATGATTTTATGGAACGTCATTATCTCACGCAATGGAAAAAGTCGAGGCACATAGAAATCCCGAGTTTTCCTGCATTTTAACATGTCATCTTCTTACGACAGGATGGATTCTTTCCGTCATAAAAATAGTGGTGCATGGAAACTTAATAATTTCAAAATTTTACTAGTTTTCGGCACCATATTAATGTTAACGTATTACGTGTTGTTTTTTAAATGTGAGACTGCAAAGTTTACGCGTGTTGGGGATTCTTTGACAAAATATTATAAATCTTCACGACTAGAAGAAGATCGTTTAAACGATTTAGAAACGAGGGAGGATATGGAGAAGTACATTTTTAGTGAAAATAATAATTCCAATTTGAGTCAGACTGATCCCATAGTTTTGAAATATTTGAAAAAGTACCATTTACATAATGGGATCGTGCCTGGGAGGAAGATTCACTACCCGACGGTGGTGAATGAGCTCGATTTGTATGTCGATCTCGCACTGAGGAAAGTTTTAAAGGATAAAAAGGTATTCCATTTTACTTGCTTTACATATTTGGGCGTATTCATCTCAATGTCATATATATTTTGCAAATTAGTTCTGCAAGTATGTATTTTGCGAAATAAAAATCTTGCTGGATAAATTTCCTAGCAAAAATTTCACACTTCATACAAATTTGGAGCTCAGAAACATCAAATACCAAAACTAATTTTTAAAAATTAAGTTTTAACCCTTAGCCATGGGAGACCGTTTTAAAACGTTTTACACTTTTTGCTTTAATTCGGGAGACCGTGAAAAGCCGTTCACAAAAAAAGTCTCTGTCTTCGGGGTCAACGGCTTTTCACGTTTTCACGTTTCCATGTCAGGTGCGGGACAACGGATATTTCCGTGGTAAAAATTATTTAGCTGATTCGGGAAACGGCAAAACACGCGGGCACTAAAAACTAAAATTATTAGGGCCTTGGTTCAGAATCGTCCGTGGTAACACTAGGTCAGTTTCATATAACTTCGCCCCTGCTTTGCATTGGATGGGTTGCATGTAAAATTTTTGACTCTGGTTTACTAACTGCTAAAACTATTCAAGAAATTTATAACATAAAGTTATTGAGGCCAAACCACACCCGTCTCATGTAATCTTGGTTTTGCCAGGACATGTTCATTTTTGCTAAATTTCAACGTTGATGAAAAACTAGTAGGAGAAATTAGTTTTGGGTTTTCCCAGAAGCTCGACAAATATTTTGGTTAGTACACGAACTATCTCAGATAATTTATAAAAGTACAGGGGATTATTTAAGATACAAAATATGAGGTAAAACCAGCGTCGCCAATAAATAAAGGGTTATATACACCTTCTATCAAACTCATAAATTATCAAATTGATCTCCACGTCAAGATTGAGGTCGTGGCTGCATTTAAAAATTAAAATATACCAAATGAATGCATATAGTTAGTCAGAACTAAGATCTTGATCCAAGTTAAAAAAAACCCTTATGCAGATCCACAAACATGTGTGGTTTGGGATCAATAGCTCTATTTTACGAATGTCTTGAGTAGTTTTGCATAGTCATAATTTTGCACCATAGTCATACTTCATAACTCTAAAATTATCATGCAACTTTGCTTTACAATGTTACACTTAAATTTTAATACTCATCATATTTATTGACGTTGTCCCGCAGCTAATTTTCTCCTAACGTGTTTTGCCGTTCTCCCGAATTGAGAATTTATAGAATTGTCCCGAATCTACTCATATAATAAAAGTTTCCAGATTTAGAACTTGTCAGATTTTAATTATTTTTTTGGCTTCCCGAATGATGACAATTGTGGTCATCGAAACGCCCCGCAGCAACGCCAAACATAGTTACCGTTTCTCCTCGGCTAAGGGTTAACCCTTAAATTAAAATTAGATGATTTTGATAATAACCCTCCTGTGCAAATTTTGCACAATATTTGAGTTTGTAAATTGCCTATTTACGATTTTTTTTATTTTCGAAATAAATGTAACTGATTTTTAATAACGGATAAATTTTCGGTTTTAAATTGGAAAAGTGTTCCTGCATTTTCGTAAAACTTGAAAAGAAGTTTTTATTGTATTTTTAGACGGGCGGATTTTTTGTCGAGTGTGGCGCTAATGATGGAGAATTTATGTCGAATACGATCGCTTTAGAAAAAGATCAGCAATGGAGCGGGCTGCTCATTGAAGGGTCGCCATTATTGTCCAAAATTTTAAGGAGGAAGCGAAGAAATGCTTGGGTGGCGGATGTGTGTCTAACGGGAAGATATCCAGAAAGAGTACGGAATTAGTATACAAAATTAATTGCATAATTGTAAAATAAATCAAAATTTTGAAATTGGATTAATTTAACAGATTGAATTCTTAAAACATAAAAACACCGCGGAAGACTGGCGTATCGGGAATGGAATTGGTAAAATAAATCCTGGAAATAAGTATGAAAAGCCGCTTCTGAATTTACCCGATACCGGACATTATTTGGATCACGTAAGTATGTATGAAAAATAAACGGTTGAATTTACTCGGAACTTTGTAACCCAGCAAGATCCGTAAATAATAAGCAATACAATTTTTATAAACTTTACAAAGATTACGAAACAAAGTCAAATTTCACATAAATCAGTCAAAAACTTTACTGACTGAGGATGAGCTGTACATATGTATTTATGTATGTATGTATATTGAGAGTGAGACAATTAACCAATTAACGCAGGCTTTGATAACATTGTAAACTTTACAAAATTTTATAAATATGTATTTCTAGAGAAAAAAAGCTTACACATCTTTGTAAACTTACTCACAAGGGACACTCACGACCTGTCGTTTGAGTCCAGGGTACCCACTATGTTTTTTAGAATCTACTAGGACCCCTGATGAAGGATTCATTCATATTTCCGTGTATAACTCATATTTGGCGCCATGGCGTGGCGCCAAATTCGCCAAATTTGATGGTTTTTCATTTTAAAACCGCCATAACTTATGTAATCCTTGGCGGATTTCCAAAATTTTTGGCAAAAATCATAACAAGGAGTTCAACTTTCGTATTCTATGAAATTTTTTCTAAAATTATCGCTTTTAACTTTTCGCAAAATTTCGAAATTTCGGGTTCGTCGAAAAAATGCTAAAAATATCTCAAAAATTAAAATTTTTTTATTTTTATTTTTTTCTCTAAAATTTCGACTTTTCTGATCATTTTAAGCATAAAATTTTAAAAATCCGACATAAACTGCAAAAGTTATGGGGGTTTGAAATTGGTCGAAAATGCAAATTTTTAAGTTTAGCGCCACGCCATTGGGCTAAATATGAGTTTTACACGGAAATATGAATCCTTCATCAGGGGTCCTAGTAGATTCTAAAAAACATAGTGGGTACCCTGGACTCAAACGACAGGTCGTGAGTGTCCCTTGTCAGATCTAGAGTGTCTTTTTTATCTTGTAAACGTTTGCAAAATTTCATATTTTACACGTTACCAATAATGACTGCGTAGGTCGCTCATTAATTGGGTAAAAGTTTGCAGATATTCTTTCAAGGGTTCCAAATATTCCATTTAATTGCCACCGGAAACAATTGTAAATATTTTGCATTAATTTTATTCCAAATATTTTAGGGATTTCTTCCAGAAGATTACATCTCTGAAGGAATGATCTCCTGTTTCCCGTTATATTCCATCCTCTCCGCAATTAATGTCAGCACGGTGGACTTTTTCAGTTTGGACGTCGAGGGACACGAGTACAAAGTGCTTCAAGGAATTCCTTTCGACTTGCTCGATATCAAGGTAAATATTTAAATATTTACACTGTTAGAAATCTGGTAAAGTCGGGCAGGAACATTTGGAATTCTCGGTATTAAGGTTTCTACCGCTTGGTATTAAAATTATGCCTGCCCAAAAAAGTTTGCTACTCAAATGGTAAAATTTTAATATCGAGCTATTTCTACAGTGATACTTATCAATACCACTTTAGTAGAGTCATACATGAATACTGCTTGGTATTATTTTAATAATGGATTTCTATTTAGATAAATAATGATGCTCATAGTCAGAAAAATGCGGTCTTAAATTTTAACGAATTTTTAACACTTTTTTTCATTTTTTAATTATCAGGTTATAATTGTAGAACACGCAACGACGCCGGAAGGAAAGAACGCTATTAAAGATTTAATGGTAAAAAATGGCTACAAGTTGTACATGAATGGATCAAATGATTACATTTTCATTAAAAAGAATTATCTCGTAGAGTAAATTTAGTAACGACGTCGTAAATTACAACTTGTAATTAATTATTTAAATTGGAAAATTTTAAATTATGCGAAATAAATATGGAATTACTTATTAAATTTTGATCCCCTTAATACAAATTTTTAATACAATTTTTTTTGTATTAAGGATCTAGGTGACATGCTTAAAGTTTTTTTAACCCATGCAAATTTTTTCGTGATAATATAGCTAAACTTGCAAGGGAATTAGAAATAACTTGCATAAAGTAGCTAAATGAGATTGAATCTATGACTTTGACGATTAAGACACCTATCTCATAATCTAATCCATAGTTAATTGATAATTTAAATTGCATGCAAAACAAAAAAAAGCATGGATTTTTTTAATGAAAAGTTTTCCATGAATAACGGCAAAACAATACATATGGTGTAACAAGAGTTCATATATTCGGTCAACGACATACTTTTTTGATAATCTTGTTTAAAAAATATACATTGGTATGACCCTGTAAATTTGTAAAGATAACCTCTCTTATCAAATTCCACCCTATGGATGGATGCCATCCAACTTTTACTCTCCACAATACCCCCGGAAAATTGAAACCGCGAACCAAATATCTTAATCAACACATGATCTTTTTCTAAAACAAAAATAAACTCATAAATTAATTAACAATTTGAAATTATTAGTAGTAATTCAGTATTTTAATTATTATGGGGTCGACCTGTTTTTTCTGTCGCCTAAACTACCCCTCGATTGGGACGGAAAATAATATCCCCCTGTTTTTGACCTGTCTCTCCGCCGTTAACGTGAACTCGGTCGAAATCGAGGTCCTTCTCCACCTCGGAAAAGAAGATTTTCACGCCTGCCCCCAATGCGTCGCCATCCTGGAAAAAATCTCCTCCCACTTGTTCCAACTTGGTCAAGAATTGAACAATATTTACACAATTTTGCAAAATTGCGACGCAAAAGGCGCCAGTGAGCTGGATAAATTGAGGAGACAAATTATCCAAAGTATGTTTCAGAAACATTGTTTTTTTTATATTGTAAAATTATGAAAATATATGGGAATATTCATGGCAGTAATTTTGTAAAATTTGGGAACAAGCTGGTAAAAAGTTTGGAAAACTGTGAATCTATTTATTGGCCTGGGAAGATTTGCTGCTTTGATTTACTCTTAATTTGTAGTTTGGTACATCTAGAAAAAGTAATTTGCATGAATGTGTTTCTTTAGTCAAGCGCATAAAGCTTGTGAAGCATCTAAATATGCAAATTTACGCACATTTTCCTACATGACTTACTTTGCTACTTTATAAATTTTGTTATATCTTTAACAGATTTCGATCCAAACGTACACCTGAATTTGTTTCAGCCTGTTCCTACACCAAATAATGATGACCCCACCAACGTGGAGGATTTCGCTGACCCCATTAAGTCCGAGATTAACCCCGAAGGTTATCCTGAACAAGACCAAATTGACCTCGAACTAGTCAAGGTTGAAGCGGACGGTGAAACGGAAGTCGAACTGGGTGATTTCATCCTCTTTCCGGACGACGTTGAGCCTGATTACGTACCTGACACTGATCCCCTCGATTCCTTGTCCTCTCCTGAAGATTGTCCCGTGGATGATCCACTCGCAGACCCTCCCCCTGCTCGGAAGCGACGAGTAATTTGCATGCATCTTCTACAATTTATCGCATTTATTCCGCGACTGACATATTTATTTTTCATTCACAGATGTCATCGCCACCAGAGCCAAAATGCAAAGTTGCGAAAACAGCTACCCCAGTTATCACGGAAGACCATATAGCCAAACTTGTTGGTATAAATAGCTCAAAAAAACTCCTAAGCATTCTAATTTAGCGGATTTAATTGTCAAACATAAATTTTTAAAAATCTGGTATAGTATAGTGGTGAGGCGGGTATTGACTTCTCGGTATTAAATTTAATAAGCGGTACCAACTTAAGTTGGTACTGCTTGGTATTAAAATTACGCCGGTCCGTAAAAATTTCCTGCCGATATGGTAAAAAACTTTAATACTATTACTTATCAATCCCACTTCATATATGAATACCACTTGGTAATATTTAATACCGGATTTAGAACAGTGTAATAATTTCACCCAGTTTACAAGGCTTCTTGTTACTTTCTCCTTAGAACGTCTCCCGTTCCAGTGTCACATTGAAAATTGTTGCCAACTCTTCGAGACGAAAGAACTGCTCGAAAAGCATACCAATCTCCGACACACTGTCCACGCTTGCGTCACGTGCAACATATTTTTTCCCCTCGTCAGCCAACTCGACCGCCACATCGTCACGGTCCACCCCGAACAGCCGAACCCTTTAAAATGCCCCACGTGCGCAAAAGCCTTTACGAAACGACACAATTTCAACAACCACGTCAAAAGGTGTCACGTTGTCGTGGAGGAACCCGACGCAAGCAAGTTCCCTCGAATCGGCTGCGTGCAAACGTCCGACACCACGTGGACGTATCTCGACGTCGCGATTTCTCTCGTAGGCGACAAATACGTCTGCAGTCGGTGCGACTGTACAAGGCCGACAAAGGCCCTGCTCATGACCCACATCCGGTCCCGACATACGAGTAATTTGCATACATATGTACATATAGTTTTTGCGAGTGATTATTTCCTAATTATATGTAATAAAGATGTCCTTGTTTCATCTTGTAGCCCACCTCCCCTTTGCATGCGGCTTTATCGGGTGCGGTTGGCCTTTCGCGAACCAACTTCTGCTAGACGATCACCTCGCCAAATCCGGTCACGGAAGAGAGGCTTGCAAATTCTGCGGAAAATTATTCTTTAAACGTTACATGGGCGAACATGTCCTTTCCGTGCACGAGGGATCTAACCGATTCATCTGCCAGACATGCGGAAAGGTAAATAGCATTTTTCTGGAAATAATGGGCAAATTCACGTCAATCTTCGTAAATCCGTAACCATGCCAACTTACGAACTTTTAACGAAACTTGAAGTAATTTTTGTTTACAAATTTACAAAACCTTACGAAGCACGATTAACTGACATCGTTTCTATGGGGTGGTGCCCCATACGGTTGCGACAAATGGATTATTTTTTAGAAAATTTTCATTTTTTAAATCGTTGGGGCAAAAGTCCTTTGGTTTGCCCCAACGACTTTAACCTTGAATAACTTTTGAATAGGCAGACAAAGAGACTTAATTCCTGAGGATGAAATCATCCTAATTTTTAGCTTGATTTTTTAAGCTAAAAATCTCGAGTGTACTATTTCGAAAATTAAAATGTTTATTTTGAAGAATATCTCCAAAATATAAGTTTTTCAGGAATTTCGAAGCCAATTCTTATCTCACAAAATTTTATGATATCAAACTGATCGTATTATCTAGACCGATCGATTGACACCCCACTGGAGGGTGTGAGATCCCTTGGTCCGGATTTGACCTAGGGGGTCATCTCAATCCTCCAACTTAGCAACGGTCCACTCACACCATTTTGTCAGCCCATAATAATTAAAATTTGATTTCTTCAAAAATGAAAATTTGTGTTGGAAACAATTCATTTGTCGCAACATGTATAGAATGATAAAGTGTCAAATAATATTGCTTACGAAGATGTTAGTTGGTTCGTAAGTCATCTTCTTAAGTTTACGTGGTTGCGAATTTACGAAGGTTGACGTGAATCGCTTCATTGTCAATTTTTTTCTTTAGTGTTATTTCGATCGGCCAAATTTAATTTGTGCCAATTTTGTCTTCCAGGGTTTCCACACACAATATGCCTGCACGAAGCACGAATCCTCCACGTGTCCCACCCGAAGTGGTACGAAATCCACGAAACTAACTGCAGAAGAGAAATCTAGACTACGCGCCGCCCGAGAATCAATTTTGGGGCAGGAAATCGTTTCAAACCCGTGCAAACATTGCGCTAAGATAATTTTTGGGTCATTGGCGTCTCTTTCGTGTCACCAGGACAAATGTCGCCACGGCGTGGTGGCGAAAGAGGAGGAAAAACTTGGCCGAGGAATTTACCTTATCGGTGGCGTCGTGGAAATCGCCACGGTCGTCGTTCTTACGGATCCGCAAGTTCTCAGGTTAAAATGTAGCGCGTGTAATAAAACCTTTGTCCACAGACCGGAAGCCGTAGCGCATGTGCAGGCTCATCATTGTGGTAATTTTTAATATATAAGCAGCTTTGAAAGCCGTGTAAACTTTGTGATACGATTTTGAATTTTCCATGCTTATTTTTGCATGGAAAATTTTTCAACTCTTAAATTTTGCATACCAGTTCCGTGAAATATTTCGGACAAATTTCGGGTCTTTTAAAGTTTACAGTTTCAAAGCATCGTGTACATTATTTTTATTGAGATTTTTAAATGGCGTTTATTTTCTTTGAATTTTCAGGTCAATCTTCTTAGCTCTTGTAGCAAGCATTAAAGCCAAATTGAACCTAAACTAACTTTAGCCTTAATTTGTACGTATTTAAATATTTTTAAATTAACATTAAAAGAATAATTGATATCAAATAAATCATGATATCCGCTTGCTCCCAAGTGTTTCCAGTTTTTCAAATGATGGATGCTCGCACGCATTTACATTCCAACAAGGCATTCCAACATCTGCAATTTCGCAGCAGTACAATCTTAAAATAGTGTCACTATTTTGAAAAGTAAATTCACTCGAAATTTTATGTTAAGAAGCTACCTATACTAAATCCAGAGTAACGTAACTTGATAACGAGTAAAGTTTACTCTGGGTTTAGTATAGTTTACTTCATTTAAAATTTAGAGTGCACTTACTTGTCAAAATGGTAACATTATTTTTAAGAGTGCAGATACAGACTTGTAAAATCATATAGGTAATATGTATTTCGGTAAAGAATCAGAAATTCTGATTCAGAATTTCATTAATTTAATGTAAACAGCAAGTTGCATGAAAATGCAGACAAACAAACTGCATGATTCTGCAAACGCACAAAATTTGTCGCATCTTGTACTGTGCGCTGGAAACCGGGATTTTCTTTCCAGCCGGTTTCTCCTCCAGAAGAAAGTAAATAAATAAATATTTATTTCACGTCCCTAAAAACTTGAATTTCAAATTTTAAAAGAGTAAAAAACTCCATTTGAATAAATTTAAGTGTCACACCAACTTTGATACTTTGACATCAAATTAACAAAAAATGGGGGTGATTTGTTATCGTTAAAATAAATAAAGTACTGATTTTATTTTTAAAAAAGTTCTAATGTATTCAGTATTTCAATTGACTCAAGTAACTAAAGTAATTTCTGTTGAACTAATTACAGGCTAAATAACTTGTCATCCAAATTTTGTAATTCGACGATGCCGTTCAATCTCCCCTTCGTCCAATTGACGCGGAACATGGTGCTCGACAATGTCGCCGTGTCGGAATGTAAAACGGTCAAAATTTCGGGATGTTTTCTCTGCGGGATAAAACCGCTGGCGGATTTTCGGTCACTGCCAGAAACTGTCACCCGGCAGGAAAAAGCGTCCTTATTTCGGAACCTCTTAATCAATCCAACCATCCGTAAAAATACGTCTCCGTCAAGTTATAACCAATTCATGTCCACCACGGAATCCTGCTCGGATTGCTTATCTCTCATTAAAGAAGTTTGCGCCCGGCAGCAAGAAATTGTAGCCTTGGAGAAAGAGTTGGAAAATAGGTTGGAAGAATCTAGGCGAAAATATTTCAATGGATGTGAAATAGTCGCTAATACTTTGACAGGTGAAGAAAAATACTTGTTTTATAATTAATAATTTATGGTTGGATTTAAAAAATCTGGATTTGTAATTTATTAACATAACATAACATTTCGAATATTTCTATTTGAATAGTTGGGCGTATCAAACTTCACGCAGGCGGACAAGACAACTCGTCAACTTTGGCCGGATTATCTATACCAGCAAGAAAATTTTCACCTGTGCAAATGTCGCCAGAAATCGAGGACGACGAAAGGATAAGTCGTGAAAACGAGGAAGATATGTCCCTTGACGAAGAAGAGAACACGTCCTCAGAATGGGACGAAGACGACGAGGAAGATAAGCCCTCAGAATTTGCCGCTGAAAAGGAAAATATGTCCATTGACGAAGAAGAGGCCTCAGACTTTGACGAAGAAGAGGAATACACGCCTCCAAACGGCAAACCAACTGGAAGAACAATGCAGTCGAATAATAAGCATTCTACTAACGCAACCGTAAAGTAAGAATATTATCTTCTCGCCTAATTAATTATCAGAACAGGAAATTTGCACATTTTTCTGTAGAAACAGAGCGCATTTTTTTTGTATAGAAAATTAAATATGTACATTTTATGCCCCAAATTCATATAATTTGTGGCATAAAGTAGTCCTCCCATATGCGAATACAGAAACGTGCCAATTTTCGACTGGTCGATTTTTACACAAAAAAAATCCTAAATAAATTAATAAATTTTACACTTTAACTTACACCCTTTCTACTAACATCAGCGACTGGATATGCCTCCACTGTGGGAAAGACTTTAGATCCAAGGAATACCTTAAGCGACACAAAGAAAACAGAGTTTGCACAAAAACCAGACCCCCAAAAATTGAAGGGCCCTTCGCATGTTCAAAATGTTTCAAACTATTCCCCACCAGGAGATGCCAGATTACTCATGAGATGCACGTTTGCAATATCGTCTACACTCAGGAGCAAGCGGAGCCCATGACGCTATACACGTGTTCCTTGTGTAGCAAGCAGTTTGTGAATTTGTGCGATTATCAACGGTAAGTAAATATAAAACCAATTCTTGGGGTACAAATTTGTGGGGAATTAATAATCGTAAGAAATGTATTGTCATTTACATTTTGTTGCACCCAACCTTAATAATCCTTCCCCTGGGGGTGTTGTTGTCAATGTCAAGTTTAAAATAGTCAATATTTATAAATAAACCGTAGTAACGTTAGAAGTAGCTCACCCTGTAATAATGATATGGTTATAACTTGCCCCAAAGGTGCAGAAAAATGCAACAAAATAGATACATAATTTTTTGCAATTATGCACCAATGGTGCATAATTGCACATAGGTATTAGGTCGTATCTACATATAGGTATTTTGTGGGCGACCCACTGCTGATGCGCTTTCCACTCACCGGTGCCCTTTGACACCAAATCGTCAAGGCTTGATAATACGAGTGAACTGGTATTAAAGTTTTCCTCAAATCAATACTGAGGTTCGACGAGTACAGGCAGAATCCAATTGAGGACATACTAGTAAATATATACGTACCAGGTTTGTAAGAGGGAAAGGGATTCTTATTTTAATCCGAATTCTGCAATTTTACTTACAAATGTGTACATACTCAGGTACTTTGGTCAAACTAATCCCACTAAAGTCAAATAAAACGCAAATAAAGAGGAATTCAATAGCTCTCATGCTACGCAGGGCGAGCTAATAAGCGACGTCGTTATTCATTTATCAAGTTTTTTTGTAATTCAGCTAATTTGTCTATTCTTAATTTTTCGCAGTCATTACGGCATCCATTCCAAGGTGAAGAAATTAGTCGTTCTGGATCAACTCCCGCGCCGCCATCAAGACAACCATACCTCTAAATATGTAAATGAATGTGAAATACTCGGTAATAGTTTGACAGGTGAAGAAAAATAGTTATTTTATAATTAATAATTTATAGTTGGATTTAAAAAAATCAGGATTCGTAATTTATTAACATAACCTTTCCAATATTTCTATTCTATTATTCTATTCTATATTTCTATTTTTTTTAAATAATAGGTGGGCGTATCAAACTTCACGCAGTCGGACAAGACCACTCGTCAGCTTTTGCCGGATTATCTACACCACCAAGAAAATTTTCACCTAGGCAAATGTCGCCAGACGTCGAGGACAACGAAAGCATAGACCCCGACGAAGACGAAAACATGTCCTCAGAATTTGACGAAGAAGAGGAATGTACGCCCCCAAACGGCAAACCAACGGGGAGAACACTGCAGGCGAAGTACGAGCATTCTAATAACGCGACCATAAAGTAAGAATATAATCTTATCGCCTAATTAGTTATCGAAACAGGAAAGGACACATACGAATTTCCCCTTTTTTGCGGCCCCTTAGAGACGATTTCGAGCCAAAATCCCCGGCCCCTTTATTTTCGCAATTTTCCGAGTATTTAAATATCGTAACTTGGTGATTTACAGCCAAATAATCAAATATTTAGATTTTAGCCCGAACCATGGCTTTATGTCTGTCTTTCGATCACTTTAGAACATTGACCGATTTTGACCAAATTTGGTAACAACATATGTCTGCATAATGTAACGACCAAGTTCGAAGATGGGGTCGATAAAAAGAAGTTGGACCGGTGTGGGTCACATACATGTCAGGTGAGGTCATGCAGAGTATTCCAAATAGTCGTGGAAGGCATATTCGAAAATTCGGCACAATTGTCCTAATGTGCCGTATAATGTCGCAATGTAAAGGATATAATAATAATAATAATAATAATAATAGCCTTTATTACCCTCATTTACTAGTACTAGGGAATGCACAAAATGAAATTTTAGCATAGCACACTAGCCTATTTTCGTGAGCTTACAAACAGAAATAACTTACTTTAAATGATTAAATAACAATAACTAAGGGCTAAATTACTATATTTAACTTAACAATATATATGTACGTAAGATATTATCTACTCTTAGTTTGTATAAAGTTAGCTATAATCTATCAAATTTGTTAGAGCTTCAAATGACAAGCCAAAAACCGTGGATTTTGATTTCCATTCGTCATTAATTTTGCTGATTATCATATTAATGGGGGAATTTTTAAATTTTGACGACCTAATTACCGGTTGAAATAGTAAATCCTTGTTTGACCTCAATGACACCACTGCACGAAGCACGCTGGAATTGCGGCAAAAAGTGCCTATACCTACCAAAAAATAATTTGTAAGCAAATTTATTAAGAGCCAATTCTCTCCTTTCATTTAAAGTTATCAACTCAGCTTCCTGCATGCATTCAACATAATTTAAATGATCAGCTCGTTTTCGGAAAATTATACTTAAAGCTTTTTTCTGAACACTTTGAATTTTGTAAACTAATTTCTGGTTCAAGCCAGAGCCAAACACAACTGAACAATACTCAAAATACAAAAACGCATGATTTTTCGGGCAATGCGCAGCGCGAGCTCAACTTCGTGCGTTTTTGCGAACTTGCGGCGCCCATAACGTGCTGAAATTTGCGCATCTGCCCAAGTGCCGAACCAAATGTTGTTTGTAAAGACTTGCTCTTTCAAACTAATAAGGTCAAAAAATTATCTGGGCTGAACATGGTTTGCGTCTCCATTGTCAGTATATAAAATCCTGTCTTTTTATCTGCCTGTCAGCGGGATAACGCAAGAACGGATCAAGATAATTGAAATCGGTTTGTGGCATTGTATATGCATATGACCCCGGGGGGAGGATCTTATCAACTTTTAAGGTCAATCAGACCACCCCCTCGAGCTCAAGGGGTGTGATTACATAATTTTGGTGGAATTACTTTTTTTCACCCTATTACTACATTTCGTTGCTATGATTTATTTACTCATAAATCCTGGTTCGGGCTAAGTGAAGCTATATTGAGAGATATTTTTTTGTGCGTGATTTTGCTGTTGGCAACACAAAGATAGCAACGTGGTGACCACTTTTCCGAGTAGATTTTCATGAAAACCACCTCGGGATTTTGTCCATACCTCAAAGCGACAAACGAGCTCCCTCCCAGATTTTTTTATTTTGATTATCAAGACTTGTTACGTTAATGATACAAATTTTAAGGGGGAGCTCGACTGCTTTGGTCACTAAATAAATTACCAAAGTAATGCATATTTGGGCCGCAAAGTCTGGGATTACCTAAGGTATTCTTTACACATTTCTCTGTAGAAACATAGCACATTTTTTGCATAGAAAATAAAAGGTATAGGAATTTGTGGCATAACGTATGCAAAAAATAGAAAGGTGTCAATTTTCGGGTTTTACACCAAAATTAAATTAAGAATAAATTAACACTATTTTAAATTACAGCCCTTCTGCGAACACCAAGAGCTTGATATGCTCCAAATGTGGCATAACTTTTTCTTCTTGGGCCAACCTTAAGCGACATGAAAGACGACAAGTTTGCATAAAAACCAGAAAGAGAAATCCCCGAAAAAATAAAGAGCTCTTCTCATGTTCAAAATGTTTCCAACTATTCCCCACCAGGAGACGCAAGATTATTCATGAGATGAACATTTGCAATGTCGTCTAAACTCAGGAGCAAGTGGACCCCATGACGCTATACACGTGTTTCTTGTGTAACAAGCAGTTTGTGAATTTGTACGATTATCGACGGTACGTAAATACAAAACCAAGTTTGGTGAACAACTTTGTAGAGAATTAATATGTAATGCATTCATCGTAAGAAACGGCAAAAATTACGATAGACATTCGTGTGTGCGACCTGAATAACCTTGTTTTCTTGCAATTCAGCTAATTTGTCTATATCTCATTTTTTCGCAGTCATTACGGCAACCATTCCGAGGTGAAGAAATCAGTCGTTCTGGATCAACTCCCGCGTCGCCATCGCGATAACCATACCCCTGCAAGAAATGTTAGCTTCGTCGCTGGGAAATCGGTTGATTCAGTGCGTCAACCTCAAGATAACCGTAGCCCCAGAAGAAACGTTAGTCCCATCGCTGATAAAGAAATATCCCCCTATGAACCACTACTCGGGGGCAAGCTTACAATCCACCATTGTCCCCATTGCACCGGATGGTTTGTAAAAGAAGACAATTTAAGGACGCATTTGGCCACGAACCACCGCGCCGTCTCAACACTCCTACAGGGTGATTGATGAATATTATCTTTTCTAAAAAAGAACTTTTCTCGTAAAAATATGTAAAATGTGTAACTAAAATTTATAATCTGAGGAACCTTACGTTTCAAAATTTTAAACTTTTTTTTAATTTTTCCTAAAATGTAACTTGGATTTGATTAAAACTGCTACCTAATTACAGGGCAACGGCGAAGTAATGCACATTCGTAAACCGAGAAAGGCTGAGTTTTGTGCACGTGTAAGCTTAGCAGATTTATCTAATTTTTAATCTTCCACAAATCAAACGTAAGCTTTATCACGTGCTTAAATTTATTCCCAGGTCATTAAAAAGACCGAGGACAAAACAACGAGGAAGAAGAAACGTCCTGCAATCCCGAAGTTTAATCCCAACGTCGACTTTTCAACCGCTTCAGTCGAGCTTGTTGAAAATTATCGTGCAAAGTATGCACCAAAGCTCAAAGTGAACGGATACTTGTACAGTTTTGAAAAGTTTGGGTCCAACAAACGAATTTGGGCTTGTGGATGGAAAAGTAAGGAGAAATGTCCGGCGCGACTGCACACTTCGATGTCCCTTTCGCCAGTCGAGATCCTTGGTGAACTTCGAACTCATAACCATGAGCTGGTCCATGTGGTGGAGAAAAGTGCCACCCAAATTCCAAATGCATCCGTGACTTCAAGCTTGCAGACGAGTAGCTAATATGTAAATATGTAATTCGCAATAATTTTTGTAATTGAGGACATTTTGTAAACTTATTTTAAGCAAGTCATTTAACAATTATTTTCCGCAATTATATACAGAAATAACTGTACGAAAACGATAAAACATCCCAAAGTTAAGTCTCAAAAATTCTGAATTCCCAGTGTGGTGAGAAATTTGTTTTTTGCAGCGAAATGAATCGTCAGAACGTAAAGGCGAATTAATATCCGGATAAACTACTTTGCCAACGTGAATTCCTTTTACCTCGCATCTCTCACAAGCATAATATCCCCCATGGCCTATAATTTGTTTCAGCATTGACCTTGCTGGGGCGTCGGCGATCACACATGAAAGTTTGAATTTGAAATGTTTTTCGGCAACAAAAATACCTGTCTGAAGTAATTCCTCTAATTCTAAAATAGTTGGATTTAAATATTTTTCAAGATCTAATGGCTTAGTGTCCCCTAGATACAATCCAATTAAAAAGGGTGTACAATTTATGAGCTTATCTAATTTACCTAAAATAGGCCAAAATTGTTTTTTTGAACTTTTATATACTGGGACTCCATCTATACCTAACATTAAAACAATTTCGTCAGATTGAATATTATTATATTTTTGTGTGACAAGGTATTTTTTTAACCCAAAATGATAGTAAATTCCTCCTGGAATAGAAATTATATTAAAATCTGAACTACGAGGAGTTTGAAGCAAAGATATGTGAGTTTTAGGGAGGCACAAATTTTGAAAATTTAAAGAGAGAATGGATAATAAATCATCCACCGCTACGCCTGTAATATTATGTTTGACAGCCCAGACTGCTAATTTATCCTTAAAATTTACTGGCACGCTACTTGTTTCTGACTCTGATTCCGAACTAATTTCTGATTCAGTAACATTATTTACATAATCTATTAAATTACAAAATTCTCCTGTCGGATTGTCAAATACAACTGTTTCATTAAAATAATCTTCTACAATATCATTACTATTACTCGGTGTTTGACCAACACCACTACAGATCTCGTCTACACAATTATTCTCTATTTCTCCTAAATCATTACTAATTTCATTGCAAATTACGTCTACAAAACTAGTTGGCTCAAAATCTACAAATTCACTGTTAATTTCATTAAAAATTTGTTGAACTGAATGTTTGAATTTACGTCGCTTCGTCCGATGGGAAGACATCGTGATTACTTTTTGGCTTTAGTTGTGAATGGAGCAAACCGGAACCACTTAGCTATGTACGTGTTAATGTCGTGCTCGGTGGTTCTATCGTAACCCTTAGTTGCTCGCACCCCCCCTGAAATTATTGTATTTTATTTTTAGGTTTAAATTAGACAGGGTTTTTCGTTTGTCACCTTACCAATAATAACTAAATTGATTTTGGAGTAAACATTAAATTCTTGCTTGTTTTTCCCATGGCCAGTTCTGCTGAATTTTGCACCCAGGTCAATGGTCATTAACTTTTCAAGAATCGTCCTCGTAATATCTTCAGCGTCCTTCCCGTCAAGTAGAGATAGGTAGGAAATCTACATTTTTTTAAATAATGGCATTAGAAAAACATTGATCTTTCTGCAAATTATAAATTAAATTAAATTATTTTAACCAACCATTAACCTTCGATTTTCCTTATTTTCTTCTAAATACGTTTCAACCCCTTTGAGGCCATCCACAGTGTCAACTGGAATCGGTGGCAGAGTGGAGAAATCTTCCGGTTCCGGATTCTTGTTAGACGCTGTTTTTAGCAGTAGGAAATGTTTGCAAATTTCGTTTTGGGTCTGCTTGATTTATCTTCTCTCTTT